CTGTATATAAAATTATTATTTTGGTAATATTATTTAATTGTAAGTAAAAAAAAAAATTCCGGAAGTAACAGTCTGGTGACCACAGACCTATTATTATAATGAAGTAGGTCTATTATAGGTACCGGTCAAAAAATATAATTATGCCCGCAAATGTCTGTCACGTGGTTGATGTTCATTTGATTATAATGTAATATTCTTCGTATTTTAGAAATAACACATCTTTTTTCCTTTTTTTATAATATATTTTAAAGTTTTTTGAATGACATATTTAATAGTTTTATTGTTATATATTTTTTTAATCAATAATACTAAGTAATTCAATTGACAAGGTTGACATATTTTGTTAAAATATTTTTCACAAAATGTAGAATTATTTTTTTATATACACTGACTGTATCTGTAAAAATCATACATTGAATTGACGCAAATTAGAGGTTTTGAGAGTTTTATAGGAACACAGCATCTTGTGGGAAATAAAAGCTTTAGTCCTATGAAAATTACAAAAAGATGACTTAGTACTTTTTTTATCAAACGCCCGCACGATGTTTACATTGTGTACAGTACCTATGTATATTGTTACATTAGCACAGTCAAGGCGGCTAACATCAAGTAAAACTTATGCCGATTAACTAGGTTTTTGGTGGTTATCTACAACTTAAATTAATATTAATAATAAATAAATATATCTAATAAATAAATATATGTTATCGTGAATTTAGAGTGAAATTTCGAGGAGCGTTCCTTTGTAATAAAAGCATAAGCTATCCTATATCTTTTAACACCACCAATTATCACGGATTTCTATGAACGAAACGGTCTTGACAGGCAAAGTTATCGCAAGAATTCCATTTGACGACTCTTTAAACGTACCAAAAAAAAAAATTGTTATAAATTAATAAAGATATGTTTCACACATCTAAAGATGACAAAAACTAAAGAATTTTTAGTTTTTATTTTTAACAGCTCGACTGTAAACTGGAGGTATTAGGTGAAATTGGCGGGTGGAAGCCCAATGCGTACTTTTACAGACAACCTAAAGCATGCAGTACAGCGAAGAAATTAATGGGAGAAAATTGGTTACCATTTATACGAAACTTTAACGAATATTTCGAAGGTATCGACTGTTCATTTGCAATTGTATGTATTACGTATGATACTTTTTGATGTTAAATAAAATACATATTTGTGGATTATAACTATTAAAAAGAATAAAGTAAACATTTACCTCAGTATCTAACAATTACACAGCCCTACTTTAAACAATTATATTGGATAGATAATTTGTAAGTAAATTTCACTCAAGAATGTAACTATATACCTATTATTTAATACAGTATGACTAATATAAAAATAATTTACAGGGAAATTACACGTTGAATGGTATAACGTGTTTCATTTTCATAGGTCTAAATATAATCCAAAATAATTCTTTTATGGAACTTACAACGAAAAAATACGAATCATAAACTAAAAGGACGAAACTGTTGATTGCATGTTTATAGTTTGAGATTATAAGACCTTGGGAATATAATGTATAATATAACAAATGATTTATATTACATGTTTTGTTTTCCTAACCCACAAAATTTTTAAATAAGATTTCAATCCCTTTGTACGGATAATTTATTCGGTATATTGTTGTGTTATGGTTCATGTAATTTTGTTTAAAGGGAAATTTAAATAAATGAATAATTATAATATACTTTTTATACTTGTGTGTCATCTAATTGTATAATTTATTACTTTTGTGAAGGTCAGTTTAAAAAAAAATATTTAAGATTGGATACTCTTTTTATTGAACTCTGCAATAATCTTTCCAAATTTTAACTATGAAGGAGTGAACTCTTTCAACTATTAAGCCCCCTCCCCCTTAAGTAGCAACTAGGTGAAATTTGTGATTTATAGAGTTGCTACTCGAAGGAATTGGTCGAGCATTAAAAAAGTTACAGTGTATACAGTCACAAAAAAACCCACATCACTGTTAAACCAATAGTACCGATGCATCGAGCTAATAAAAATGTTTAAATATTTTTTGATTATAAATAATTTAAAACATTGACAAACATTGTGATTGATATGCACAGGGATTAAGAGTTTTTAGTAAAGCTAGTCCAATTATTTATATATCTATATATATGACTTTGTGATAATACTATTTGAAGAAAAGCTACAGTATAGACTAAATTACAATGATCAGATTTAGGAAATACGGTAGCATGAACAAATTGTTTTATTGCCTACATTAAATGAGGCAAACTGTGGATGATTTGAAGATATGAAACCGGTATACATTGTGCACCAGCTGCTCGAAAATGTTAGCGACCAAGACGAACATTTTGAGCCACGTCAAAGTAGTGTACCTAACAGTAGAGTACAAGTGCTACATTTTTTACAATGATTTATTTCAAGCAATATGTACAGCACGGCAAATATACAAAAGACGATCGGCTTGGTTTACTGCCGACCTTATATTACCTTGAACGGATTATGTTATGTAAAATTATAAATTTTATTCATATTCATATATTATAGCACACAAATATACAAGTAAGATAATTTCTACACTATCCCATTGTGTGTGAGATAGATTTATTTAATATAACTGTGATAATACAATGTGTAAAATTGTGCAGAAGTAATATTTGTGCAAGTGAAGATATTTAAAAGTATTATGAATTTCTTATGAAGATTTATGTTCATTTACATTACAATATAAATTAAACATAACTAATTTCTACAGCTAGACTAGGATCTTTAATTGCTACTTTCATTGGCTTGTCAAGAAAATCACTTACAAAAAATCCTTGTTGGATACAAATCGCATACACAAGTTTCTTAAATTTCTGAAAAGACATCATAGCTAAAAAACAAAACAAAAGAAGTAGTTTTATTAGAAAAATCATCTTGTATTTAATTTTTTACAATATAAACAGCAGGTAAACAGTATTCAAGAATATTTAAATGTATATGACATAAAAAATATATTTTAAAAATTTCCGAATGTGAAAAAAATAGCGTGCTTTAACGTCTTAACAGTAGCGTCTTAAAAATCTTTCTGACGGTCACGCAGATGTTTTTACACAACCATGCCATTTCTTTTTTGAAAGAGTACCAAATATCGCAAGTTGTTAAGACCACGCACGCAAGCTCTTGAAGAAAACAAGCTATGGAATTTCCTGTATATTTATATTTTGATATAATATATCATTCATAAAAATAACGATAAATATGATATATATATATATATATAATAAGGTGTTTTAACGAAATGTATCTAAAATCATTATTTCATTAAACAAATAACTGTAACATTAAGTTGAATAATACATTTTTTTTGTGAGCTGTTTGGGTGCTTGGTATATAGGGTCATTTCATGACAAATCACCAGATGTGTGCACGAGTGGATTTCCTAAATGCCTTAAACTAATATAATATCTTATGCGAAAAGTTCCATAAAATTGAAAAATAAAGAAAACAATGTTTAAAATTTGTTTTGGACTTAGGCGATGCCATCTTCTGTAATTTATAGTAAAAACGCCTAAGTTCCCGACAACGTTACCTACTTAATGATTTATTATGATATCGAAATAGGATTTTCATTGAATAATTGTAATTCAAGAGTTTTTGTTTTTTTTATAATATTCTTAAACAATTTTTTTTCAAATTTTTAAGTAGTTAAAAATTAAATTTTTTTTTTATTTTATAAATTTCATTAAATTTGTGTGCTGACTCAAGGTCAAAGTTTCATAAAAAAATGCAAAAAATTTTATTTTAACAAAACTAACTAAGTACTCTTGTTTTATAATTTTTTTGGAAATTTTTTTTTTATGACGTATAATTAACTTTAAAATTTGGTATTTTACTAAAAGTGCAATATTTAAGAGCCTATCACTTTTTAGGGCTTGAACTAAAAGAAATATGTACAGAACTTCCTTATATGCATACAGAACATCTGGTAAAAGTTTGGTAATGGAGACTTATTTTTACTAGGAGTTGTATGAACATGAATTTTTGAAATTTCGCACTTTAGAACTATGCATAACAGCTCGCAATTTAGTGTCACTATTTAGTGTCGTTTTCGTGCTGGAGGCAAGGCTAATTCATGTTCCATGCTAATATTTATTCGGAAACTATTGTTAAATGATTCATAATGTATATCTAATAGTTACTTGGTTCTTCTGGTAAATATGAATTCTCTGTCCAATAATCTTTCACATATTGTGAATTATTTTCACCCTCAAATTCTATAAATTGTAACTTACTAAATCCCTTTACGCCATTTTATTTTTTTAGAGCAAAATTGTAAGCTTCCATTATAGGCTGAAAAGTTTTTATATTCCTTTTATTATTTTTTTATTTCATGAAAATACTAAAACAATATAAAGTACCCTAACAGAACGAATATGATATTTTATCTAAAGTTAGTTTACCTTAGCTTCTACTATCATATTTTGCATGCGCATGTCAAGGAACTCTTTTAAATAAAAACCTTGTTTCTTGTAAATCCAATACACAAGGTTCGTAAACTAAGTAATAAATACTATTGTAAATTGCACCACTCAAATTGTTTTGGATACATTACTCTTATTTACAATTTTATTTTTTTTAATAAATTACAAACATTTTTAACAATGGCTGCGAATCAATGAAATTATCCAAAGCTATATTATTATCTGGGACATAAATTTTTGTTGTGTACACCAAGGGCAGACAATAAAATAAAAAAAGAACTCGGGTTTTTTCTCCGTATTACCTATACCTACTATTCTAATTTTATGTCTTTCCTGTAATCCTATCACTATTATTAGTTGACATTATACTATATGATTATCAAATTTGTGATTGAATGATTAATGTTATAGTTTAACTGAAGTCTGAATTAATACAATCCATACATTTTAGTTTGTTACTTACTGAACAGTTACTAGTCTTTGGAGCAATAGGCACTGTTACCAGTTTTATATGCTTTGCGAATAATTGCGATATACTGATTTATAACAATGGAAGGTAAATATGTTACATATTTATTATTCATGTTGATATTTTTTACTGACAATTCAGTCGGCGAAAGAAAATATTTTCCAAATCTTCCGTTTGTAAGTAACTACCTAATTAGCAGCATACTTGCACTGTGAGTACTACTAACAAAATTTCAATAAATATAAAATGATTTTTAGAAATTTAGCAATGGTATTTTAGACACAGCACTTGTCTGCTAACTGCTCGATTAAAAATTGATTGTATATTTAACTGCCACTTTTGTAATATTTGTTATAAATCTATAAAATATGCCAATTTGTTTACTAAATATGTAATATATTTAATATTACATATTTTTTGTTATGTTCATATTTTGTACTGTTGATTTAATCGGTGACAGAAAATATTACCCCAATCTTCCCATTGTAAGTACATACTGCCTACCTAATTAATAACTTACTAGCACTGTGTGCTACTCACATAATTTCAATAAATTTATAACGATTTATAGAAATTCAGTCATGATTTTTTAATATACAGGGGTTGAGCAATAAAAAAATGTATAAGCTTTTCTTATTTTTTCACTACTGAAAATTTATCTTTATAGTAAAAAAAAAAGTCTATCAAAATGTATGGTCATTCGGTTAGGTTACGTTTTTGACATTTTCATGTCTTAGCTCTGGCACATAACCGAAAAAGTTTTTCAGCCGATTCTGGTCGACTGAAAAACTTGGGTGGTTAATATATTAAAACATATCAAGTTTCTGGCTAATATTTTAGTGTTTTTATTATATTAAACTCGAACTCAAAAATTGCTTGAATATTTGATCAAACAAATATTTATTTATTAAACAAGTACAATAAAATTAATTAAAAACTAACAATTTTGTGGGGAAAAGAGGGGTTACTCGGGTTACTGGACTTTAAAGAAAAACACATTTTTTTTTACCTTTCAACTTTTTGAAACATTAAAAAAAAAAGCATACTATGAAAACACAAATTTAAAGTAATTTCAACTATTTTATTGCATTTATAGAAAAACAAAATACATATATTAAGTTTTTGTTCATAAATAATAAATATATAAAAATGTGATGTTCGCAGTATCTTTCAGGATTAATTAAGTAAAGCTAGAATATAAATTCATTAATATTTTTTTAAAAATAATACGGTCATACGGTCGAATTTTTTTAAAATATTTTTCTTTAAATGTAGAATTATTATTTTGGTAATATTATTTTTATTTGTTCGTAAACGTTTGTAGATGTGGCAGTCTGGTGACTGCAGACCTATTATTATTATTCTATAAATTGTAGGTGAAATTTAATTGTTATGTCCGATAATGTCTCTCACGTGTTTGATATTCATTTCCTATCGGTTTTTTGTTTTTTTAATAGATTTTAATGTTTAAAACATAACAGTGTTTAACACTGACTTCGCTCCCCCCCCCCTGTAACTGGTCAAAATCATTACACAACGCCTTGTTGGAAATAAAAACTTAAGTTTTATAAAAATTCCACTCCAAGTGCTTTTTTATTGAACGCCCGCATGATATGTGTATATTGTATTGTCACATTAGCACAGTGAAGGCGGTACACATCAAGTAGAAGTTAAGTTGATTAACAAGGTTTTTAGTGGTTACCTACAATAATTCTAATAAATACATATATTTTAGGGTGAATATAAAATAAAGTTCCTAGGAGCGTCCATTTGTAATGAAAGCATAAACTATCCTATGATGTTTAACTTACACTTATCACGGATTTCTGAAACCAAAAGGGTCTTAACCGGCAAAATAATTCTAAGAATCCCATTTGACGACTCTCTGACCGTAACTATAACATTCCTTGAAAAAAAAAATTTGTTTTCACATACCTGAAATTAACAAGAAATTAAAGTACCTACTTGTTTTTATATTATCAACAGTTCCACTTAAACATGGCGGTATTAGATAAGATTGGCGGATGGAAGCACAATGCGTTCGTTTACAGACAACCTTATGGTTGTAGTAGCCTCAAGAAAATGATGGGACAGGTTTGGTTGCCATTCTTGCGTAGCATTGGCGTAACAATATCCGATTGTCCATTTAATACCGTATGTATTAAGAATTATACTTAATAAGTTTTCAGTGTTTCAGATAAATAATATCATTATTAATAGGGCCGAGTAAAGTAATTGTAAGCATTTTTTAACTCTTAAATTTTCTCTATTACTCAAGATTCTAGCTATATAATACAGTATGACTAACATTAAAAATAATTTACAGGGTAATTATACAATGAACGGGTTTGATTTGTCTCTACTAGAAAAGACTAATTTTCCCAAACAATACTTTTATGGAACTTACAAGTTGAAAATACAATACACAAACAAAGAGGACGATATTGTTGGTTGTCTAATCTTAGTTGTTGAGTTTGTAAGACCCTGGGAATATAATTTAAAATATTATAAATGATTTATATTGTTACATGTTTTATTTCCATGTACCGTAAAATAAATAAATACGTTTTAAATCCCTTTATAATATGTATAATATTTTCGGTGTAATGTTATTAAGTGTGCTGTGGTTTATGTAATTGTGTTTAATGGATTTCAAATAAACGGATAATTATAATATACTAATTATACCGTATACCTTTAATTATGTAATTTAAAAATCATAACTAGTGTGTATTTAGCCGGGCAATAGAAATCAAGAAAGAGATTGATGAAAAAAAAACATTTAGTTTAAGCTTAAACACAATTAAAACACAATTTTAAACAGGAGTACATTTTCGACGACACCCCGCTGTTTTATCTCTAAAATATAATTATATATTGTCTATCCGGACGTCTTAGGTCCGGATAGACAATCTATGGCTAGTTGTAAATTTGACCGGGCGGGCGGACGGGTGGGAAGTAGCTGATTTAACCATGCGGTAGCTGTAATGGTGATTATTTTTTTATCATCAGCGCATAAGTGTAATTTTTTTATAATTATTCATTATTTCATTAATTATTTTTTTTAATATCAATGACCTTACACTGAGCCCAGCAAAAAAAAATCTCAGGATGACATGACAATATTTAGTGATTCAAGCCAAAGGTTAGTTAACTGTTTATTTTATTTTATTTTTTACTTAAGTACTAATGTGTATAATAGATATTCTTAAGATACAGAATAAATTTCAAAGTCCAACATATAAAAAAAAATATATTATTGTATTTAAAATAACAGTAAAATAATACTTTGATATTTTTTTGTATAATATTATATTAAAAATATGTAAAAAAAAGTTCTTTATAATTGTTTTAATTTTGATTTTTCAATAAACTTTAGCGACAAAAAATAGCAAAAACATAATATTTATTTATAAAAAAATTAATTCATTTTTTTAAAAATTCATCTTAACTTTCTTTAAATAAATAAAAATATCAAAATTTTAATTTGTCAATAATGACCCAACGATTTCCACAACAAGATATAATACCACGATTGATACAGTTTTTTCAAGATACTTGCATAATATGACTTCACAAACATATGTATCATATTTCAGCTATCATAAGCCAATTTTCTCTATGATAGAATGTACAAATTAGATTTTTAATGAATATATACTTATTAATAAAGTTTTAACGAAGATATTTTTTTAAATTTAATTTCATGTACTTATTTTTTTTTTCTTATTCCTTAATTAACATTTTTTCACCCACTTTACTACAACACATATACGTTCGGAACTTAATAAAGAATATTATAGTATAATTATATTTTTAATAAAGAATAAAATGTTGTTTTCGAAACGTTTAATTTGTCTCAGAACAGTGATCCTACACAATCTACGACAAAATATAGTACAACCGTTGATGCTGTTTTTACAGATATTTGAACAAAATTGAGTCAAATATATACGTATCATATTTTAGTCATCATAAATCAATAATTTCTATGATAAAATGCGAGATTTAGTAATATATAATATGGGCGTACCTTGGCTTTTGTGGTTCTTCCCAAAGGGGGTCCCCTACGATTACGGACCGACTAGTAGCGCTAGGCGCTAATTGCGGGCCGGGGAAGGTATGTTGCAAGAGAAGTGGTCCCATAGAAGGCCACTTAACGTTCGGCTCAACGTCACTTTAGTCGCCTTTTACGACAGGTGTGAGGCCCTTGGAAGAATTCTTTCTCCCCTGTCCACAGGGATAAGTAATATATAATAATATACATATGATAAAAAGATTTTATCATCACTTTTTATAAATTAATCGAATGCAACCATATGATATCTGAACTTCGTTCCTACCGAGGGTCCCGTGACCCACTCAGTATTTTTTTAAATAAAATGAGCACACAACACTATTAGCAAAATAAAAAAATGACAATTCTCACTTCTCAGAACTTCCAACTGTTAAAAATTAGTTTGAAAAAATGTCTTATTTTGTCCTAAAAGTTTGAATTTTTCTAAGTGTGGTATTCGTGATAATGATAAAAAGCTCATGTAAAATCAATCATCCACATATGTACAGATGTACCTAGTAGTAAACTTAGGTATAAATTATGTTTGTAGAAGTAATGTGCAAGCGATTCCTCTATGCTATTTGTAAAAAAACGAAGATGTAAACTCCAAGGGAATCGTATTTAGTTTGATACCAGGTCACCACAATACCTAGTTGCGACACTGGTGGTTTCTTAGCCATAGTTTAGTGGTCCACCGCCAATTTATTTTAGAGAACCATTAAGACTTGTCAATTGTTTTTAAAAACCAGCAAAGTACAGTTTTTTGGTAAGGAGGGGGGGAGGAGATGGTTTAAAAAGATAACAAACTTAAACGTTTATTAAAGAAAAACCAAATTATTTTATTTCTACATTTTGCTCATCTTTTCCAGGTCATTTTACGCTATTTTAACAGTTGTTCATATTTAAAAATAATAGATTTTGCTAAATTTCATTGTAATATAATATCGATAACAATAAGTATCCATATTGTTTGAAGTGCATAAAATATTTTATTGTACAGTATTTAAAAAAAAATTGTAAAATATCAAATCATTTTAAAATTACCCGCTACAACAAACTAATGTTTTCTTTATGCGCTACTTTTTTTATCTATAATTAGATATGATATTTTGATTTATAACTCAATAGTATAATTATATAATAATATTGAGTATCTATAACTTAATATTATAATTCGATCTCATAATAAATACACATTAGGCCCTATGTAAAAAAACTTTGGATTAGGTATTCCAAAAACTTTTGTTCCAAAAAATATAACTTCCCATAATATGGTAGTATAAAAGTTTATATTATAAACTTTTATAAATAATAATTGTATAATATATTTAAAACAAATAATAATATGATAGTACTATGGAGTAATTTATTGAAAGTGACCTGTATAATTTAGCAAAATACTAATAAAAATCTTATAGTTACAAAATAATATTCTAAATATAATATCAAATATTACTTCAGCTTTAGGTTTTTTCCCGTACAAAATTAAGTCCTACGAGAAAAGATAGTATCAAAATACCGAACTTTAACGCCGTTGTATCTAACTCAATTAACTGAAATTGAACTGAGAAACTAAACGAATAATTTTTATAAGCTATACTTGTCATTTTATATAAAGAAACGAAATAAAAATGTAAAATATTAAAAAAATATACCACATTTGTTTGCTAAGAATTGTTGAAACTTTGACATTATTGCATATGTCTGTTTAAACAGTTTAATATTTTTTGTTTAAAAATCATACAATCATGTGTCATCATAACGCGCAAGTGTGTAAGTGCGTTTTTTTTAAGGTTTTCTTAAAAATAATTTAGAACATATTTAATGCTATACTGCTAAACTTAAAACATCGGTAAAACATTATCGAAATATCGATCTTTTAGACAAAATTATCGATATTATTGTATCGATATTTTTGAATTCGATGTATCACTTTGATCGACAATAATTATGTCTCGATATTAGATTTTTGTTTTTTTAATTTTTTAATAATCAGAAATGTCAACCCTACTAAGGTCCATATCATATTGTGTTGTTATACCTACATATTACAATTACAATTGTATTACATATTTGATTTATTGTCAACTGCCCAATATCTTTAGTTCTTATCACTTTTAATTTTATGTTTATCATATCCAGAGACTAGAATAATATGTTATTATAATATAATAACATATTATAATATTAGCTTACCATGGTTTCTTACATACCTCATATCTAGACGACGATATTATGAATTTATTACTTTAATTTAAACAATAGCCTTATATAAGTTATAATCTAAAATATCGGATATATCAATATATCGGAATTGAAATCGATTTGCGCAACCCTAAATTTATTTATTTATTAAATAAATAAATAAATGTCTATCTGACGTCTTTACACTGTAAAATATATAGTAGTAGTAAAGTGTATAGTAAAATAGATATCCCATTACGCTGCCATTTTATTTCTGAAGATAACAATTCAAGACGATGTGGAATAACCTATATATTTTAACCATAGGTTACCCCTATTCTTATGAGAAACATATTTTGTTAATAACAAATTTGACATTGCTGATATTAGGCATTATAGTCAGTACGTTTATAAATTATACGAAGCTATAAAAACGGTTTAAAATTAAATACTATGTCAACGTTTCTTAATGCGCTTTTAAATCATTCAATCGTATTTAAAGATAAAACTCTATCACTAAGTAATAAATACTATTGTAAATTGCACCACTCAAATTGTTTTGGATACATTACTCTTTTTTACAATTTTATTTTTTTTAATAAATTACAAACATTTTGAACAATGGCTGCGAATCAATGAAATTATCCAAAGCTATATTATTATCTGGGACATAAATTTTTGTTGTGTACACCAAGGGCAGACAATAAAATAAAAAAAGAACTCGGGTTTTTTCTCCGTATTACCTATACCTACTATTCTAATTTTATGTCTTTTCTGTAATCCTATCACTATTATTAGTTGACATTATACTATATGATTATCAAATTTGTGATTGAATGATTAATGTTATAGTTTAACTGAAGTCTGAATTAATACAATCCATGCATTTTAGTTTGTTACTTACTGAACAGTTACTAGTCTTTGGAGCAATAGGCACTGTTACCAGTTTTATATGCTTTGCGAATAATTGCGATATACTGATTTATAACAATGGAAGGTAAATATGTTACATATTTATTATTCATGTTGACTTTTTTTACTGACAATTCAGTCGGCGAAAGAAAATATTTTCCAAATCTTCCGTTTGTAAGTAACTACCTAATTAGCAGCATACTTGCACTGTGAGTACTACTAACAAAATTTCAATAAATATAAAATGATTTATAGAAATTTAGCAATGGTATTTTAGACACAGCACTTGTCTGCTAACTGCTCGATTAAAAATTGTATTGTGTATTTATCTGTCACGCTTGTAATATTTGTTATAAATCTATAAAATATGCCAATTTGTTTACTAAATATGTAATATATTTAATATTACATATTTTTTGTTTATGTTCATATTTTGTACTGCTGATTTAATCGGTGACAGAAAATATTACCCCAATCTTCCCATTAAGTACATACTGCCTACCTAATTAATAACTTACTAGCATTGTGTGCTACTCACATAATTTCAATAAATTTATAACGATTTATAGAAATTCAGTCATAATATTTTAATATACAGCACCTGCTCCTACACTGTGATTTTAGCTGTACACCCTTTTAATTTATTTTTATAAATCTTTAAAATATAAGATTTTAAGTTTGAATGTTTTACTACGTAATTTGGCAACTTAAAAACGAACAGACAACCTTAGTCTTTAATATTGTTATAATATCTTTAAGACCAATATACTCGTATTTATTATTAAAAACAAAATGAAGTAAAATATTAATTTGTTAAGCTTCAAATTAAAATTTAAAAGTTGTTAAAAAAAGAATTAGTTGAGTCACAACCTAATATTTTATAGTTCACTCTGCTGAACATTTAGTCACGTAAATTGAAGAGTCTACTTGAAAAATTATTCATTAGAAAATACTATTTACTCAGTAAAGTAAACTACAATATGTTGTAATCACTTTTTTCAGGGATCATGTAAGTGTAGATAGTGCCATCTCTATTTGTTATAACTTAACTACTATTTGTTTCAATTCTTAATCCAAAAAGTTAACACGTCATTGCGAAAACCGGTAATTAGTTTTTGATTTTTCAAACTAATTATTTTAGGGGTTGCGCAATAAAAAAATGTATAAGCTTTTCTTATTTTTCCACCTTAGCTCTGGTACATAACCGAAAAAGTTTTTCAGCCGATTCTGGTCGACTGAAAAACTTGGGTGGTTAGTATATTAAAACATATCAAGTTTCTGGCTAATATTTTAGTGTTTTTATTATTTTAAACTCGAACTCAAAAATTGCTTGAATATTTGATTAAACAAATATTTATTTATTAAACAAGTACAATCAAGTTAATTAAAAAACTAACAATTTTGTGGGGAAAAGAGGAGTTACTCGGGTTACTGGACTTTAAAGAAAAACAAATTTTTTTTTACCTTTCAACTTTTTAAAACATCAAAAAAATAAGCATACTATGAAAATACAAATTTAAAGTAATTTTAACTATTTTGTTGCATTTTTAAAAAAACGAAATACATATATTAAGTTTTTGTTCATAACTAATAAATATATAAAAATGTGATGTTTGCCGTCTTTTTCAGGATTATATAAGTAAAGCCAGAATACAAATTCATTATTATTTTAAAAAATAATACGGTCACACGGTCGAAATTTTTTTTTTAATGTAGAAAATTTTGGTAATATTATTTTTATTTGTTCGTAAACTGTTGCGGAAGTGACAGTCTAGTGACCGCAGGCCTATTATTATTATTATTCTATTGTAGGTCCCAAATTAAAATGACGAATTTCAATTCATTTTTTTATAAAAATATATGACCCCATCTTGAGGGAAATAAAAACTTAAATTTTATGAAAATTACATAAAGTTGACATAGTGATTTTTATTGAACGTCCGCACTATGTGTATATATACAGCACCTATTTATTATCACATTAGCACGGTCAAGGTGGTACACATAAAATACAACTCAAGTTGATAAACAAGATTTTTAGTGGTTATCTACAAATTTAATTAATATTAATAATAAATAAATATATTTTAGGGTGAATATAGATTAAAATTCTTAGGAGCGTTTATTTGTAATGAAAGCATAAATTATCCCATTTCTTATAACTACCATCTATCACGGATTTCTAAAACCAAAACGGTCTTAACGGGCAAACTAATCCAAAGAATCCCATTTGACGACTCCTTAAACGTAACTATAACATTCTTTGAAAACTAAATAAGAATATGTTTTCACATATCTTAAGACGACAAAAATCAAAGTACTTTATTATAATCAACAGCTCCACATAAGCGCGGCAGTATTAGATAATATTGGCGGTTGGAAGTCAAATGCGTTCATTCACAGACGACCTAATGCATGTCTTAGCCTCAAGAATATTATGGGAGAAGCTTGGATACCATTTTTACAAAGCTTTAACGAATCAATATCCGGTTGTCCAGTGAAACCAGTATGTATTGTAACTTAATATGTTTTCAGTTTTTCAGTTAAATATCATTATTAATAGGGTCGAGTAGAGTAATCGTAAGCGAATAATTCAAATGTAGGTGCAAAATAAATTTAATTATGTCTTATTATTGATATTGATATGTCTCAATGTTGAATAAAATACAAATTCGTTAATTGTAGGTTATAACTATTTATAAAAATTGAATAAACATTTACCTCGTGTTTTAACAATTACACAGCCTTACTCTATTCAATTTTATTGATAATTAATAATTATTAAATCTAAAATTCTCCCTATCACTCCATATTGTAGTTATATTATACAGTATGACTAACATAAAATAATTTACAGGGCAATTATACATTGAATGGGTTTGATTTGTCTCTACTAGAAAAGTCTAATTTCCCTAAACAATATTTTTATGGAACTTACAAGTTAAAAATACAAGCCACAGACAAAAAGGATGATCCTGATAGTTGCTTATTCATAGTTTCAGAGGTTGTAAGACCGTGGGAGTATAATGTATAATATAATAAATGATTTATGTTACTTGTTTTATTTTATTATACCATAAAATAAATAAAATATAAGTTTTCAATACCTTTACATGTTTAATTTATTTGGTGTATTTTTAAATGTGCTATAGACTATTGTTTATGTAATTTTATTTAATGGAACATTTAAATCAATAAATAATTATAATATACTTATTATACTTGTGTATCATTTAATTATATAGTTTATAATTTATACCATTGTGTACAATACATATTCAATGTTTATACATAACCAAAAAATAAAAATAAATACATACTATATAAAACCCGGTTAAAATTGAGCAATAGATTTTTAAATAGCATAACAAGTATATTACTTGTACGTTAATTTACTGTAACGTGCAAACAATATAGTAAACAAATTACTAATAATATTACTTATTATTGGTAAATGTTCGACTACAAATTAACATTTTTGACAAAAATTACCTTTACGAAATCCCTTAATGCACGCAAGAGAGAGAATTTTATTTTTGCGTGTAGTGTATACTATACAACTATATAATAATAATAATAATAATAATAATATACTGTAAATAAATTACTTGTACAATATTGAAATAACACTAAAAATAGATAAGATTTTATAACAATGAGAAAGCAAAAGTATTGCACATGGAAGCCCGCCTACAATTCTTAAAACCAAATTCCCTCAAGACGGTAGCACTGATTTCAACTGGCCAATCAGGGAACGTTATGCGAAAATCGATAATTACAGCCCGGCTGGACGTTCTGTTGACTGTTTTCATATTTCAATATTTTGTATAATCACCTGCTTGTGTATAATGTCAGTGATGGCTCGATAGGAAACGTCCGGGATCCTTATCGTGTATCTTTTAACTGTATTTACATTTTACGGCAATCTTGTAGCTTTTTAATTACATTTAAATACAACAAATATTATATATTAATACTGTCAGAACGAATACTCATTGTTATACTACATTGACTACTGATTGATTCGCGATGGCGCCCCATAAGTATCGTTAGTACCGTTCGTCCAAGTGGCGCACAGTCAAATGGAATATGGATGGAGACAATGTTATGACTATGGAAACTGATAAATCTATCGGCGACAGTCTCGACATAAATCAGGTAAGTTAAAGACGAACATTTCAATTATGTGATTTAGTTTTTACAAACTATCATTACCTCGAATGACTTCTGTTTGAAAGATGTTTCACCCAAACATAAGTAGTTATGTTTGTTTGTAGCAAAAACTTTTTTTTTTAACTGTTAAATTCTAGTCTGTACGTATTTCTTCAAAGCTAAGCTTTCACTTAACTGATCAATATATATATATAATAGGTAGGTTCAAAAAAACCTTAACTAACAAACAATTCATTATTGTTTGTTTTTCTCTTTAGAATATATTATTTAAATATGAAAAATGTTTTAGTATTTTTTTTAGATTTGTAATACTATTTCATGAGATTATTCGTGGAGACTTTATAGCAAAAATTAATTTTTTTTCAATAAAAAATGCTTAAAAAAATCTTTTATATGAAAATTATTAGCATTAAAAAAAAAATATATTGCTAATTCTATGGACCTTAAAAAATGAAGGTTTTTGATATTTTGATTAAAAAAAACACAAAATTACCCTAAAATTGTTTTCATAAATTAATCACAACATATTATTCTCTATTTAATTAAGAACAAAATCACTATAATAACAGTAACATTTTTTTTTTTTAATGGTAAAAAGATAAACAAAAACTGCGAACAAATTAACACATCGTAAACAATTTAAAAAAAAATTCTAATCATGAAACTTAAAATAACTTAAAAACTAGAAAAACTTAATATTTACCTTAAAATTAGTTGAAAAATAACTGGTTCTAGTGTCAATTTTGAGTGTATGGTGTGTTAACAATGTAAGTTAGAATACTTAAAATAGTTAATACCTAGCTAAAATGTAATTTATGGTACTAATGTTTGTTACTATATTTGACATTTCATTATGTCAATTTTATTTCAGTATCCATCAATGACAGTTCTATACGATCTAACAATTCAGAAAGACTCTATGACTAATGATGTTCCATTGCCACAATTTTGCTCCGAACAAGAGCTGTGCTTTAAGTATTTTGATAAATGGAGCGAACAACACCAAATAGATTTTGTCAGACATCTTCTGACACGTATGTGCCACAACCAACAAGGACAAGTTGCCTCCTATTTACAACCCATATTACAAAGAGACTTTATATCACTCTTACCTAGTAAGTTAAGAATTTTGTTTATGTTAGAAAACCAATAATGATTTTTGATTAACTATTAATTTTAAATTTTTTAGACAAAGGCCTAGACCATGTAGCTGAACACATTTTGTCCTACTTGGATGCTGATTCTTTGTACGCTGCTGAGTTAGTGTGTAAAGAATGGAATCGGGTAATTTCGGAAAGCATGAATTGGAAAAAGTTAATCGAACGTAAAGTGCGTACTGATTCGTTGTGGCGTGGGCTTGCTGAACGAAAAGGATGGTGTGTTTCAACATTTATTATTTTAGCGGTTTATTATTATAACCAGTGGGGAAGGGTCATAGGAGACAATATTTACTTAGATATATTAACTTAGAATATAGATGAATAATTTTTTTGCACGTTCGCGGAGTCGCGGATAATCCTATAAACATTTTGTTACTGTATAGATAGGAGATACAGTCAAATTTGTCTCATTTTGCCGGGCGTGGTGTGCAAGGGAAATTGGCAATTGGGCGGAGGTTATCGTTGCTCTATGACACATGTCTCACTATTTATTTATTTATAAGTAATCGTTATTATCAGTTATCGACGTCCTGGCATCAGACATACGAGATAAAAAATAAAAAACCGACATTCATTTTAAATTTAACATCTGCAATCAGAAAAACTATTTGAAAATTTCATTATTTTGTTATTATATTTTTTTTGTTAAATTAGTTTGAAAATTTTTTTACCTTTTCTGGTATAAGTCAATTTTATTTCTAGTTTTTGAACTTATTTGTTGTACAGTGTATACTTAAAAAAAAAGAGACAAGAAGTACGGGGGGCCGCAGCTCCATTTTTTTTTCAATATCTCCCCAACCTAAAGAACCACGCCTCGCCACTGATTATAACCATCATTTAATTTTCTAGGATTAAATACTTGTTTAAACCAAAGCTGGTAGAATGCCATCCTGAGAATTTCTCCTATAGGAGCTTGTTTCCTAAAATAATGAAAGATATTGAAGTAAGTAACAGTGTTACTATGATAAAATTTAAGCAAATTAATAATATTGTGCCAATTATACAAACTAAACCAACTATTTTTATTTTCTTACAGAGCTTAGAAACAAATTGGCAAACTGGAAATTTTGTTTTGAAAAAGATTAATTGCCAGTCAGAAAACTCAAAAGGTGTATACTGCTTACAGTATGATGATGAAAAAATTGTCTCTGGACTACGTGATAATACTATTAAAATATGGGATAAAAATACATTACAATGTACTAAGGTAATAGTTTTGTTATTTATATATATATACATATGTAAATTATATTTAAGAAGGTTAGAGATGTGAGAGGGACCATTGGCCAAGCCATCAGTATGTTTGGTGCTGACTGTTACTGGCACTCCGTTTGCTGGAGGAGAAGTTGTTTGGTGAAAAAGAGCGGTTATCCCCTCTCTGGCAACGGACTGACAACCTGTTTGAACAGCAAATTCGTCTAGAAACCATCATCTCACAATAGCTGCTTTGGGCCTTCAAGCCCGTTAAGCTTACATAATATATATATATATATGTATTATATATATATATGTATTATAACTTCATTTACGTATCAATAAAAGCTTAAACATCTAAACAATTTGTAAAAATAAATAAATTAAAAACTGTTTCTTGCATGATATTTGTAAATATTGCAGTTTACATTTTGGGGAAAGATGTTTAAAATTATGTACTAAATAATTTGTCTTACATTCAGAATGTTCAATAAATTTGAAGTTTTTCAATAAAAAGTGCTAGAGTTAATTTTTTCTTTTACTTATAATAAAGTATAAAATAAACAATAACTTAATAGGTAGATATACTAATCTCTCTCTCTGGCTGGGAATAACTCTGACATGTTTCTGAAATTGCAATAGTACTCAGACTATAAAGCAAAAAGATTTCAAAATTGAGAGAGGTTCTAATGCCGCCACGCTAGCTATAGTGTAACTTTTAAACACACATAGCTCATTGGTTATACATCACTTGTGTCAGAAAAAACCGGAACGTTTAGTATAATGGCTTCTTTATAACAACATTTACCCCTATCAATTATAAGATTACACCCATAAATAACATCAACATTTTAGAACTTCAAATGAAATCCCTTGTCATAATTCCCTTTATATTCCAGTTAATAATTTTTTTAAAACAATATGGTTCAAATATTACTTCTTGTGGAATTTATAATATATCCGCTTCAATAAAAACAAATTTTGATTTAACAACCCGTTTTGTAATCAATAAACAAAACTATATTAAGTAACGATTTCTTATCATTATACCTTATCTCTGTACATTTATACTGAATAATTTATTTATCAATTGTTTAATATTATCTTATTAAATCTTAAAAATACAAGCTCTAAAAATAATTTTTAGACATTTTTATTTATTTTTAAAACAGGTTTTTTGAGGTAGGTCTTCAAATTTTAATAATATTATAAAACAAGTAATAGTTTAATTAGATTTAGACAATACAATAGAGTATTCTTAAATTTATATTATCGAAACTAAAATGACAATGACTGTTTTATGTGTTTAATCCGATAGTTTTATATTTTTATAAATCTGTATAAAACTTTAAATTCCGTTTGAGAATGGTAAATTTGGTGTATTTATACAAACTGCTACAATTTACAAAATTAAATGTTATTGTCCAATTACTTGCCAAATTAATACAAATTTGATATTTTATTGATTTTTAAGCTGTTTTTTAACGAAAACGTTACAACTCTTTGTTTAAAAAATAACTCTAACATATTGAAAATTAAAGCTGTTAAGAGTTTTTGTTCTACTGAAGAAGCTTTTTATACTGCAAAAATAAAGTAATTTAAAAGCATGCAAGACAACTAAATTAATTTCTAATCAAATTGAAACAACTTAAATGTATCTTAATAAATAACTGGGTTTTTTCCCTTAAGACAATCAATTTATATTATAATAGAAAATACTAATGCGCATTATTCAAAAATATTTATAACTTATGTAATCAACAAATTCATACCTAATTTTTGTTGATGATCAAAATAATTGATATGTGTAAAATTATTTGTGATGAAGTTTTTATTGCAAGTTTTTGGTTGTTGGTATTGTAAATATTTATTTTGTATTGAATACCTATTCAAATCATTAAAATATCATAAATCAAATTGTATTAATTATGAAATGTTGTGAAAAACAAACTAAAAGTTTAACCAATTTTTAGGTATTAGCTGGCCACACTGGCTCAGTCTTGTGCTTGCAATACGATGACAAAGTGATTATTAGTGGCTCCAGTGACGGCACATTACGTATGTGGAACATTGCAACTGGTGAAACAGTAAACACTTTGGTACACCATACTGAAGCAGTTTTACACTTGAGATTTAACAATGACATGATGGTGACTTGTTCAAAAGTTAGTGCATTCATTGGATGTTACACTATTAACATGTTGACATTGACTGTATTATATTTTGTATCTTATAGGATCGATCAATAGCTGTATGGGACAAGTTGTCGTCTAGTGAAATGAACTTACGTCGTGTGTTAGTCGGACATCGTGCAGCAGTGAATGTTGTAGATTTTGATGATAAATATATCGTTTCTGCTTCTGGAGACCGTACGATTAAAGTGTGGAATTCATCCAGTTGTGAATTTTTAAAAACCCTAAACGGTCATAAACGCGGCATTGCCTGTCTTCAGTATAGAGATCGTTTGGTAGTCAGCGGTAGTTCAGACAACACCATCAGGTACTTCATGATAGCTACTTATGGACAGAGATGTACCCAATAAAACCAAAAATATCTTGTTAAAAAAGTATCAATCATGCACACCTCAGATTATGAAGGTACTGTTCATTTATTGTTAACTTATTATGTTTATTCCTGTTAATTGTTATAGATTGTGGGATATTGAGTACGGCGCTTGTTTAAGAGTACTCGAAGGTCATGAAGAACTGGTGCGATGTATTAGGTTCGACAGTAAAAGAATCGTTAGTGGAGCTTATGATGGGTATGTGAGAAATAATAATCATTATGATTGCTTTGGCTTGGGGTATAATAGTTTATGTTTTAACCCATAGAAAAATCAAAGTGTGGAACTTAGTTGCGGCGTTAGACCCTCTAACTCCATCAAGTACGCTTTGTATTCGCACACTCATGGTAAGGGTTTCGCACAGCATATGCTTTTATGAATTTATTTTTTTCGTGATTAAGAGAGGAGGTATTTATTGTCCGGCAGGAGCACACGGGACGAGTGTTTCGACTCCAGTTTGACGAGTTCCAAATTGTAAGCTCCTCGCATGATGATAACATACTTATTTGGGACTTCTTGAATTACAATGACACAACTAATATGGCAGCAGGCCCATCAAATAACGCAGAGGTACAAGCATTACCCAATCAACATGGAAACATTTTTCGTCCTTCGCCACCACCAGAGCCTTTAGGTAAAATTGTTTTCTCTTTAGTTGAATATAAAATATAGTTTGTGTTATACTTATTTATTGTATATGTTTAGATGTTGAGTGATCCCATCCTTGATCGACCGAGTACAAGTTAAGTACTTGCTGTGAATATCGTCTAAAAAAATGATAAATTAAATACTTATCTCATCTTTTTCTCTTTTTGTATTTATTAACTATATTATATATTATACTTTAAAATATTTATATTTATATTTAAAATACAACATTAAATATAAAAACTTCTGAATATAACTGTGCCAATGTTCTTAAGTATTTTTATCGAATCGTATATTATGTATACAATTGATATTTCTTCGGTTTAATGCAAATTATCGAGTGTTTTTAATGCTGCTTAAAATTTATTGTTTAATTTAATCAAAACGTCTGTGATTTTTCGTTAATAATTTTTTAACAATATAATATATCAGACGAGCATAATGACACTTCTTGCTTTCCTTCATAAACTTTATTTTGTTAAACAACATTGTGTTCCTTCGTTTTAGTTTTAGGTTACAGGACATGTTTATAACCTACTTGATTTTGTTTGTACTATAAATTTAATAACATGCAGTATTGTGTTCTTTATTTGAATAAATTCCAAAAAAAAAATTGTCTATATAAGAGTGATTGTGTGTAAAACTTATATAATTATTGATATGAAATAAACATTTTATTTGAAAAACATATTGGTTTTTTTTATGTTTTTAGTAAACAAAATAATAAATAACAATGGTGAAGTCAGCTTTTGCCGGAGAAATTTTTGGAAAGTTATAGCCAATAACTAAATTTTAACTTTTTTTTTTTCATTCATATGTAATGTGTAAAAAAAATGTTTAGGCCAAGTCAATTAATTGAATTATGCACTAGAACAATTAAAACTTGTTGTAAGTATACAAATAATAAAATTGTTTTTTGCTAATTACTCGGTGAACAGTCAGTCTAGATATACCCAAGGCAAAAACTAATAGGTAGAGTTATATTTTAGAAACCCTAGGCATCTTTTTTACACTAATTATCATTATTGCGATATTATCATTATAATTATGATTATTAACTAACTGTCATTAACATCTTGAGCCTCCGTTAGTTTTCGAAAAAAGCACCATGTAAACTATGACTAAACTTAAAACTTTTCGTCTGTCGTAAAATATATATTATTTGGCGTATGTTGGTAAACCTACAATTGTTTCATACATTTATTTAGTTTGGTAAAGTACGGTTTAATCGATAAGTCGCTCATAGGACATCAGCGTTGCGCACGTCGTCGATGAAATCGCTTTAAGGTTTGCGTCGGGCCAATATAATGTGGGACCTGCGCATACATTTCATTGTCTTAAAAAAAAGTACAAAATATTCTATATTCATTGTGATACCCGTTTGAAATTCAGAAAATAAAAATAAATGACTTGAAAGTTAAGCGAACAGAACACCATTTGGTTTGATTAAAGCCAATCAAACCGATTTGTATAACAAACATAATTTATTGCTTGACCATATTTACCACCGAATAAAAATTAACATTTTTATTTAAGTATAAGTAAGCCGTAAGGTATAGTGTTAGATATAACTAATGAAAGAATAAGAAGATATCGTTATCTCATAGATAATGTAGACATTTTTCCTTATTTCGTTTTTGTTGATATTTTGTTTATTTTGTGTCAGGTGTAAATGGTTATACTCAGAGACGTATTTAGGAATTTTGCGCCCCAGGTAAGAAAAATAAACACCCCCTTCCCAACCTATATTTCTTCATCAATAGGTGTATTTGTAAAAAAAAAACACATGATAGTGAAACCAATACACTCCTAATCTGAAAGGTATATTAGGTGTATATAAAAAAAAAAGTTCTTAAAAACATGCTTTTCTAAAAAAAAAAATAGTAAAAAGTGAATTAAAAACTAAAAATAATTTTATTACAAGAACATTTTACCAATCAATTGTAGCATATTTTATTTAAAATGTTAATTACTTTGAAAACAATCGAAAATTAATTTTTGACTAAAAAGAAAAGCGTGGGCGTTATTCAACAAAGTCCAAATTTATTGAGTTAAGTATTAAGAAATGTATGTGTCACACACTAATATTCACCCAAATTTAAATTACAAGAAAACTTACATTATAAAACATTATCTGATAAATTTTTTTAGGGACTTTGTTGAATAGGGCCCACGCTTTTCTTTTTAGTCAAAAATTAATTTTCGGTTGTTTTCAAAGTAATTGACATTTTAAATAAAATATGCTAGAATTGATTGGTAAAATGTTCTTGTAATAAAATTATTTTTTACTTTTTAGTTCACTTTTTACTATTTTTTTTTTTTAGAAAAGCATGTTTTTAAAAAAGTTTTTTTTAAATTTGTTTTTTTACTTTTTAGTCCTATTAAGGTATTTAATAATTGCTGAATAGATTACTAAATTAATTTTAGAAGATTTGGAAAAATATGAAATTTTAGTGAAATGACCCCCACATTTGGCCCTGTGTAGGGCGACCTGGATGTCCGAGTCTCAATATGATTACAGGATATTGTATTGTCATCTAAGACGAGTGTCTGTACCAAGTTTCAGCCCTATAAAACATCGGGAAGTGGGTTAAATTAATTTTGCAAGATTTGAAAAATACCCGTACAAACGTACGTACGTACGTGTTAGCGAGCTAAAGAAAAGCAAGTAAAAATACATTTATTGAAGTACATATTACATAATTATATTAGGTATATTTATTATTAATTATACAAAAAACCTAAATGTAATAGGTTAAATGACAACGTTTAAAAAAAAAATCCCTTAATGTATAAAATTCCCCATATGTGAAAGAATATTAAAAATGTTTACGACGAGCTTTTTCAATAAAAAACGCCATTAAAAGGCGAGCAAAAGCAGTAGAATTTACGCCGAGCGTATCAATGATATCATCATAATCTAACTTCTTTGTTAAATCTGACTCTATAGTTAAAACAGCCAAAGAATTAGCCTTTTGTCTGTAGTATTTGATCTCAAGTAGGACTTGACTCTTTTTATGACTGAAAAAGACCTCTCAGCAGAATAGTTAGATGTAGGTAGGACAAGAAACAAAAATTCGTAACGCACTTTCTACATATGGTTACAAATCTTTTTTTGTTTGTTTGTGATTACGAACATAGATAATAGATTACGAGTACATAAACGTTACGAACAAAGATTATTATTACTGGCAGTTGGCACGACCGTTTAAACATGTCTACGAAATATTTTTGGGCGGCCATATTCTGTGTATCTTAATTCTCAAACTACAATATACTTTTCTATCGTATTTTCAATGCATGTTTCGTGACAAATGAAAACTACAATAATACATTTATTAGTATCATTACTTTTTTTATCACCCAAATGACCTACCATATTATATCAAAATGCTCTCCAAAATTTACCACCCGGGGCCCAAGCCCCCCCTGCCCCCCTAAATACGTCTATGGACTTATACTTTAAAAGTACACATCAAATTCACCACCAGTCAAATTTTCTGACGTTCAAGTCCGAAAACACACTTAAAAGTTGAAATAAAAAAAGGGTTAATTGTTTGGGGGGGGGGGGGTTACCGCAGATAGATGAGGTTCGTCTCAAAAATACCCCAACCAAATTTGGAGATGTTAATTTAAACATTTAAAATTTTTTAGAGTGATTTTCTTGATTTTGAAATCGAGGTATAGTTATAGAAGTTAGTTTCTTTCCTTTTACAACTTTTGACTAGGTCAAAATAAGGCTCTAGCCTTATAACAGTGCCAATAACGAAGAGTTCGTTTCGATGGTTGAAAAGTTAAAGATTTAAAATACGTTTTCTAGCAAAAAAAAAATCGTTTTTGTTAGGGACGAGTCACTTATCAGCGATAGATACCGCGCAAACAAGCCGTTGCATATTTCTCTGTTGATTTTGTAACACAAGTTTGCAGACAAATTATTTACTTATGAGGGAATATTATTATATTTTCATGTTATTATTCATTTTTTTAATATTTCTAAATTACTTTGTATATTTTTATATATTTTAGACGTATTTAAATTATTTCCAACTGGTACGAATTCGGAATTTCTACCAGAATCGTCTAGTCACCTGTTTGGTCTAAGAATGAAACACTATTATATACAGTACGTATTGCACATTTTGATTACATGCGAGAATTCGATGTTGGTTTTCTGAATGTAGTATAACAATATTGCATGTTTTCTTGACTGACGACTTTTGGATAGATCGCGTTGGTAGCTCTGGATGTAACTTTCAATTGATAAAATCTGATGAGCGATAACAAACGCATAAGCATAAATTATGATTTATGAAATGCCTATGTCTTATAATTATTTTGTCATGGTAGGTACTAGATAGTAGCCTCTAGCTAGTAGATACGTTTGTAAATCAAAGCGACAAGAGTATCATAAATTATATAATTATAGATAGGTGTAAACTAAAACTGAAATCACAGATCTAATCTGTGCTGAAATCAAAATTCAAAACGTTAAAATACAACAAACTACCAGTGGGGTATTTGCAAGTATTAAATAAAAAAATATAGATCTTATTTTGTAAATAAAAATGTATATATCATATAAGAAATTTAGTTTACTTCATTTTTCTATTTGTTTAATAAAATAATTATTTCGTCGCTGTTATGCAAGTATGATTTTGATTAAACATTTAAAAAAATGCAGTTAACTTAAGATTATTGATCAAAACAATACAATTCCTTTTATTTTAAAAGTCAATGGGGGATATAGCACTTCCCATATCACCTCTCTTTGAGCACGATTACTGGTTTTAAGAGCTTAAGTCTAATAACTAGAGTTAAATATAACACTTCTATTTGATAGTTGTACTTAAACTTTAATTTTTAAAATTAACGTGGAGGATCATTCAATCAATAAAAATTACATTACTAGGTTTATATATATAAAAAAAAAAAAAATTAATAATAAATAACAAAAAAGAAATATCGATTGGTATACATTCACAAAATATAGATGAGTATAAACACAATCGGTAATGTGATGGCATACGTTTAAAAATTACATACAAATTATTTCCTATAATCAGAAAACCTACGAAAATAATTCATCTGCTAATTGAGTTTTTATTCGATAAAACGTTTTTTAAATCGTCAGGTAATGAACTTATGATGTCATCCATTTTAATTTTCAATTGATCTTTGATTTTCTTGTTTAACGGATATCCTTTGCTTTCACATTCAACTAGTTTCTCGCGTATTTTCAGAATCATGTCAACAATTTCCACCTCTTGTTTACCTTCTAACCACTTGTTTATGTCCTAAAACCAAGCACAATTTATTAAAATAAAAATACAAATTACACTTTTTATAATTTTTACTTACCACGCTGGAAAGTGCTTCGATTTGCAGTATTTGAAGTTTCATCATCATTTCATTATAGCGAACGTTATACCAGCCGTTGAAATTTGGCGATCTAAAGAATTGCTTATAAAGTCCTTTCCAATCTCCTTTGAGCCCACAAGTTAGCTGGGGTCCAGCATACTCTAGACTTGCCATAAAGTTATCAGGATTAAAGGGCCAAGGTTTAGGCGCAGCCTTAAAACAAAATCGTGTAGTTTGTTAAATAGAAATATTAAAACAATGGAACAGCTGCATACTTTAAAAGGAGATATATTCCTTTGTAGGGGCATCAACGACGACATGTATCGTTCGAGTGGAATCATAAAGCTTTGTGTCAATTCTAGAAAATGTCTTCGCAACAAAGCCGACTGCACTTCTTCCGGTCTTTTATTCTGCATTCCTCTAATAAGTTTTTTTACAAATGACTTGTCTTTTTGCAAGAATGGTTTGTACTGAGTGTACACGCCTGGTTTGGCATCTAAAATTTTGAGACTCGATCCTTTTCTAACTTTATTTTTAAATGGAGTGTCTGAATTAAAACACAGTAAATACAAAATTAACACTTCGTGTTTAAGATTGCAAGATAGATCTCACCTTTTTTTGTCGTTTCCATAACTCTCACTATGTGCGGCCAGTGTTGTAATGTTTTTGAAAAATAAGGATTCGTAACACCAAGAATTATGGGAGGTGGGTTCAATGTTTTACTCATATACTCTTTGAATTCATTATCGTGAATCGTAAAGTATGGTCTGTAATCTCCATGATACGCCAAAGGTACGATTAGGCTGAAACGTTATTAATTGAAATCATTCGAGCTTGTGCAATTATTAGATATTGACCGTTTTAATTACCTGACTAAAGCCTGAACAACTTGTGAACAGTACGACGGAGACGAGGCCATGACGACGATAGGCTCTGATATCAACACAAGTTCCCATAAAAGTTGCACTTGAGTAACAATCGATGAGAAACATTCAAACGTATTTAGCTCATAGAGAGACGACACTACTACCGGCAATTGGTAGTCAGGAACCATTGAATTTGACGAGCTGCACATTTTGTTGTTATCACATATCAATTGAGCCTACAAAATGTTACGTATTTGAAATGTCAACAAATTTTGCTTATTATTCAATTCATCTACTTGTTAATAAAAATAGTGGTTCCAAATTATAAACAAATTGTGTACAAAAATAATTACCTGCAAGACGATTCCTAATAATGGCAAACTAACAGTTTCGCCGGCATATAATTCTGGCCATTGTTGAATATCATGCCAGGCTACTTCTACACCAGTAATTCCATGTTTAAAATATTCTGGTGCTATTGTACCACAAACTTCCGAGAAAAGACTAATAAATGGCAAATGGGAGAGTATAATTACACTCTAAACATAAAAAAAAAAAACAATAAATACAATTAGTGTGATAAAAGTAAAATAAAACTTTAACTTGTCTTAAATACAATAGTATGTATACATTCATTTTGTTTTAATTTATTCATTAAAGAATGCAATATTTATAATTTAACAATGGCCTATGATTGCTTTTGTCCAATTGACAGTTAATAGACGTCTCCTTTATAGTATTATTAGAATCCAAACAGAACTTGGTAATTTATATAAAAACAAGTGAGTGTTGCATGCTAATAACTCATTTTAACAATTTAATGATTTTGTAACTCATTTATGTGCAACTAATACAAACAGCAGCTACAGCTTATTTATAATATTCAACATTGAGTTTTTCAAATCTTGTAAACAGTGCAACAGATTCTACAAGAGATTTTAAAAAAGGGGGAGAGAAGTGGTAACTAGTAAAATAATTAAATACAAATAAACATACTTTTTGGAAGTAACCTCTTGGCAGAGTAAGATCTTTGATTTGTCGAAAAAACACAAACCCATACAAACAGCGATGGTCTGCTTGAAGGAAGACTGGACATTTAGTATTATAGTTGATATGACGTTGACTTAGGGTCTGAGGGGGCGTACACTTTATTTTCACGTGAAATTGTGTATCGCCCATGCAGCCAGAGTTGGAATCGGGAAACGCCAAGTAACACAGATTAGTCTTGTCATCTTCGGACAAAACAACATTGTTGGGATAAACTAGCTAAAAATCAAAATGCATGTAAGCAAAATTAAAGCATAATATAATTAGAATTATATTCAGATTTTGGCTATACCTCCAACGCTTGTCCAAACTCCAAATCAAACGTAACTACGCAGATGCCCTTGATCCAATCAGACAACACTCCGATTTTGTCGTCAAATAGATTCTCGTCAACAGAGTTGGCCATGTTAATGTACACGTCATAGGGAAATAATCCCAAAATTTGTATTGATTGACATTAAAAAAAAATCAATAAAAATATATAAAAACCTAATTGATGGCACCTAAACGTTTGCGGCTAATTATCGTCGATTATTACAGGCCTCTTCAATGTAATATTCACCGATCTAATTCATCATAAGTATATACTTAAAGTGGTCAAATGTTGATGTACGTTAGCTCCTTTCTTTTTTTAAACGTTAAAAGTTGTACATGATGCGTTAAAATACTAAAAACTGATCAAGCTAAACAATAGTTAACAGGAAATACAAATCGGTTTGTAAATATTTTCTAGCTTTGATAACGATTGACGGGTGATTGTTTGGTTATCAGCTATCAACAAAATATGAACGTTGATAAAACGATTTTGTTATTTCCTGTCGGGTTTCCTTTGTAGTTTGTGGTAGCCCGTAGGTATAATGTTCACCTTACACGGCAGCCAAAGAGCTATTATCTAGTTTTTAAATTAGACAGACGAGTAACGACTGTTGTAAATTACGAGTTTACCGATTGCTGCACCACGGAGAATAGGTCCCGAGTCCTGATAGCCTAACTGCTAGATTATAATTGAATTTTTAAAAATCAAAGTATAAATTTGTATTTACCCGCTAATATGATGGAAAGTGAAATAGTTATCGACATGGTAATTAGACCATTATTAAATAATCACAGAATAGTCTGTATAGAAGAGATGTTTTTTCTTTTCAAGTACACAAAAAAAAAGTGCGATTGTTTTAATTTAATACGACATTTCCAACGCTATACTAAACTTTGTAACGCATTTACGTAGGGTACTTAGCTAATGAGTGACACTTAGCGGTGTCTGTTTTTATTATCAAGACCATATTATGAAAACTATACCATAGTTCTATCACTATTACGACAAAGAATTGCCTTGGTTAAAGTATAGACGTAAAGGCAAATAGGTAAGCTCTTTCGTGCTTGGGTAATGTTTCTCAAGCCTACAGTCTCAAAAAACCTATTCCTCTTCATTAACATGTGATATGATCATTGAAAAATGAGAATAATATGAATAATATGTATAACATATTTAACAATACCTATGTACTCAAAGATAATACATTACAGCTATTTTGTTAAACTGTGTTCTTAAACAATGGCTTTATGTTGTCTTATACTCGCTTTATTAAATGAGACTTGATATAGAAAGAAACAGCTTAGGTTAAACCCAATAAATATTGTTTTTTTTTCTTACAGAGCTTAGAAACAAATTGGCAAACTGGAAATTTTGTTTTGAAAAGGATTAATTGCCAGTCAGAAAACTCAAATGGCGTTTACTGTTTGCAATATGATGATGAAAAAATAGTCTCTGGAACATGTGATAATATTATAAAAATATGGGATAAAAATACATTACAATGTACTAAGGTAATAGCTATGTTTTATAATACATATATATATATATCTTATAAGTGATAATACATTAACTTAAACAAATTGTTTCTCACATGATATTTTTAATTATTGCAGTTTATTTGGGGTAAATTATTTAAAATTATATAATGGATATGTTGAGGCTGAATTACACTTAAATGTGAAAACATTTTAACACATAATAAATAACTATTTTAATATTATTTATTTTTAAAACTCATTGATGGCGTATTTCTAACACTTGATACATTTAAATTATTTTATAAATGCTATATTTTCATTTATTTAATTAATAGTACATGATTAAATAACTTTTCAGTTGCAATTTTGAATTGAGTCTCGTGGATTTATTAATACAGAATATTTAAAAAATTTGAAAATTTTCAATGGTTTAAATATCATTATATATCGAATTTGTAATAAATCTGGATAATAAGGTCACATTTTAATTAAATTGCTCTTATTGTGTTTATTAAACAAAACTAAAGCTAATTTTGCCAACCTCTATTTATTATTCATATACTACACCTTATTATTATACATTTATACTTCTTAATTATATAATATATTTATCAATACATTTATACTATCTAATTAAATCTTAAATTTAGAAGCATTAAAAATAACGTTCAGGTATTTTTATTTATTTTAAAAAAATTAGGTTTTTTATGTAGATATTTAAATTTTAATAACAATGTAATGTGATAATAGTTTACTTGAATTTATGTAACATAATAGGGTATTCTTAAACTTATTATTATAAGAATTAAAAAGACAATGTTTAGATTTCTTTCTTATTGTAAAAAAGAGTCTTGTATTAAATATCATAATAATAATTCTATGTTAAAAAATTTAATTTGTATACTATAAAATTTAATTAAGTTATTATTAATTTTCAAAATACTGGGCTAGAAAATATTTTCTAGAATTTGGTGAGCTGTTTTTTTCTTTACAAGCCAATTAGACTTTTGCTGCTTTTACAAAACTTTCCCAGCGGTCATGATTATTAGCTTTTTAATTTTCATTATTCCATATTTTATTTATTAAAAAGACTTTCAGTTTTCTTTTACTTTCTTTTGGTAGTCTTGTGATATTTTTGTCTTCTATTGGGCACTGCAATATTCTTCTTATCAGTCTAGCCAAAGATATTTTTGACAACAAATTAAAAAAAAATTTTATTTTCTAATAGAAAGCACAATTATTGCGCTTGGCTTAAAAATATTTGCAAATTATGTAATCATAAGGTTATACCTAATTTTTATAAAGGTAAAATAAATTATGATACAGTTTTTATTAATATTTTTGTGTTTTTAATATTGTAATAATTTATTTTATATTTAATACCTGTTCAAATCATTAAAATATCATACATCAAATTGTATTAATTGTGAAATGTTGTGAAAAACAAACTAAAAGTTTAACCAATTTTTAGGTATTAACTGGCCACACTGGAGCAGTCTTGTGCTTGCAATATGATGACAAAGTGATTATTAGTGGCTCCAGTGACGGCACATTACGTATATGGAACGTTGCAACTGGTGAAATAATAAACACTTTGGTACACCATTCTGAATCAGTTTTAAACTTGAGATTTAACAGTACCATGATGGTGACTAGTTCAAAAGTATGTACATTTACATATTCACAGCATTCATTATACTATTAACATCTTGCCTAGATGACATTGACTGTATTTAAATTTGTACCATCACATAGGATCGATCAATTGCCGTATGGGACAGGGTATCGTCCAGTGAAATGAACTTGCGTTGTGAGTTAATCGGACATCAAGCTGCAGTAAACGATGTCGATTTTAACAACAAGTATATCGTTTCTGCTTCTGGAGACCGTACGATTAAAGTATGGAATTCATCCAATTGTGAATTTGTACGAACCCTAATCGGTCATGAACGTGGTATTGCCTGTCTTCAGTATAGAGACCGTTTGGTACTCAGCGGTAGTGGAGATAAAACCATCAGGTACTTCTCGATTCCTAATTTTCATCAGAGATGTACCCAACAGAATTTAAAATATCTTGTTAAAAAAGTATCAATCTTGCACACGTCTGATTATGAAGATCATTTATCATTAATTTATTAAGTATTTTCCTGCTAAATGTTATAGATTATGGGATGTTGAAAATGGTGCTTGTTTAAGAGTACTCGAAGGTCATGAAGACCTGGTACGATGTATTAGGTTCGATAATAAGAGAATTGTTAGTGGATCTTACGATGGGTATGTGAGAAAATATATTCTTTATTACTGCTTGGGGTATAATAGCTTATGTTGTAATCCATAGAACAATAAAAGTGTGGAACTTAGTTGCGGCGTTAGACCCTCTAGCTCTTTCATCTACACTTTGTATGTATACTCTCATGGTAAGCATTTCACACAACATATGATTTTATAAATTTCTATTTAATTGTAATTAAAAGAGACATTTTTTCTCCGGCAGGAGCACACAGGACGAGTGTTTCGACTCCAGTTTGACGAGTTCCAAATTGTAAGTTCCTCGCATGATGATACCATACTTATTTGGGACTTCTTGAACTACAATGACACAACTAATATGGCAGCAGGCCCATCAAATAACGCGGAGGCACGCGCATTACCCGCGTCACATTCAACGAATTCCTTTCCACCTATACTGCAACAGCCTTTAGGTACAAGTTTGATTACTTTTTAATTGAGTATATAATTTAGTTTGTGTTAAGCTGGTCCCACACGATTCATATACTTTACGATCATCGTCATGGAGGAAGCTCACCGAGTTCCTTGCCAATATATTGATTTAACAATCGAATCGTTCCCACGCGGCTCATGTATTCTTCGGTACTTGGCAGTTGTATAAACTTGTGTTCATTTGTGTATCCTTGTATAAACACTGCCAGATCAAAATAGACAATGACGACGCTGTTTATGCGGCAGATACTTTCATGTGTGCACATTTAAAGAAGGAATCCAAATGAAGATGGTGGACCCTATCAATAAATAAAAGTTGAAAAAAGTAAGTGTTTATAAGTTTTAATTAAGATTTTAAGGTATAAAATAAAGCAGGAACTATGTATATAAAATAATTATTATAATTAAAATTAGACTTATTATCAATAATGTAATATAAATTTTCGTAATGTATTTATTTATTTTTAGATACTGCGCTTCAAGTATGTTGGAAGACATAAATTGCAAAGCATCAGGCAAATTTAAAAACTTTTGTAGAATTCGGCTAAGGACCTAAGAGTTCCTGCTCATAAATTAGGTCCATTAATTTAAAAGCAGGATACAAATATGTGGAAGTCTAAATCTATGGAGGTTACCTTATGGTCTTTAGCATCCAAAGACAGTTTTGTCAATTTATCATATTTGTTCAAGGTATCTAACCAACTAGTAACCAATACTATACTTGAAGTGTGTAATGCTTTCATACATGTTTCGAAAAATGAAATAAAGGTAAAAAATAATTGAATTAAGTTGATAAAAATGAAATTTATGAAAACTAAAATTACAACTCCATGTAAAATAAATTAGGACCTACTTTAAATAAAATATAAACACTTCAGTTAACCTGCATATTTAGATTTTTTTTTACTGAACTCATTAAAGTATAAATTAAGTGGGTTTTAAATAATAATATCATAAATTTCACTTCCGATATTGTCCTCGTTGTTTTCACTATTAATAAATGAACAATCATCTATGTCCCTATATAAATCAGAATTGTTAAAGTAAAACCAATCAATTGTTAACATTTTTTTTTAATTTAAAAAAAAAATGATCCCTTCAACTTCTTATGAATGGCATACCAATGCTTCTTCAGCCTCAATAAGTGTCGAATATTATTACGGCTTGTATTTTACTACATTGTAAAAGTAGAACGTCTTCTATGAAATATTCAGCTACGGGTTCTTTTGATAACGAAAACTATATGTTGCCAATTCGTAAAATACCCAAATCAGGAGATGAAGCAAAAGAAATTCATTCACTGAATATTTTACAACTAACGGAAAAATGTACCGTGACAAGATGCCTATTGTTAGATATTTAGCTTTAATTATATATTTATTAAACGGTGTATTATTAATCATACAAAAAGTTGTAATTTTATTTTTTATTTTATAGGTTGATTCTTTACTTAGTATTAGCTAAAAAAAGTTGTATAATACAAACATTGATATTATTCATATTGTTAATATATTATAATTGTGTATACTATCAATGACGAATAAATTACTGTCAAATATTTAGTTGCAACACAACATCTATTCCAACATCCGAATTTTTAATTTTAGTATTAAATATTATGTAAATAATAGTATTACTTTTATTTCAGAGATAATCGACTGATTATATTTTAATGTCAAGTCGCAAGCTTTTAACAAAAAAATAACTTTATTTCAAGAAAACGTCTTTGTTAAATATTTTATGAAAAAAAAATACACGTATTTGAACAGATTGACGATAAGTAGCTATCAGTGAATCTTTTTTTCTGTTTTCCTTTAATCCAAAACTGTGCAATCGGTGCTGATAATATTTTAATATATTCTCTGTCATAAGTCATGCATCGTTAACAGCATTTCGAATTTTATGCAATGCATCTTAGGGATTCTAAATACACGTGTTCATCTCGTACAGAGAAATAAACTCTAATGTCTGTTCATTTGACAATTCCGTCATAAATTAATTTAAGGTGTCTCACTAAGACCTGACGAATGAAATAACTTTGTTCTAGCGAATATTTTTGGCTATAAAGACCACAGCTTGTATTACTCTCCACCTTCCAACCGAGACTTTAAACTGAAATAACTTTAAAAGTAATTATCCAAAACTAGCTTTAGACCAGTCAACATTTTCAGCAAATTATTCTTCATAAAATAGACAAATTGATAAAAAAAAAAAAAAAAGTAAAAGTAAAAAAGTTTAGAGTAATACAAACCGTGGTGTTTTTAGCACAAATAAGTATAAAAATAATTTAAAAAATCTTAAAAATATTGACTAGAATAAAAGTTGTTTCATTTGTCAGGTCTTTACCTTGTCCCAGCAATTTTTATACGAATATTCGTTATACTTTTGACACTTGTCACATTTACCGACAACGCATAGTGACTCATTAGAAATAAAAATCTCCTACACGACTTGTAAAGTATAGGTTTTGACGATTATTCGCTAAATACTTGAATCGTGTGACAGGCCTAATACTTGTTTATTGTATATGTTTAGATTTTGAGTGAGCAACCCATCTGGGATCGACAGTATACAAATCGCTAAGTACTTGCTGTGAATATCTTCTATGGAAAATAGCACAAATTAATCATATCGTGGAGCAGGTTTTAAGGGTATTTTAAAGTCATAAAACGCGTGCCTAAGAATTGTACCTTCCACTTCACGTCTAGCAGAGTTGCCACAGATGTCAATTTTGGCACCTTTTAAACTGTAGCACACCTCACTGCTGTTATCACGATAATGATGTTGCAATTGTAATTTTTTAGTATATTATAAACTTTGTTATATATTTATATACATATATTATATAGATTTATTTATGTTTAAAACTGTACAACATAATAAAATATAACACCCAAGTATTAAAAAATTAAATGTATACTAAATTCTATTTTCATTCAATAACTGACGTATGTATTTACATGTAAAAATTTTGTCTTTTAGTGCAGAGACAATTGAATTATTGTGTTAATTTTTTTAATTACGGACTTTGACAATAAAAGTTGTTAGCAAATTACTTAATTAATATACGTAATTAATTGTATTTTGGCTTATTACTGTGGTGAAATGTGGTCATACCCAAGTCGGAAACTAATAACTTTTTAAACTAACATTTTTTTTTTAATGCTATGTAAATGTTGACTTTTTCTTCGTCAAAAAATATACATTATTTCTCGGAGAAAAAGAATTGCTTATGTAAAATATGGTAAATTACATACATTTGTTTCATTCACGCTGCCCTACTTGTATAGTTTGTAATATCAATAAAACATTAAACAAATTTATTTTGGCTAAGTTAGTAAATCTTTAGCTAATAAAAATACTCCCTACGCCTGCCGGTTTCGGTAGTCGACTCTCCGGTATCCGTTGGACGGGGGCTCACGCTCCCAAACCACCAGAGGGAAAAATAATTTACCTGAAGGACTTAACTAACCTAACCAACCGCTCTAGAAGCATCAGCGAAGCCTAACGTATCCTTGCGTCGTTTACAAAGGTAACCATTATACAGCTGCCTTTTGTTATACATGCGAAAATATGCAAACTTCAAGTGGAATTAGAGGAGTCCGACGATTTTTAATTTCAGATTCGTAATCAAAGTAAAAAATAGTACAAGACGATAAAAAAAAGACCGGTAAAGTGCATTTATGCCTAAAAAGTAAAATATATTTATAACTTAACAAAAAAAAAAATTTTATTTTAGTGGTTTATATTTTAATTCAAATTAACCGAAATAAAATATAACATTTTGATTCAAGCTAGCTTTATATACAACAAGAGTACATACGATTTATTTATTTGCTTATGATGTTCTATAATCTTGCCCTCGAGGCGTATAAATATATAATTATAAACATTAAGTATAAGATATAGACGAAAAAGAAACTGTCACTACTGGGCGATCTCTTATATGACAATTTTATAATTATCAGTTTTGATAGGGATTAAAATAAGGACATCTTCCGATACATTTTCCGTTTGCTAAACACAATTGACATAGACCGATTGATTGAAACTTAAAATTTTACTGATAAGCGAGTTTGAGTTACACATAATTTCGGGTTTTTTTTCCGGTGTCATTCAGATACATATGTCCATCGACAATTTGTTATAGTTAAGTTAAAAACGCACTAGGTTTAACCCGTAGTCTTTCCGGACACGGGCTCCCGGTAAAAAAATCGATAATTAATACATATTTTGATGTATACGTTAATGTTGTTGACATGGTATTTTGTATTGGTTTTTTACTATATACTTTTCATTATGGTTACGCTAGTTAGTATTTATGAGGGTCATACCTTCCCCTTCCTCAGTAGAAGTGTAAAATATAAAAATTTTCGATTTCTTTTAATAATTATGGTCGGTGTATGGGGGTTTATGGGATGCCCCTTAGAATAATAGGGTATTGGCAGCACAACATACACCAACGTCATGACACATTCTGTCATCAAAATATTGCTGGCCGCTCATGGTCAACTTCATATACGTGATTGACGGGTGATTATATTTTGGTTATCACTTATCAGTTATCAACAAAATATGAATGTTGATAAAACGGTTTTGTTATTATTTCCTACCTATGTTTTCGGATTTCCTTTATTGGATTGCTACTCGATGGAATAGACAATAGTTCCTGATAGCCTAACTGCTATATTATAATTGAATTTTTAAAAATCAAAGTATAAATTTGTATTTACTCGCTAATATGATGGAAAGTGAAATAGTTATCGACACGGTAATAAGACCATTATTAAATAATCACAGAATAGTCTGTATAGAAGAAATGTTTTTTCTTTACAAGTACACAAAAAAAAAGTGCGATTGTTTTAATTTAATACGACATTTCCTACGCTATACTAAACTTTGTAACGCATTTACGTAGGGTACTTAGCTAATGAGTGACACTTAGCGGTGTCTGTTTTTATTATCAAGACCATATTATGAAAACTATACCATAGTTCTATCACTATTACGACAAAGAATTGCCTTGGTTAAAGTATAGACGTAAAGGCAAATAGGTAAGCTCTTTCGTGCTTGGGTAATGTTTCTCAAGCCTACAGTCTCAAAAAACCTTGATCTGACATTTGATATATATTCTTTCTAAGAAATTGTTGAGGAAAAAGGTCTTAACAGTTAATTTATTTTATTCAACAATGAACAGCTAATCCAAATCCTATCACTGGTTGTTAGTTCACATCTCTGTGACTATAATATGTCTGGTCTATCTATACCTCTTTATCATTATGTGATATTATCATTGAAAAATAAGAATAATATGAATACTATAGAAAAAACTATTAAGCAAACTTATGGTTAAATATATAGTAAAGATATAAAATCTACTTGAACCCTAAACCATAAAAATTATACACTTCTTGTGTACACATGTTACGACAACGATGTTGTCATCTTCAGCGCTAACAACAGACTCCATCATCGTTGTCGTAACACGTGTATGCAAGAAGTGTATAATTCTTATGGTTTAGGGTTCAAGTAGATTTTATATCTTTACTGAATAATATATATAACATATTTTACAATACCTATATACTCAAAGATAATACTTTATAGCTACTTTGTTAAACTGTGTTATTGAACACTCGCTTTATTAGAATGAGACTTGATTTAGAAATAAACAGCTTAGGTAAAACCTAATAAGCATTGTTTTTTTTTTTTATAGAGCTTAGAGTCAAATTGGCGAACTGGAAATTTTGTTTTAAAAAGGATTAATTGCCAGTCAGAAAACTCAAAAGGCGTATACTGTGTACAGTATGATGATGAAAAAATTGTTTCTGGACTACGTGATAATACTATTAAAATATGGGATAAAAATACATTACAATGTACTAAGGTAATAGCTATGTTTTATAATATATATATATATTTTATAAGTGATAATACATGAACAAATTGTTTCTCACATGATATTTTTAATTTTTGCAGTTTACATTTATTTTAAGGTAAATTAATTAAAATTATGTAATAGATATGTTGAGACTGATTTACACTTAAATGTAAAAACAATTTAACACACTATAAATTACTATTTTAATATTATTTATTTTTTGAACTCGGTGATGGCGTCTTTTTAACACAATTCAATTATTTTATGAATCCCCTAAGTATATTTTCATTTATTTAATTAACAGTTTGAAGTTTTTAATAATTTTTGAGTTGCAACTTTGAATTGGGTTCTACAAATACATTTATACAGAAAGTTAAAACAATTTGAAACTTCATTGGTTTAAATATCATTTTATATCGAATTTGTAACATATATCTGCTCAATAAGGAGAAATTTAATTAAATTGCTCTTATTGTAGTCAATAAACAAAACCAAAGCTAACATTGCCAAACCTCTCTATATATTATTTGTATACTACACTTTATCACTGTACATTCATATTCTATAATTATATAGTATATTTACCATTTTTTTTTTTTACAAGCTAATGAGCTAAATGAGCTAAATGAGCTAATGAGCTTTTGTAGCTACTACACAACTTTCCCAGTGATCACAATCATCAGCTTTAATTTTCATTATCCCATATTTTATTTATTTAGAAGCCTTCCAGTTTTCTTTTACTCGCATTTGGTAGTCTTGCAATATTTTTGCCTCCTATTGCACTCTTCTTATCTATCTAAATCTAACCAAAGATATTTAAAAAATATGAAAAATTGAATAAAATTTGAAACTTAATTAATTCTTAATATTTTACATCTTTATGTACTAAACAACTCAATTATAAAATTTAGGCCGTCAGTTTTTTCTTATTGAAAAAGGTTTTCCTACAGCAATAACAAATGTAAGCAATATAAGATGACTAAAAATTTCCATTATTATTTGTAATAAAATTGAAATAATATATCTTAATAATAACTGATTTTTCCCTCCATAAGACAACCTATTTATTTTATAATATAAAATACAATTATTGCGTATGGTTCAAAAATATTTGTTAATTATGTAATGATGTAGTTTTTATTAATAATTTTGTGTTCTTGATATTTTAATTATTTATTTTGTGTTAAATACCAAATTGTATTAATTATGAAATGTTGTGAAAAAACAAACTAAAAGTTTAACCAATTTTTAGGTATTAGCTGGCCACACTGGCTCAGTCTTGTGCTTGCAATACGATGACAAAGTGATTATTAGTGGCTCCAGTGACGGCACATTACGTATATGGAACGTTGCAACTGGTGAAATAATGAACACTTTGATACATCATTCTGAATCAGTTTTTAGCTTGAGATTTAACAATACCATGATGGTGACTAGTTCAAAAGTATGTGCATTCAATGGACGTAATACTATTAACATATTGCTAAGATGACATTGTCGGTATTATATTTTGTACCACATAGGATCGAACTATTGCTGTATGGGACAGAGTATCGTCCAGTGAAATGAACTTACGTCGTGTGTTGGTTGACCATCGTGCTTCAGTGAATGTTGTAGATTTTGATGATAAATATATCGTTTGTGCTTCTGGAGATCATACGATTAAAGTGTGGAATTCATCCAGTTGTGAATTTGTACGAACCTTAATTGGTCATGAACGTGGTATTCCCTGTCTTCAGTATAGAGACCGTTTGGTAGTCAGCGGTAGTTCAGACAACACCATTAGGTACTTCTCGATTCCTACTTTTCATCTGAGTTGTACCCAATAGAATCAAATATATCTTGTTAAAAAAGTATCAAAATTTCACACCTCCTAATATGAATATATTACATTAAGTACATTTATCATTTATTTATTATGTATATATCTGCTAAATGTTATAGAATATGGGATATTGAAAACGGTGTTTGTTTAAGAGTACTCGAAGGTCATGAAGACCTGGTACGATGTATTAGGTTCGATAATAAGAGAATTGTTAGTGGATCTTACGATGGGTATGTGAGAAAATATATTCTTTATTACTGCTTGGGGTATGATAGCTTATGTTGTAATCCATAGAACAATAAAAGTGTGGAACTTAGTTGCGGCGTTAGACCCTCTAGCTCTTTCAACTACACTTTGTATGTATACTCTTATGGTAAGCATTTCACACAGCATATGATTTTATAAATTTCTATTTAATTTTAATTAAGAAAGTATTTTTTTTTCCGGCAGGAGCAACCTGGAAAATTGTTTCATCTCCAGTTTGATGACTTTCAAATTATTAGCACCTCGTCTGAGGATACCATATTCATTTGGGATTTCCTGAACTACAATGATACAGCTAACACGGCAGTAGGCCCATCAAATGACGCAGAGGTATGTGCAGCATCTACTCCACATGCAAAGAGTTCCTTTCCACCTATACAGCAACAGCCTTTAGGTAAACATTTTATTATTTTTGTATTGAGTATATAATTTAGTTTGTGTTAAGCTGGTCCCACACAATTTATATACTTTACGATCATCGTCATGGCAGAAGCTCGCCGAGTTATCCACCGATATATTGACTTTACGAATGAGTCGTTCCCATGCGACTTGTGTATTTGTCAGTACTTGGCAATCGTATAAACTTGTGTCTATTTGTGTATCCTCCTATAAACACTGCCAGATCAAAATAGACATTGACAGCAAAAAGATTGCTGTTTGTGCCGTTGTTACTTTCCTGTGTGCACATTTAAAGAAGAAAAAAAAATCCAAAATAAGATGGTGGACCCTATCAATAAAGTAAGTATTTATAAGTCGTAATTAAGATTTTAAAGTTTAAAATTAAAACGGGAACTATATATATATATATATATATATATATATATATATTAAATAATTATTGTAATTCAAATTAGACTTATTATATATGAGTAATGTAATGTCATTTTTCGTAATGTATTTATTTATTTTTAGATACTACGCTTTAAATTTGTTGGAAGACATAAATTGCGAACCATCAGGCAAATTCGAAAACTTTTGTAGAATGTCGGCAGAGGACTTAGAGTTTCTGCTCAATAAATTAGGTCATTAATTAAAAAACAAAGTACAAATATGCGAAAGGCTAAATCTATGGAGGAAAGGTTGCAGTTACCTTAAGATTTTGAGCATCCGGAGACAGTTTTGTTAATTTATCATATCTGTTCAAGATATCTAACCTACTGGTATCCAATGCTATACATGAAGGTGTGTAATGCTTTCATACATGTTTGGAAAAATTAAATCAAAGTAAAAATTAATTGAATTTAGTTGATAAAAATAAATCTAGGAAAATTTAAATTACAACTCCATGTATAATAAATTAGGACCTACTTTAAATAAAATATAAACACTTCTTAGTTAAACTTTATATTTATGTTTTTTTATACTGAAAGAATTTGAGTATAAATTACATTTACAAAAAAATATATCATACCTTAGACATACAACAACATATTTTGTTAATAATCATAATTTGGGTCAATTAACGCCAATACGAATGGACAACGATATTAAATGCAAACACATAATTTTACAATGTCCTATGAATAGTGGCTCGGAATATCAACTACAAAGGCACATTTAGTGTTGTACTTTTGACTTTGGTGAATGCTGCTTACTCTTATACTATTGCCGATGTGGGTTGTCAGGGACGTATAAGCGATGACTGTTTTTTTGACAATATTAAGTTATTTAAAAAAATTAAATGAAAATAAGTTGGAACTTCCTCCTAATAAAACACTCCCTGGGAGAGAGATGCATGTACCATATGTATTTGTCGCAGATAACGCTTTCGGTTTAGGTCTACAAATAATCAAAGGGTATACAATAAAGGGAGTGTCGAATTTTCAGCTATTGTCTTTCACAAGCTCGTAGGGTAGTTGAAAACGTGTTCGGCATCGGTATTTCCAGTACTTTGCAAACCAATACTACTTCGGTCTCAATAAGTGTCGAATATTGTTATGGCTTGTATTTTACTACATAATATTTTACGGAAAAGTAGAACGTGTTCTACGAAATATTCAGCTACGGGTTCTATTGATAACGAAAACGAAGATAAATTAATTGAGCAAAATGATTTAAAATCTATATGTTACCAACTCTTAAAATACCTAGAAAATCAGGAGATGAAGCAAAAGAAATTCGAGATTCATTTGCTGAATATTTTACACCTAACGGAAAAATATACCGTGACAAGATGCCTATTGTTAAGCTTAATTATATTTTTATTAAACGATGTATTATTACTCATACAAAAAGTTGTATTTTATTATTTATTTTATAGGTTATTAATTGTTATAAAATAATATATTGTTATAACAGTAAAACAATATAAACTGATGTAAGTTATAAGTATTTCAAAGTTATTATTATTAACATTTTTTACTTAGTATTAGATAAAAAAAGTTGTATAATACAAACATTGCTATTATTCATATTGTTAATATATAATTGTATGTATGTACTATATACTATATACTATCAAGAACGAATAAATGACTGTCACAATATAATGTTGTATCTACTTCAGTATTTAAATTTTAGTATTAAATAATATGTAAGTAATATTATTACTTTTATTTCAGAGATAACCGACTGATTATATTTTAATATCGAGTCACAAGCTTTTAACACGACAACACTTTAACTCGAGAGAACGTATTTTCAATATTTTTATAAAAATACACACATTTGAATAGATAGAACTATTTAAACGCTTTACCCGGCTGTAATAATTAATATTAAACGAGTAAAATAAATAACATACCTCTATTCTTAAAATAGGGTTTGCCTCGTACATTCAATGCAAATGTGTTGCCATATGATCGTAATAAACTCAATTTGGCTTAAATATCTCAGAATAATAAACGGAAGATAAGTAGCAATCGGTGAATCTTTTTTTCTTTTTAAATCCAAAACCAACAATCGATGCTGATATCTTATATTCTCTATCGTTAACAGCATTCCATCATAAAGTAATTTAATATTTTATAAAACACCTACCCATTTAATATTACTATTAAAAACTTTAAGAAAACAGTGTTGTACGTATGTGTACAGATTACATAACACGTGAATAAAATAACGTCAACAAAAAGACGTGGAATTAAATGTCGCCTTTCGTTTGGCGATTATAGACAACCAGGTCAATGGACTCCCAAATTGTTAGGGAAACCCATCAATAATTTATACAAATATTCGTTATCCCTTTGACACATTAAACCATCGGGAAACCGACTTTAGACTTGTTTATTGTATATTTTTAGATTTTGAGTGAGCAGCCCATCTGTGATCGACAAAGTTTAAGACGTTAAGTACTCGCTGTAAATATCTTCGAATATCTTCTAAAAAAATTAGCACAAATTGAACATACCGTGGAGCACGTTTTAAGAGCATTTTAAAGTCGTAAAATGTAAAAAGAACTTACGGCTTCGGATAGGATTCCGAACTTGGGCGATACGTGTGCCAAAGAATTGTACCTTACACTAGCGGAGTTACCACAGACGTCAATTTTCACACCTTTTAAACTGTAAGCACACCTCACTGCTTTTATCACGATTATGATGACGCAGTTGTATTTATTAAGGGCAGGTATTATACTGTATATTATAAATACTTTCAAATATATATAAAATTATTTATATTTAAAAATATACAACACCAGAAATAAATTACCCACATATTGAAAGTTTAATTTGTACAACAACTGACAAATTTACATGTAATTACTTTGTCTTTTAATGCAGAGACAGTTTATTTATTGTGTTAATTTTTTGAACTACGGACTATGACAATAAAAAGTTTTTTGGTCACACCAAAATGTATAGTATATTTCTTCAATATATTTTTTAATTTTATAACACTGTTTTCTAGGTACAAAAATAATAACCACTAATAATTGTTATTATTAGCTATGATTAGTCAAACCAATAATATTTATTAAAAATATAATAGCTTATATCTCCGTGCAAAAATTCCCACTTCTTAAAAAAAAACATGTAACAGCTAGATATTTGTTATATTCATATGATATTGTTTGTACTACCACTCTATTATGATTTTTATAATTATGTTGTATATTATCATATTAAACGTTATCGTTAAATTATTACTCCGGTCCACTATATTAATATATAAACTTACATTACTAAGGAATAATATCGAAAAAAAACTATTAAGCGGCATTTTTCTAATTTTATAAATGAAAAAGTATAGCGTATGATAATACATAACTGATGTTCTTTTACACATTTAAATACATATAGAAACCCAAGATGAATTGTTTATTACGAAATACATTGAATTAGATACAAGTGCGACATAAAAATATTATTAAAGTAAAATAACAACAATAGGTGCTGTATAATTTTTTTCAAAGATTGCTGGTCTATTTTACGGATAACAATTTCTTATCTCTTCCGCAAGTAATACACCTGCATGTCACTCATAGAACTCTACTTTCTTTAGAATTATACCATCGAAAGTGCGTTTGTATCTGTTTACTTTGCCATCAGGTGAAGTTATTTCACAAATCCTACCATCAGAGTCAAGATCGGCGGTTTTTATAAAATTCTTTGGGTATTGCATACTTTTGAGTAAACCTAGTAAACGGCACACCACGGTAAACTTGGTGGATGCTGGGTCTCCTCTACTTTTCTCTAAAACTAAAAAAAAATTGAAGACATGGACGATTTAACTTACTTGAAAACCAATCAACATGTTTTACAAAAAAATACTCTTAAAGCTGAAATATGAGACTTAAAAATCACAAAAATAAAAATTGTTTTTATTAAGTGGAGCCCAATGAAACTGATAAAACTAATAACCGGATGACTTGCTAGAAAAAGTGTTATTACGGAATATCAATTGAAAGAATTTTAAAGTGTCATATTTTAGTTTTAAGAATGTTCTTTCACATTTAAACATTTTGATTGGTTTTAAAATTAGAATTTTCTTAATGACAAAATAAAATTTCCCGTGTTAATCAAATGAAAAAAATCACGAGGTATTACCTTGAATTGAGCTTGGGAACTAAAATATTAGGAGTTTTTCATCTGTATTCGCTACTTTCGACTGAAGCTGTAATCCTTCGGAGGAACAAAAAAAAAAAATGAAAAAAAAACGTATACTATATATACGTGTTTAAGAATCTGTGTAAAGTATAAAACATTTTATACAATTAGGTTACCTGGTAAATTGTCAATGAATCCTGATTCTGAAATTAAAATTAAAATATGTTATGCCTAATTTAGTTATGAATGATTATCAAGCTATGTAGATCAACTATGTGGAAATATTATGTCCATTACATGCTTTTACTTTTGATTCCTCCTTTTTTTTAAATTTATTTCTTTATTTTAAAATGTCTATGGAGTCGAGACAATTATTTAAATTTATTTGATATAACAAATTTACAAATATAAACATTTAATTATTAATTTTGATTATTTACAATCTATATTCCACAGAAAATATTGTTCTTGTGTCATTTCACGCCTAATCACCTAAAGTGTGTGCAAGTGGATTTTCTAAATTCATATATTGCATGCGGAGTAAAAATATGATTATTTTAAGTTTGTTGTAAGCTGGCTTTATACACTAATCTTTTAAAAGTCCCTCCTATCCATTACATGAACATTTAAATATTTTTATTTGCCTGTTAGTTAAAACATTGACCTCGAGTTAGTATACATTTTGTACTATTAATTATATTATAACCCATTACAGACCACAGTAATTGAAACTATTTATTTATTTCAAAAGTCAGTTAGTGGATCAGCTATTGTCTTAAGCCTATAATTTTCGATAGTAATATAATATCGGTATTATCTACATAGAGTTTAGTCATGTTTTTCTACGCGTGTAAAGGTGTTTTTAAGTATGTATATTTTACCACAGTATTATTATGTACTCGGTTGTCAAAAACAAATAAACACGGTTACGCATATTATACTACCTACAAAAGCTATGCACGAAAAAATATGTTTTAAAATTGTATTACAATTGACCTAGTTCTAAAGGAATAACATATCGTGTTGAATTTGCCTGTTAAATTCATACTTACTAACTTTATCAATAATTATATTTTATAAATTCACCAATAAAGGAAAAAATATTAAAAAACAGGTTTTTTTTATCTCTCCTATTTTTGATTTTTGATTTATGATTAATGATACAAAACTAAAGTATAAAACTATAATAACTTAATCCCTAAACAATATTTTTAAAACTAACATGGTAATTGGATTTTCTCCAAAATTCGTCCTGTTTCCATGAACTATAAAAAAAATTCATCCAATAACCTTTGATGCTGCGGTTATTAATAATAATTTTAAAATAAAAGCTATAGCGTGGCGGGTAGCTGAAGTGAAACTTTTTTCGGATTTGTTTGGATTTGGTGGAGTTTAAGGCTTTACCGGAGGAATAAAAATACACACAATATATATATATATATATATTATTGTAGTAATTTATACTTTCTAACTTACAAATGAAATCATTTTACCTTGATGTTACAATTATTATAGGGCCTCTACACCTGCGTGTTTTTAGTCGAAAACAACTCATTCTAATTCAAACGTACTGTTCCTAAGAATACTCCGATTTAAGTTTTGAAAAAATATTTTAATTCTTCAAAACTTTTTCGAGGCATCGGTCGTGACACAATTTAAAAATTATTTTTAGTTAATTAATTATTTCAGTTAAAAATTGCATTTTTTTACATTGAAATAATTAATTAACTGAAATTAATTTTAAAATTGCGCCACGACCGATGCCTTGAAAATGTTGTGAAGACTTCAAATGTTTTTTAAAAACTTAAATCGAAGTATTTTTAAGGACAGTACATTTGAAGTAGAATGATGTATTAAAGTGAAATTTCAATTTCAAATTTTGTGGTTTCAAACAGTGTAATGACTTGTGCCTGCAAGTGCGGGACATTCCTTATCGACCGCTATCGTCGTCGTCGCACGGCACCCGCAAATTGCACATAAGGATATTATTTTTAGATATTTTGCCATGTTCAGTGTATAACAAAATACTATTAAAACGAGGATCATTGGCAGGGCATTGCAATTTATACTGAATTGTAAAAATGTTCGTTTTTCTACAATTTAGATTTTGAGTATTCGACTAGCGTTGTTGATGTTGTCCCTCGTCAGGTCGTCTCATACTTCATTAATTCATGTTTTTGATAATATTTAAATATTTCATATAATAAAGAATAATAATACTACTAGAAAGTATAAACCTAAGTGTAGAAAACCCTTATCTCGCAGGATAAAGAATAAAGGGAATTTAATCACGCTGAATAAAAAAAACTGTCCAGAGAGAGAAGTTAGATCATGCTCCATGAGTTACATAATATTATGTCTAATTATGATTAAAACAAGGCTTTATGTATTATATTTTAAAGAACGGCATATTTTACCAAAAAACAATTATTTATTTTAGCTTCGACGCGTAACTGAGAAGGTATTGTTGTTACAATGATGTGTTTTTAATTGTATTTATTTTTGTTTTTTTGTGTCTGGACGTATCTTCTATGCCGATTTCTTCATGTACTTACTTTATATATTAGAAGTATAATCTGAAAGTTAATTTCTTGGGGCAAAATTCACCTCTTCCCCTTCAAAATTGGGAAATCACATGAAAATTTACATATTACATATTTATTATAACTTTTTTTAAAATAGTCGATTTTGGTCCAAATTTCTATGGAATATTCTTCGGATACAGTACTATACAACGTAAACGGAAAAACGTTGACGAACCAAAAAAATATCACAAACCTTTTCCCTTAGAATGATTAGACATTTCTTCTTTATTTCCCTTTTTCAAGCAAAGTTTTGGGCCTTTAGGTCAGAAAAATTAAACTGGCCCAAGACATACTAGAAATATGCCAATTAGAAACCCGGATTATTTTATGGAAGCAAAAACGGCTGATGAAAAAAAACAGGTTAAGTTAGTGTAAATATTTGGATTTATTCATAAATTTAAAAAAATTCCATTTTATGGGTAGGTAAAAATATAGATAATTGAAGATGAGTACCCAAATTTTATTGTTATGAGTATTATACTGTGGTCAGTGGCTACAACACAATAGAATATATTTCATAATTTAACCAATAAAAAGTCAGCACATCAGACTAAATCCTTTTCAAACAGGGTTATGTAAATTAATTGTTGAAAACTACTGTATATTATAATTTAAAAAAATATTTTTTCCGCCTTTGCAATAAAATTTTAGATTAGATTTTATTTGTAATATTTGTTTATTCAAGATTCTTGAAGATACTGGTTGTAGCTAATAAAGAAGTCTTCTATTGTTTGTTGAAAATATTTATGGGGCCCTTTGTTTATGTTGAAATGTTTTTAGAATTATATTGGTTGTCAAAGAATACCTATTGTAACATTTCCTTAGAAATTAACACTTTTTACGGCTTATAAATAAATCTTTAAACTATGGATAATGATTTTTTAGAGTTTTTTTATTAAGGTCGCTTTTTTTTATGCGTAGTACAGTAGTAGTACTATTAAGTCTGAAAGTAAATACTAAAAGAACACCTGCTGCGATCCTATTACAAGTTCTTCGAAAATCGTAAACCATATGTATCTAAAGAAAAGTACTAACGAACAATAAACAATTGAATATTTTACTTCTACCTTCTAAACCACACGATGGTTAAAAGCACACTCTATGGCAGCACACTACAAGTTTCTAATTAAGGTAAAAACATGTTTAGGCAGAAAGTAACTCGCTTAATTTTGGTTTTAGAGTAAAAGCATCATTATAAAATTAAAAGAAAACAATATTCCGGGGGGCAAGACGGTGCGTTTTTTTAAAAAAAAACCGTTTTACTCTAAATCCAAAATTAAGCGAGTTATTTTCAGTTTGCTTAAACAAGTTGAGATGAAAAAACATTTTTAAATCGCTTTCAAGGATGCTGTGACAGTCCAAAAAATAAATTAACTACCAAAATAGAGTCATAGTTATTGAACTAATAATTACACATCACAGTTTAACCTTTAAATTAAGATTTTGTAAAAAATTGCCTATACTTTACTTTTTAAAAATGGGCGGTGTGACGCCCTCTTAACGTAACTGACACCACTTGGTTTTCACTCTCTCGACTATATAGTTTACAGCTTAAGAAAATATCATATTTTACTATCATATTTATTACTCTGATGAAGATTGCCCCTATCTAATAGGCATGGATTTTCTCTTTAAAAAGTTGTTCCTTATTTCCTAAAATCGTTTTATAATATAATATAGTTTTTATTATGTGATATTATAAACTTATTATATGTTGCTGTAAAGTGCGTACGTGCAAAATCTACAAATAAAATACCATATTTATATGATGTACGAATATTATTTACCGAAAACAAGTTGTTTTTTTTAAACGTACCTATTCAGTTTGGTTGTATTATTTAGGTTATGCTTAGAAATTGTTATTGCGGTTTTACAATAGTAATATTTTTCCATCATGTACTTTATTTTATTTGTTTGTTTTGTAGGTATCTGTGTACACGATAACTATCAACTAGGAATTTCGAAGTAGGATTTTATACCAATTTAAAATGAAATAAATATGAGAAGGAATTTCACAGCCAAATTCGACGCGATATTCTTTTAAATTCGGCCAATTGTAATAAAACATTTTAAAACATAATTTTTTGTTGTAGCTCACATGCAGAGATTTTGTTGGTAGTATTTGCGTTTAACCGTGTTTTTTTGTTTCTTTATTTATTCATGACAATCGAAAATGATACTTGTTGAATCATTTATTGCATTTTCTTGTGGTATAAAAATTCACTCCTTCACTCTTAATATCGGAAAACCCCAAAAAATGTGATAATAGTTTTGATCTAGTCGAAATTTATATGAAACATTTAGTAGAAATGATGCTTACTACCTTTATTAGACAGTATAAACTGTTTTTTTTTTAGTGAGTTGAAACATAAAACTTTGTTCTTCTTAAAATGAGTTTATATAACAGAAAATTTGTCCATTACGGGATGCCACCAGGCAAACATCAAGTTAAATCAAGAGCATAAAGAGTAAATAGTCAAAAAGTATTGTATATTTATATTTGTTATAACTTATAAAGTTAAACAATTATAATATTTTTATTATATTTCTATCGAATATTGTACCTACTAATTATAGTAAAAACAAATAGTTGATTTAGACTAGATAATAATATACAAATTTACTTATTCGGTGAATATGATTTTTATTGGTGTATGTAATCGACAAATATGTTATTTATAATACATTGTTATTAGACAAATCTGTAGGTTGAAACATAATAATTATGATAAACAAAGATGAAAATTTTACAATATACACGTATTAATTAATAAGCATATGTATTTTCAAAATGTGGTACTGATTTAGGATACTGCAGCTTTGTTGGTAGTATTTGCGTTTAACCGTGTTATTAACTGTCGTTATTAATCTAAAAAAAAAAATATTGTGAAAAAAATGGTTTATTTATAATTAGCTTACACATGGATTTGAATTCAAATTAAGTTAGACTCCTTTATAAATGTATTAAGTACATTATTTTGGACTTGGTCGTTAAAGTATTTTCAGCTTTATTGAAAATAATTTAAAAACTGCTAGTATCTTTGCAAAGCACAAAAACTGATATTTTCTTCCAATTTACAATCATTTGAAAAACGAATAATAAAATGTATATTCAATTTCGAACTTTTGAAATTTATATAAGTTATAGCAGTGTCCAAGACTTACCTTCAGGAAAATTAGTGGGATTAGGATTTGGCAGAGTAGCTGAAATATCGAAAAAAAAAATCATATGGCTCATTGTTCTAGGGCTAAGTACACAGTTGTTTTAATATATATTAGTTTTAAATGGATTTTTTTCATAGGTATTTTTCTACATTCATAAAATAAATATTAAGTTTGCAATAAAACACGTTAATTCAACTACAATAAAATGCAGAAAAATGTAATTTTTTTTTGTTTTCGAGCAGGATCTAATTGATATCAATTTTCATAATAAAAATCCGATGGTTTTATAAATCAGAAATTGACATTTTTTTAGAAACAAAGTATAATTTTAAACATGTCTGTTAAGATGAAAATATTTTATTTTTTTTTGGATTATTATTTATAGTACCTTTGTACATAAAAAAAAAGTTATTACAAATTAAATTTTGATGTAAAATAATATCAGCTTTCTAAAAAAAAAATTAATTTCTTTTTCACAGAATAGAAAGTCATTAAAATTGAATGTATCATCTAAAACATTGTGTTTTCCCAAATTTTATTTTTTAACCAATTTTTTTAATTAGACATACAATTTTATATAATAATATGTTTATGAACATCATAAACATATTTATATTATCAACAATCTACTGTATTAGTAACATTTTATACAAATTTTCAGCTTTTTGAAAATAATTTTAAAACTGCTAGTATCTTTGCAAATAACACAAAAACTGATATTATTATCTAACTTACAGTCATTTAAAAACCAAATAATAAAAATGTTTAGTCAATTTCACTTTTGCAATTTATATAAGTTATAGCAGTCTCAAAAACTTACGGGGTAAAGTGTCGCGAATATTAGCAGGAGCTGAAATATCGAAAAAAATTACTTAAACATTTTATTTACCCCAATGCATCATATGGCTCATTGTTCTAAGGCTAAGTACACAGTTGTTTTAATATGTATTCGTTTTGAAAGGATTTTTAAGTAAATATTTTTCTGCATTCATAACATAAATATTAAGTTTGCAAAAAAACACGTCAATTGAACTACGAAAAAAAATGCAGAAAATTGATCAATTTTTGTTTGTTTTCGAACGTCATCTAATTGATATACATTTTCATAATAAATAAATCAGAAGGTTATAATGAATCAGATATTTACATTTTTTAGAAACAAATGTATGGTCAAAGTATGGTAGGTATACATACAATATAAATTTATACTATTTATGTATTTAAAAAAAAGAATGTTTTAATTTTTTTTAGCCTTGGTCATTAAAGAATTTTTAGTTTTTATTTTGACACTTTAATTTTGTCATTTTTTTACAGTATTTTCACCCAACAAAAAAAAGTTATTACATATCAGATTCTTATGTAAAATATCGCAGCTTTGTGAAAAAAATTTTGATTAATTTTTTGCGTAACAAAAAGTCATTAAAATTGAGTTAATTATCTAAAAAGTTGTATTTTCACAAACTACATTTTTGAAACAATTTTTCTACTATACATACAATTTTATATAATAATATGTTTATGGACATAATAATCTTCATTATATTATCAACAATATTTAATAACCATTTATACTTATTTTCAGCTTTTTGAAAATAATTTTAAAATTAGTATCTTTGTAAAGCACACAAAAACTAATATTATTATCCAACTTACAGCCATTTGAATAACGAATAATACAAATGGATAATCAATTTCACTTTTGAAATTTATATAAGTTATAGCAGTCTCAAAAACTTACGGGGAAACGTGTCAGGATCTGAAATATCGAAAAAAATTGCTTAAATATTTTATTTATCTCAATGCATCTTATGCATCATATGGATGAAAATAATTTTTTTTTGGGATTATTGTTTATAATATCTTCGTACATCAAAAAAAAATGTTATAAGTTATAACAAATCAGGTTTTTACGTAAAATTATATCAGCTTTCTGAAAATAATATTAATTTTTTTTTCGCGTAACAGAAAGCCATTAAAATTGAGTTTATTATCTAAACAGTTTTTTAATATTTTAAACAGAAAGCTTAGGAAATTTTACATAATGTGTACATAGTTTCAAATTGAAATCTCCATAAAAACTCTTAGAAAAAAATTTAAATGAAGTATAAAAAAGGTAAATTATGAGATAAAATTTCATAAATAAGTCGAAAAAATGGATAAAAATTACCAGAGTATTCGAAATATTTGAAATAATTTTGTTGGCCGAAGATACTACAAAAAAAAAAAAAAATTATGTACTAAACATTTTTTTATACCTGTTGTAACTGGATGTGTTGGACCTGGAGCTGTTACACCCGACATCATTATACAAAATATGGTGGCTAGAATACAAATGATATGATTCAAATTCATTTTTACAAGTAGTTAATATTACTAAACACCAAGGATGTAGAATACAATACTAGAGCAACTGTGCGTTGTACGTTTGCTGCTTACATTATATAGAGCTATATGCTGCACGTCATTTTAAAATGTTTGTCCCATTTTTTAGCAAAAATCACTTGTTTTCATATTTGGTTTTGTCGTTTGTGTATTTAAGTGTTTGATCCATTTCCTGAAGTTACTGTAGCAATGTAAACAAATGTAAACATCAGTCATATAACTATAGTGTCTTCATATATTTAATCAATAATATTTATGCTTTCAACTTGCGTTCTAGATTTGATTTCAATTTTATGTTTTCACAGAAGCCATCGATTTATTATCTTACATTATACTTAATATACAGTTTTTTACGACTATTTGTATAGTTTTATTTTTTCTTATCGAAAACTGTTTTTTTTTACATCTGTTGCCATCTAAATTAATGACAAAGAACTGTAATTAAGTTATTAGTTATGTTTTAAAATTTAGTGGCTATCAAGTTTTAGTCCTTGTTAAGATGTATTTCAAACACAAATAATAATTTGAATTAGAGTATTTTAATCCTATTTTTTCCATTATATTTAGACTAGATACCTAATTAGTTTTATATAATATTTCAACCCTTGTTATGATAGCTTAGAAAATCGTCTATTATACTAGTAAAAAATCATAAGCTGACAACAATCAATAGCATATACTTTTTTAAGATTTGTATACATAAATGTGTTAATTTATTTTTTTTTCAACGGCCATATCATTTTATTATTCATAAAGGAAATTTTATTTCATTTTCAATAAAATCCCGTGTTACATATTATAGTCATTTGTAATCTTTTTTTAAACTTTAATAACTATCTTATCGACTATGTGTACCCATGGCAATTTAAAACGTCTGCAATTACATAAGATTACATTACTTTACCGGCGTGACAAAAAAAATGCATATTAAAAAAAAAGTCTTTACGCGAAAACAAAAAATATCAAATATAATGTTGTTTGTGTTTGGTCACTCTACTATTCTGTATATATCACGAAAGTATTTTTTCTGTTGACCGATTTACTTGAGTAGCAACTCTACCCCTCCGTAAATCTATCCCACTTGTACTTACTTTGATGGGTCAGAATTAAAAAAATGTGCTCATATTTCTTCAAAATCTAGCGAAATACCGAAAAACGTACATACTTTAAAATTGTAAATTATGGCACGCTATAAAACTTTTTTAAAATAGTCGAATTTGTATAGAATATTCTTCAGTTAAAGTACAATCTATAAACAAAACAACAAATATATCATCAACTCTTTTCCCTAGAAGGGGTGAAACTTTCTTTTTTATTTCGTCGTTTTAGTTGGAGGTTTACAGATTAAGGTCTGAAAATGAGTCAGAAGCTAATTATTGGCTCTAACTTTCTCCAAAATCTGTAGTCAAACTTTTTTATTTATTTAGGAAAATGATTACACTTTGATAGTAGTTAATTTCTAGGTGGCTGTGGCTGTGTGTGAGTGAATTAACAGTCAAACGATACTAATAATATATATTTTATATTGTTAATTACGGTGTATGAGTACACTGTACATACGGTAATAAATGATTATTGTCAAATGGTCAACTCTAATCATATTACCCTTATACTAAAAACACTTTTTTTTAGCACGTTTACACCGCTAGCGACAGTGAAGATGATAACTACGTGTATTATTTTTGAGAATTGGGTCATTTTAATAAATTATAAAAATTTTTGGTTTTAATTCGCGCAAAACTATTTTGGTTGAAAAATAATTGTAATTTTTGTATAGGGATCTATAAAAAAAAAAATTATAATAACGACCAACAGTAAATTCTGATTACTGTATGAGTAAGGCAATGTAGGCAATTTAGCTAAAGCTTAAGTTTACCTTAATATGTAAATACTTACAGTAATGAGGATTATTTGTTGATAATTATTTTTTTATATCAGGTTATAAAAGTTTTATAATAATTAACAGAGCAACGCAGAATCCGTTTTGCTAGGTCCGACATAGTTTAAAGCAAAAACATGTACTATCATATATTTTATGAAATATACTGTTCCTAATGGCTGAACGTTGGTGGATTTTTGATCAATTAAATGGGTTTTATAATTTTTATTATGAACAAAAACGGTTTTATAGTTATGTGTTTTTTAACGTTAACATGTTGTTTTACTATAGTTAATAGAATATTAAAGCAGGATCATCGTATAGCTTAACAAGCCTCTTAGGGTCAACAGGCAACACTGCTATCTTGAGCTGACATAAATGGAGCACCTATAATTATCAAGGGTCCGTTTGTATTTTTTAATGTACACTACACATTTATATTAGAGTTATTAAAAAATTGTTAATTACATTAATAATAAGATTATAATTTTGTTCACGTTTTATATGTCTTTAATCGGGGCTTAGACGGTAGGTATGGATTTGGCAGTTTTTGGGATTATTTTTATAGGTTACAGTCGATCAAACGCTTTTTATACGAAAAACTTACATTTACACAATGGGGATATGTCTTAAGACTTTAATATACTAATGATAATAGTAGAAAAAATGTTTACAATGATGTGTTTTTATTTTTAAACCACTGAACCAATTTATTTGTGTAACAACTCTACATATTAAAAATCGTATCTGAAAGGTACATTCAAAGGCCTAAAATTTAAAAAGTCCACCCCTTTAAAATCGAGGAAGGACCCAAAACATTTTCATATTTTTCAACTTAAAGCTACGGCGCTCTGTAACTAGTTAAGTTAGTTCTAAATTTGTATGAAATATTCTTTAGACGTAGTACAGCTAACCGATAAACGTTGCCAGACTAAACATTTATGACAAACCCTTTCACCTACAAAGGATGGAAACTTTTTCTTTATTGTTAGGTGAAAATGTGAAGTCTTAAAGTCTGAACATTTTACCGAAAGAAGTTCTAGAATCTTTTTTTTTTAATAATAATTATTATTTTTATAAAAATAATAATTCATAAATTCAATTTTTAGCTTTACTTTGTTAATGCTGAAAACAACGGCCAACAACACTTTTTTATAATTTTACTAGAGTTATGAATACAAATTTAATATAATAATATGTATCTTGTTTTTTTTTTTAATTCAATAAAATAGTTAAAATTACTTAATTTCAAGTTGTGTTTTATAGTGCGCTTAATTTTAATCAAGGGAGGGCACACCAGGGGATAGTCGCAGTGCTTGAAAGGGACGCGTTCAATGAAACTCATTCCATTGATTTCGTTCAGTTTTCAGGAACTTATCAAAAACGTAGTTCATTTGTAAGTGAAGGGACGTAATGGAATTTAATTCATTTTTTAGAAGGACTTCTTTTTATAATTTTTGTATAAATTATTAGGACCCAGTTTGAAATTCACACATGTTATGTAAAATTTACCCAGCTTCCTGAAAAAAAAATGAGAAAAATTCTCAAATTTCGAGCAACACAAAAAAACAACTTTATAGAACTCAATTTTAATGACTTCTTATGACGCACAAAATATATTTTTTAGAAAGCTATGATTATTTTACATAATAAACTGATTTAACATTTTTTTTTATGGCCAAATATACTTTAAAAAAAATTATAAAAAAGAAGTGTCAAGAAAAAACTGAAGATACTTGAGAAAATTATTTTTACCAAAACAGATATGCAGTGTAATTTTCAAAAAAATTCTCAAGGGGCCACTCCAAACGTTCATTAGTATTTAGCGTTAAACAACTGTTAAAATAGCGTAAAATGAACTGGAAAAGTTAAAATATGAGCAAAAAGTAGAAATAAAATTATTTAGTTTTTCTTCAATAAACGTTTAAGTTTATTATTTTTTTTAAACCATACCCCCATCCTCCTTACCAAAAAACTGTACTTTGCTGGTTTTTAAAAACAATTGATACGTTTTAATGGTTCTCTAAAATAAATTGGCGGTGGACCACTAAACTATGGTTAAAAAACGACCAGTGTCGCAACTAAGTATTGTGGTGCCCTGGTGTCAAACTAAATACGGGTCCCTTGGAGTTTACATCATCGTTTTTACAAATGATATAGAGGAATCGCTTGCACATTACTTCTACAAACATAATTTATATCTAAGTTTACTATTAGGTACATCATCTGTACATATGTGGATGATTGATTTTACATGAGCTTTTTATCATTATCATGAATACCACATTGCCACCTAACCTAACCTAACCTACCACATCATAAGACATTTTTTCAAACTTATTTTTTAACAGTTGGCAGTTCTGAGAAGTGAGAATTGTCATTTTTTTGTTTTGCTAATAGTGTTCTGTGCTCACTTTATTTAAAAAAAAAAATTGGAGAATATAATTATATTTTAGAGAAAAAACAGCGGGGTGTTCTCGAAAATGTACTCCTGTATAAAATTGTTTTAATTGTGTTTAAGCTTAAACTAAAATTTTTTTTGCATCAATCCCTTTCTTGATGTCTATTGCCCGGCTAAATACACACTAGTTATAATTTATAAGTTACATAATTAAAGGTATACAGTATAATTATTAGTATATTATAATTATCCGTTTATTTGAAATCCATTAAACACAATTACATAAACCATAGCACACTAATAACAATACACCGAAAAATTATACATTCTATAAAGTGATTTAAAACGTATATGTATTTATTTTACGGTATATGGAAATAAAACATGTAACAATATAAATCATTTATAATATTATAAATTATATTCCCAGGGTCTTACAAACTCAATAACTAAGATTAGACAACCAACAATATCGTCCTCTTTGTTTGTGTATTGTATTTTCAACTTGTAAGTTCCATAAAAGTATTTTTTGGGAAAATAAGACTTTTCTAGTAGAGACAAATCAAACCCAATTAATGAAGCATTGCCCTGTAAGTTTTTTTAACATTAGTCATGTTGTATTATATAGCTATAATGTTAAGTAATAGAGAAAATTTAAGAGTTAAAAAATGCTTACAATTACTTTACTCGGCCCTATTAATAATGATATTATTTATCTGAAACACTGAAAACTTATTAAGTATAATTCTTAATACATACGATATTGATTGGACAATCGGTTATTGATTTGTCAAAGCTACGCAAGAATGGCAACCAAACCTGTCCCATCATTTTCTTGAAGCTACTACAACCGTAAGGTTGTCTGTAAACGAACGCATTGTACTTCCATCCGCCAATCTTATCTAATACCGCCATGTTTAAGTGGAACTGTTGATAATATAAAAACAAGTAGGTACTTTAATTTCTTGTTAATTTTAGATATGTGAAAACAAATTTTTTTTTTTTAAGGAATGTTATAGTTACGGTCAAAGAGTCGTCAAATGGGATTCTTAGGATTATTTTGCCCGTTAAGACCCTTTTGGTTTCAGAAATCCGTGATAAGTGTAAGTTAAACATCATAGGATAGTTTATGCTTTCATTACAAATGAACGCTCCTAGGAACTTTAATTTATATTCACCCTAAAAATATATGTATTTATTAGAATTATTGTAGGTAACCACTAAAACCTTGTTAATCAACTTAACTTTTACTTGATGTGTACCGCCTTCACAATGCTAATGTGACAACACAATAAACACATCATGCGGGGGTTCAATAAAAAAGCACTTAGAGTGAAATTTTTATAAAATTTAATTTTTTATTTCCCACAAGGCGTTGTGTAATGATTTTGACAGTTACGGGGGGGGGGGGAGGAGCGAAGTCAGTGTTAAACACTGTTATGTATTAAACATTAAAATCTATTTAAATTCCAAAAAACGAGAGGAAATGAAATTCAATATTACAAAGAATACTACATTGTAATAGAAATGAATACCAAACACGTGAGAGACATAAGCGGACATAACAATTATATTTCACCCACAATTTATAGACTAATAATAATAGGTCTGCGGTCACCAGACTGTCACTTCCGAAACATATTACGAACAAATAAAAACAATTAAATAATATTACTAAAAAAATAATTCTACATTTTTAGAAAAATATAAAAAATTTCGACCGTGTCATTTAATTAACGTTGTATTATTTAATAAAAAAATATATATTATACATATAAAAATAAAACTATGAATGATCAAAAAAACCTTAACAAACGATATAAATTGTTATGTTATATGCTAAAAGTTTTAATTCTTACTTCAACTAAATGCTCAATAAGTTGGGAAAATAAATATTTTGTTTAAACTAAGCATGGTTTATACAGTAGTTTGCGTTGTATTCGGTCTATAGTGGTTTAAGAGCAAAAATACCTCATGCTAAATCGAATAATGATTTTGTAGAAAAATTACATAGATACATATACTTTTTTATAATAATTCATAAATTCAATTTTAAGCTTTACTATTTTAATGCTGAAAACGACGGCCAACAACACTTTTTTTTATCAATTTACTAGAGTTATATACAAAAATTGAACATAATAGTATGTATCTTGTTTTTTTTTTAAGCAATAAAATAGTTAAAATTACTTAATTTCAAGTTGTATTTCATAGTGAGCTTAATTTTAGTCAAGGGAGGGCACACCAGGGGATAGTCACAGTACTTAAAAGGGACGCATTCAATGTAACTCATTCATGACCGAAGATACTTTTGATAAATGATAAAAAGGAAGTGTCAAAAAAAACTTAAAATACTTGAGAGTCGAGAACATTCTTTTCATCAAAACAGACATGTTGTGTAATTTTCAAAAAAATCCTGGAGGGGTCACTCCAAACGTTCATTTATTATTTGGCGTTTTGACACATAAATAATGTATTGAATTAGGTATGTATAAAAACAATGCATACCTAATGTTTATAAGGTTATAGTGCATACAAGTAATATTATGAAAACTGAATATATTTCTACTTGTAAAATTATTCATCTTTATTACTTCAGTAAAAATACTTATGTTTGTCCGATTTATGTTATAAGAAAAAAACTATTAACCATGTCAGATTTTGATTTAAATTTGTTTGATTAGATTTTTTATTTCTATATCATCATATTATGTTGGACTAGTAGTACAGGGTGGGGCGTGGTTACTTCCTTATTTTAAGAAATCGTAACACAAAAAGTATTGGAAATATCGATTTAATTTTTTTTCCATTGTACAGGGGTACGTTTAAAGTTTTATTTCACTGGGTTTTAAAAACGACATCTCGAAGGTGGCCACCGTCCTCGTCAATGCACTGAGATGGCCGAAATCTCTTTAGCCGCCGAATGTTTGCGTGCAGATCGCCTAGGGGATTTCAAAAGCACCGCCTTTACCCTCCCGATGTTTTCTGGCGTCCTGACGGTTCTGGAAGGTCCATCACATTTCTTTTTCGCAACTAACAGTATCCCTAAACGTGTCCTGCCATAAACAAATCGATTTCCGATCAGGCACACGACCTACAGGCGCGATGTTGAAATGCTTTCTGAAGTTGAGTTGTGATGACCGAACGGCCGAAGGAAAAGTAGGCCTCCACGGCGAACGCGCGCTCCTCCTTTGTCCACTGCATTGTTGACATTGAACTAATCATAAAAAAAAACTTTAGATACCGAGCTTTCGAACGCGCCATATACCAACACTCTAGGAGTAATGGTCACTTTGTGGCGCGAGTTCAAATAAGGAAGCAACCGCGTCCCACCCTGTACTTAAGTAAAACAGAAACACTTTTTTAAAGACCGTTCGCGCCAAATTTTATTTATCCACAACAAGCCGTTTGCAACAACAACTTTGATATGTAATGAATTATGAACACTAAAGATTAGATTGAACACTTAGATCAAATCGTAAAATAGTGAATTAAAAAATAAAATATTCAATATTTTTTTTTAGTTTGACATCAAGTCATAAAGTAACTTCTTGGAAAATAATGGATTCAGATAATATTGAAATGTTTTAGTTTTAGTAGAAGAACTGTGCAAATTAATGAAGAATGCCTAAAATGAACATTGTCTTTAATGTATATTAAATTATACTGAATGACCCTAAAGTTTGGTAAACTTATTTTTTTTTACTATACAGATGAGGCTTTATTATACGAACTTAAATTAAAGATACATTTTTAGTGATGGCAAAAAATATTACCAAAAATACCTAACCTAGTTTCTATTTCCTTATAACCTTAAAAACTAGTAACTTGCCCCTGAAAAAAATAATTCTGGTTTTCAAACTAACGTTTTAAATTTTGGATTAAAAATAGAAGCTTATAGTAATTTATTATGTTACAAGCACTTATTATAAATTAACTTATTTTTTACTATAAAGAGTTGTGACAATATTAAAGACTAAAGTTATCTAACTGTTTGATTTTGAGTTGCCAAATTAAATATAATGAAACATTCAAACGTGAAATCGTATATTTTAAAAATTAATAACAAATATTAAAAATGTGCACAACAAAAAACACAGTATAATTTCCAAACAAGCAGATAGGTGCAGTCAGGTGCTGTGTATTAAAATAGCATAGCTGAATTTCTATTAACCCTTTAACGCGCAGATCTAAAATGAAAATCTAATAAATAAGACAACTGTGGCATCCATAGAAGCCACCATTATAAAAACTGTAAACGCGCAACAATATTTTTGAACATTTTACTTTTACGTAAATGTGGCATACATGGTAGCCACTTTTTTATCAATATAAAAACAGCTGTAAAATTAATCTGTTTTTGGTTATGTTTATCAATATTGATAAAATATTATCAATGTAACCATCGTGACCATATAACCGTATTATAATCGTGATTATCAAAAGTGGCTTGTACACGTGCCACTGATTCATAAAAGTGGTTATAATTTCAAGTTTTATGTTAATTTCAGTGATTTTATGACTTTTTCGGTTTTTACTAAGTAAAACAATTCAAATAAGTACACAATTTAATTCTTTACAAAATTTTACATAGATTGTAGACTATTGATGAACAATAGTTCATCAATAGTTCTGTTTTACACTAGTTTTGCGTTCAAGAAAAATACAAAAAGAACTATTTAAGAAAAAAACTGTACTTTTAATTGTTGATTATAAAATGTTATAGTAAATTAAAATTATTAAATTATATATCATTCAATCGTTATATTCTGTAGTTTTTAACAGTATATTATTTATCAAAGTAACTATTTGCGCAAAGAAGATTTATGAGCACAAACGGTTGAAATCTATAGATCCCAAAAATGTGGTTGATTCATCTAACATAAGACACTCATTTTCTCTGAATTTTATGCTAAGTAGAGTAATTTTCATTCAATGATTGCGATTGAATTAAATATAATGATACATCGACACTTCTAAAACTATGTAGGTATTAAATAAGTACATAATCAATCTAAGTCAAGGAAAATTCTTAAACGATAGAATATTTATTGAAATGTTGCGAGTAGTACTCAAAGTGCAAGCAAGCTTTTAATTAGGTAGGTAGGTACTTACAAATGGATGATTTGGATAATATTTTCTTTCACCGATTAAATCATCAGTAAAAAATATCAACATGAATAAAACATATGTAAAATATTTACACTCCATCGTAATAAATCAGTAAAACGTGCAATTATTCGCTAAGGACTATATGAATGGTTACAGTCCCTATTGCTTCAAAAACTAGGTATTACCGTTCAGAAGGCAAATAACAAACACAAATGTACGGATCCTATAATAATAAGTTAAACAATAACATTGATTGTTTAATCGTAAATTTGAATATCATAAAGAATATTTTCAACTAACTCATAATGTTAGGACTACAGGAGAGGCATAAAATAGGAATAGCAAGTAATGGAACTAGGAGAAACGCCCCGAATTGCTGTATTATTTTAAATATCGCCATATCAGATTGTTCACACTTCACTGAACTGATTGTAATTATACAAATACAAAAAATAAGCCTTTATATTGTTAAAAATGGAGAAAAAAAATCATCGTGTGAAAAAATGTATCCACAACCAATCTGCCCTTGGATTGCCTTTGGATAATTTCATTGCTCCTCTGGTCATTGTTAAAAATATTTGTGTTTTATTAAAAAAAAAATTGTTAAAAAGAGTATTGTATCCAAATAAATTTGAGGGGCCTCTAAACTGGCATTTATTACTTAGTGCTTTTATCTTTATAAACGAGTAAGTGATTTTAAAACGCATTAAGAAATGTTTACATATTGGTATTTAATTTTTAACCGTTTTTATAGCCTTGTATAATAACTTATAAACGTATTGACTTTAATGCCTGGTAATATCTTATATCAGCAATGTCAAATGTGATATCTACATATTATGTTTTACATAAAATTTGCGGGAAACCCCTTCCTTTAACTTTCACTGTATAACTTTTCTATGAACTCAATTAAAAACCAATAACTCTACACATTGATTCGCCATTAATTGCTTTCTCTATTCCTCTCTGCATAATAATCCATAATAATTTGCTTCGTAAAAAGTATGGTTAACAATTTCTTTACCACAGTTGACATCGAAAAAGTTATAGTAACAAACTTTAAGTAAAAATAACTTTATAACAGCACTCACTTTATGCAAGCAATAAAGTATAAGTAGTTGCCTAACATAGAAGTATATAATCAGTACTGTATAAGTGCACTTTAAAATATTTCGACTCTTGTGAAAATGCCATTTTTATGGAAATACAATTTTACCAAATCCAGCTATTAAATTATAAGGACAGAATGATACAGTAAAAAGTACTACCTATGACAAAACGTACGGCTAACCAGGAACTTCTTCTACACTAGTTTGTAATAAAAAATGAAGACCATTGTTGCAGTGTTTAAAAAACTATGTACTTCTGGGAGTGCATTTGATTTCAGAAATTATTGAGAAAAAAGGATATTGACAATTATTTGGTTTTATGCAACAAGCCACTTTACTAGAATGATACTGCACGTCTCAGGTATCACATAAAAACTTGCAGAGGAGATTTTTAATAAAAATAAAATATGCCACACGTTGTTTGGTTTGTTATAGATAAGGTTCAATGGTATAAATAAGAAAAGCAATTACAAATTCTGACACAAAGCAATATATTGATGAAACAGCTTAGGTTTTTGAAAAATTTTAAATAAAAATCAAAAGGAACACGAAAACAAAATAAATAAAATGTATATCATATTATAAAATATTAAAATAAATAAACAATAATTGTATTTAAGCTTATCATTAATATGACAAAACAGTGTTACAAATGTTAAATTATGCTTTTATAAGCATCAATCATAAATAACTTAAAGTAAGTTTGTGTTTAATTTATATATATATATATATATATTTTTTTATAGTATTTAATTTAAAATAAAAAAAACAAACGTTGCTAGAGGTAAAATGTGTTATTGCGATTCATACACTACACAGACGCCTTGAAGTCTGTGATTTACAAAATCGTGGTACAAATAAAATTTAATAAAAAAAAAAATTATAATTATTTATAATAATTGTTTTCACAACATTTAAAACATTTAAAAGCTACCTAGGTAAATATAAATTATAGTCACAAAGTTCAATATAATTTAATTAAATAATAATATAATATTAGTAGTATAATATATAATATAATATTTATAAGCTGCTCGTAACAATCCGAAAGCTTTCAAACAAAATTATGCGATAGTAAAAAAAATATTTGTATACATTTCAATTCACATAATATATATCGTATTAATTAAAAATTATAAATCCATTTTGATTAATAAATATAAATTAATTTCGGAGGCAAAAAATGTCTAAATAAATCATACTATATAATTTTCACAATATAAATATAATAAAAATAAAAATTTGCGCAACTTTATTTTTTAAAAGAAATTCTAGATAGTGTATTACATTTATATTTTGTAAGCGAAAATTATCATTCAATCATTTTATTAACAATTAGGTATACAAAAAATGTAATATTTGTACAACACAAATTGAACGTCAAATTTCAAATGTACGGCAGTTTTCAGTTTATCATAAAAATACAAAAAGTCCTATGTCAAATTAAAAAAAAAAAAAAAAATTAAAAACTATGTGATGTCATCTAACATTAGTAGAAAGATATAGTTTACTAGAATTATAATAAGTTACGGAGAGAAAATAATTTTGTAATAAACTCGGTGTCGCCAAATAATTAGATAGAAATATATAAGTTAAGATAGTGTTGAGTAATGGAGCTTTTTTGTTACAAAAATAATTAAACATATATATTGTAAGCACTCGAACTTAACTAATATAATAAAAGTTAAGGTTAGAAATTTAATAATTTGTAATGTAGAACGATTGAAATTTGAAGTCTTATTAAATTATTCTTAACTAAATATGTTGTTCGCGAGTTAATAAATATTTATTTTTAATTGTACATAAAATAACGACATTTTATACTATCAGTTTGTATCTTAAACACACAATGTAAGTAATGTAATAGTTCAGCTGCCACAAAATGAGTAAACAGACCAAGTCCCGAACGATAATTGTTATTTTGTTGTTTTGGCTATACTGTTATTACCATCGAAAGAGAATATAATATATATCAATAATTATGTTATAAGCTCCATTAATACTGAATGCAACAAACGTTAGTAAAATCTATTACTGGTCCACAGCAGATTTAGAACAAATATTATTAGTTCATATACTATATAAAAAAATAGACATAATGTAATGTATTTAGTTTTAGACCGGCTGAAATGACAAATACACAACATTGATTAAGCAAAATATTTCCACTTGGAATACAAATCAAATTCTACAGCAGAAGACATTTTTGTTTTGTTTTAACAATAATAAGGTTAAGGGAACGGTAAAGGAAAATAGAAAAAATGGTTTTCAATGTCCTTTGGGAATTGAATATTCTGAATAATCAAATTTAATTTTCAGGCGAATAATATTATACTGTCACGAGTGTAAAAATGTCTATGTATCAAATTTGGTAACAAAACGAACAAAAAAATAATAGGCTAAGATTTATCGAATGAGGTCAAAAAAAAAAAATTACCTATGGCCATTAAAAATAAATAGGATTACTTAATTACTAGCAACTAAAGTTTAAGTATAATGCACATGTTTTAGATTCCAAATAAATATACGATAACTTAATAGAAGTTATGCAATAAAGACGTGTCGAAAATGTTACTGATTTGTCCAAAATGGGCGCGCGTTGATGAGTGGAAAGATGAAAGGATGACTATATTGTGAGCTACTGACAACTAGTGTTGATTGGTCAAGGCAACATTTAGCTAGGCGTCTGACCAGTTATAAAATTGTATTCTGAAATGATAAATAAACAACAACCATTAATCAGCGTTACCACAACAGTATAATACAAATAATTAAAAAATTGTTTAACGAAATTGTATTTAAAAGCTATTATGTTTACTTACCAATTTTAGTTTTAAGCTTGAATAACCTTCTTTTTTTCTTTCTTTTTTTTAAGGAAAGACGGCGTTCTAATTCCTTTCTTCTTCTTTTTCTTATCTTTGTGAGAAGAATCCTCTGTGGATATTTCTTTAGTGGGCGAGCCCTATGTTTGAAATAAAACAAATTCTGTGTAATCAATTTTCACCAGTAATAATCATTTCTATATGTAATACCTCTTTGCTACTGGAAAATGTACTCTGGTGAGCGTCAGAATTATCTCCGTTGTACGTATTTTCACCTAAATAAAATAAAAATATTAATACATTCATGGTGTCAATATTGTAAAACAAATTCTAGCAATGGTAAAAAAAAATCTAAAAATGGAATAGTATCCGTTTTGATGAATATTAGCGACCCTGAACTCATATTTTTTTATTACTTAACAAATAACTATATTTACCGTTGTCGAGGCGACAAGATGAAATTATATCTTCAATTTTAGTTACATAGCTAATTCAACCTTTATCAAGACCATGATCAATAACAAGGTTATAAGAATAAGAAAGGTATACTTTACCACTGCCTTCATAAATCTTAGTGAACTAGAACTAAAATCTTTAACTTTTTATTTAATTACCAACAAGAATTGAGTTAAGCAGTAAAAAATAAGTGTTTCCCCATACATATTTAAAACAATACAAAACATAAACAAGCTGTATCGTTAAATTATATTTGTGCAAATCATAATCAAATTGTAATTTCATGATACAATTTAAACAGAACTTTATAATAAAAATAACAAAAATAATATGCTTTGTAAGATATAAAAAAATGTTTGTTTGAACACCTACAATAGTAACACGAATTAGAAAAAAATATATATGAGATGATGCTTAAAAAATTCAGGTTCTTTAACAATATCTAATGTGTATTAAACATTTTACAACAAAGTTATTTGACACAACTACAAATTTTCTAAGCTGTCATTTCAGTCATTTCAGAATAAAACAGCGTACAAATTACAAACGTCTTACAATATACTATTCGCTTTTTAGTATATTGAAGAGTATAAAGTTATAGTCAAAAGTAAAAATAAATGATGTATTACCGTGTGAAAAGAATAAAAACTAATTCTCAGATTAAACAAGTAAAACAAACAAAACAAAAAAATGTTAAAAAATTATTCAACATCACTTTGATAAAGATTTATTTTAATGGGTGGCTGTTCAGGGAAACTAAGGACAGGGGTCCAATGTGGAGTCACAATTATTTGTGTTAAATCGTTATCATCGATATTCAAGATTTCATCGGAAAGCGATTCCGCAGAGTTGAAAATGTAATTATTCGCCTTCTGATTGTTGATATTGTGAAACTCTTCAATAATAGACAATTTATTCGATGTAGGCAACGTAGCCCAAATTGGGCTAACAGTAGTTTCAACGAAATTATTTATGTCGTTTTCATCTTGCGCTAAAGGAAGATTTCATACACAATTTCGATTAGTTCATTAGAAATGACGATTTAAATTTGAATATTACGATTTAACATTTAATGGTTATTATTATTATTTAATTGTTATTATTAGCATGTAAATTAATTTTAACTTTTTCAAGTTAAGTTAATATTAGTCAAATTCAAGTTTATACTAACGTAATAATTATTGCTACTCAAGTACTGTTAATACACTCTAAAGTAAAATACTAACAACTCCAAAAGTATTTGTGATAAACTGGTTATTGAACTGTCTTCACAAAAATAACATGCTTTAACAGCATTTGAAATTTATGTAGGCAACATTTTAACATTATTAGTAAATCAACATTTCGGAACCACCATTTACCCTTTATTAGTCAAGATTAAGTATGATCAAGCTAACTACATAGCATATTTGTCCATGGAACCAAAAAGTTTATTATGATATTGAGTTCAATTAATTTAAAAAAAAAACTTGTCGTAACTATGTTCAATGTATAAAAATTAAAACAATACAAAAGGTTAGGTTAATTGCTACACATTTTCAGATAAGTTCTTACTTAACTACAACTACTTATATTTAACTACAAGTTGGAGGGTTCTACCAACATAAAATATTATATCACTATCAGCAATGTAATTTGTAAAATCAATTTAAGTAGTTGAAAAATATTATCTAACTAGAAAATTTTTTCCTATGCAAATATTTTTAAATAATAAAATATGAGAAAACTGACATAATATATGATATGATGCGTTACAATAAAACAAATTTAGACTTACCTTCACTAAGAACGAGTTCAGCCTGGTCTGGCTTTAGTACAGATTTCCTCTCCACTTGCACTACTCTAGTTTCTGTAAAAAAATTATTTATTTAATATTTTAACAAACTTTCTACAGCGATGGCCTGACGTCATCAGACACTGAATTTGTCAAGAAACCATCTCACTATGGCAGCGTTAATCCTTCAAAGCCTGATAAGCTACATGAGTATGATGATTCAAAAAAGAAAGTACCATAATTGGTATTATTGGGATTGTATTAATAAAATAAACACCCACCTCCTGCTCTGCTTTCATCTTCTGTCTCACTAATAAGGAAGGCCTCGGTTTGTCTAGTCGGTGAAAAATGCTCGCTGTGTTCTTCATTGTCTATGAAAATAATAATAAAAAATTCATGTTACAAATTTATAAATTATAAGTATACAGTATATCTATTAAGTTGTTTATTATTACCGTGTTGTCCTCGATTCACGGCATTTTTATAATATTCTATTTCCTCGTCCGTGACTGCATCAAATGGATTTTTAGCATAAGGTGTCTTGTAAACAGTAGCGTTATGTTGAAAATTACGTTGTATTATGCCTTTGGACGCAGCCCCAACCAATATTACTTGATCGCCATTTGCACTTAAGTTAGCATCCTGATAAAATGTAAATAACGACAAACACAATTAATATTTGTTTTTCCTAGTTAACATATAAATTATTATTATACTTGTAGTTTTTTTGCTTCTTCCCAAGAAACGCCATCAAGTATTTGAGATTGAGGTCCTGAAGTTATTTTGTCAGCTCTTCTATTTTCTTTTATCTAAACAGGGTAAACAATTTGTATATTAAATGTATTAATTTAATAATAGAGGTTAAGATGTAATTTGAAAATATCAAAGCACGGAATTATATGTTTACACTTACTTGCTGTTGAAGTTTTTTAAATTCTTTAGGATTAGTGTTTTTTGGGACAAACTGCAGGGGTCCTTCTATTTTAAATGGAGTACTTGAATTAGGCGACGCTTCAGGCACCCACTAAAAATTTGATTAATTATAACAATATTATTTTATAATAATTTAAATATAAATAAAAACTATGTTAAAACAAACTTATAAATAATTATACCTATTGTGTAATAATTATGTTATTAGATACCTTGTTACCACATATAACATGTTAAGCTTAACACAAAACAAGCTTGACTACTACTTTTGAAAATGTAAACCCATTCAGTTAATGAAACACACAACATTAGTTATAATATTTAAGTTTATATTGTATCTTCACAAGATATTAATTAAATCAAAATACATAATTTAGGTTCATATTAAATAATCAAAAGTTTATTTTTCATTTGTGAAAATCAGTAATAATTTTATTATATAATTTAAAATTTAAAAGCAAGTACTAGCACATTATTTGTTTAAAGCTCTTAAATATAAATAGGAATACTTTTGTCAGCCACTTGCTATTAAATAGTCACAATATTATTAATAATAATAATAAAAAAGTGTCAATACAAGCACAATCAGTTATACAAAATATGTATATTTTATAGACATATATAGTGAAGTAACGTTAATGTAATTATACATGTTAAATTTAAATTACTTGAATAGAATATAAATTATGGGTGAAAAAAATACTTAAAGTTATTTATGACTATTTTCTACCTTGGTAATTTTCTTAGGATCTGTTGTTCCTGTTTCAAGTACTTCTACTTTTTGATAAACATTTGGTGAATTTAACCACTTAGTCCTGTCGGTAGATTTGCGACCATCATAGTATTTTTTCCACTGTCTAATTAAAGAATGATCAAAATAAAATAAATAAATAAATCATTTAAAAACACTATAAGTTTTAATCAAATTTACCCATTTTTGTAAAGTTCCTCTTCTTCTAACAAATAACCAAGTGAAGAAACTGCTGGCGGTACCTCAACATCATTTCGTGGTCGCGGTGGCTCACCTTTAATGAGTGGTTGCCGGTAAATGTAACCAGTACGAAAACCCTAGTAAGTCACAAAAATGGTTGTTTAGTTAATTACAAAATAGTAGGTATTAGGTCTGCCTAATTATAATATCTTTGGTACGTACAGCATTATCAAGCATTCTCATGAGAGCTTCAAACTGAAGTCCACCAACTCTCCAGCGCTTTTCTGAAACAGCAGTGCTACCCGCAGGTAATGGAGCGGGTACTGTGCCATCTGGCGGAGATCTGGCAGAGTCATAAATAGATTTGCGCTGTTCCTCAGACATGGTGACAATATTGTCAAGTCCCACGGGCAAAACTTTGAGCTAAGCGTAAATTAAAAATAATATAATTTACGAGTTGACAATTTAGATAGAAAAATAATCATATTTCTACTACACAACTCACTTGTGTTTCACAGGCATTGACAACATTATAAGCATTGTAAAAAGCTTCTTCGATGGATTCACCAGAGCATACTGCACCGTGATTAGTAAAAAAGATAACCTAAAAATCAAAATAATTTTTTACAATTACTTTAATATAGAATTATTTTAAAAACTTTTCTTGATGTTTACCTTATTTATGGGTCCTAAACTGCGAGCGATTTTTTCCTTTTCTTCTGTATCCACATTAGATCCCGGATACGCATAATGTGAAACATCACCAATTAATGCACTTTCTTTACTGATGTGCAATAAACCGCAACGCAATGACGATACAGCCAAAACAGAACCACTAAAGAGAATAAATAAAATGTCAATGAAGATTGTGATTTGACATCTATTATTATTATTATATATAGTATGAAATAAACTCAGCAAACATACACTTGTATGTCAATAATTGCTTTTAAATCTGGTCTAGCTGCATAGATAGAAGCGTGCAGTTGAAAAGCCGTAACGTTAACACCATAATTTGTTGTTCCCGGTTCCATTACATTTCCTTGCATGTCTACTTTGATCAGGCTAGACGCCGTTACCTCATTGCTTAAAAGTCCATGTGGGTTTACCAAAAAGTGTTCTTCTTCTTGGTTAAGTCGAGCCTAAAATTAAATAGAAGAATATAAATATCTTTTAAATTTGTTATGATCTCCATTTAAATTACATAAAATTAAAATTAATAGATGATAACTACGTAATGGTTCTCATAAAAAAAAAAAATTCAGTAGGGTTAGGTTGAATATAAAATATTACTTTCTGTTGAACATTAAACCTAAAAAATCATATTCTAATAACTATATTTAGTATACTCGATTATCAAATTAGTGAAATATAATATTCAGTTTTAAAAAAAATTACAATATTATGAGATAAGTAACAAATTTTTGCCTTTAAAAAACATGTTCAAAAAAATGTTCACTTATCATTTTTGTTTTTCATTTTAGTCTAAGGAAAATTTGCAATATGTAAGATTAGAGAAAACCTAAGTTAAATATATATAAATATGACGTAAGTAAATATGTCAAATTCTTGGTAACATTATACTTAAAAAATACATATCATATTACAAAGATATTTTATTTCTCAGTTTAAATTTGTCATTTTAATGTATACGTACAGATACTTGATTGTAAATTCCTTGAGTCCAGCCATACAAGTCCATTAACCTAAACACAGCAGCCAATTTGCATCTGATAATTTTTTCCCCTTTAGCGTATCCCATACTTTCAACACCTCGAATGTCATTGATTGGGGCAAGACAATTTGAAGCTAAAATATTGTGTTGGGTTATAATAATTTTAAATGTAAATAAACTATTTTAAAATTGAAAATTTAGGACAATTTTTTCATTACAATTAATAAAATAATAATAATGGTATACCAACCTTTAGATCCTCCAGACTGACGTCCTCCGACCATATCTGATATTTGCTGTAATATTCCAGCAGGAACGGAACCGCCATCTTTCATTTGAACTTCAATTATTCGTTCAAGTTCTTCACGAAACAGTCGTGAATTCATTATCATTTCCACTCTTTTTCTACGTTCCATTTCTCTTACATCCTGTAAATAAAAATGAAAATATCAATGAAATAAAAATTACTATACATTTGGTTAAGTATATCTTTAGATGAAAAGTGGGAAAAATGAAAGAAAATGATCGATAATATTAATACTTTTGAAGTTATTAACACTTCAAGTATAGAAAAGAGATACTGCAAAATATTATTTTAATCTATGTTCAATACTCTACCACACATCTTTAAAGCAAAAAATAAAAATTGAACTAAAAAGAATTTAATGGACCAATCATGGTTACTAAATGATGTTAAGGAAGCTTAAACATCTATTGTTTCATTAAACATAAAACAGGCATTCCAGCATAAGTATTTAAAATATTTATTCAAAACTTGTTATAACCAGTCAATTTTTTTCAGAAAAATGTACTCATCTTTAAAGTTACTAGATTTACTATATAAAATAAAAAATTAGACACTACTTTAATTTTTTAACTATAATTTTTTTTTTTAATGTAATATCCGCAGTCCATACTACTTTTAAAAAATCTCTATTTCTCTAAAAGATATTTCGGTTAGTAAAACATTATAGGATACAAGCATATTCTGTGACACATATTTGTGTTAACAAAAATATTAGCAATAAATTGGTTATTAATATATTTAATTTATTTCTTTTAAAACAGCCTAAATGTTTTATTTGAAAAGGTAATTAATAAGTATAAATATCTTACAGCATCAATATCTGCAGGTCTCATTTTTCCACGTTCATCGTCATCATCATTTGAGTTTGTATAACCATTGCTATGATGAGCTGGAGATTGTTCAGCTTCCACGTCAGCCATATTTCAATTGTTTCTTAATCTATAAAAATAAATATACCTATATACAAATATTCTATTATTATTTTAATAAAAAGTTAAGACGAGAAATATCATCTAGGTACCTGTTTTATCTAAGACTTTACTATATTATATTTTTAGATAATCTAAAAACTACTCACAACACTACTTTAACAGTCACGTAAATAAACTTTTATGTTTAATTTTTATTTTACTATCATTAAAAATAAAGCTCTTAACTTTTTTTTTAAATACATGTTGGCTGTAATATCTGAATAATAATTTAAAAAAAAATTAAAAGATTTAATGTAGTTACAAAAAAAAAATTAAGAAAAAATACATTAAGAAGCCATACAAATATTTAATAAGAAAAACAAATTAAATTTATCTTAATTTATTTTACTATTATATAACTCAATAATTTGATTCATTGGATACAATTGTACTTAGATTATATATTGTAGTGCCTTGAATCAAAAATAATCAAATGTATAATGTCCATTTCTCTATCACTGACGTAATCAGTATTTAAATATATCACATCAACATGAATACGTTTGAAATTAAGGTTTCCATACATAGATTAGGTAAAGTTTAGTGCTAATGATATATTAGCTTTGTTTACAAGTTATCAGAGAATTTGTTTTCACTGGAATGATTTATCATGTTTGCACTTTGACCTTTATAAAAGGCATAAGTGTAACAATATGTTACTAACTAAATATGTACATATATAAGAAGATATGAGCACATCATCATTATATTAACCATGTTTCAGTATGAATAAAATATAGAACATCTACTATAAATATATTATACAAGTAGGATTTAATGTCAAGAGATAATCTGTAATATAAAATAGTGTTGTGTGTGTTATTATTATTTGATATGGTAATTATTTATTTCAAATATCAACAAAAATGTTTTATATAAAGTAATTAAAATATCGAAATACAGAAATTTCTCAATTAATGGTTCTATATTATATAAAACGATTCCCTACCACATTTTTATAGGAAAATTATATTTATCCACTTATAAACTATAACGAAATTATGGCCTTATCTGTTGATTTTGTAATTTTACTCAGTAAATACAGAATACTTATTATATATTGAGTTATTGAATAACAAAACATAACTGTTACTGTTGACGTAAATACGTTCTTTCTCTCTCTCCAAATTTAATGTTACGTCTATCCTAAAATTGTATAATAATCTCAGTGCCGGTAAAGACTAAAGTCTATCTAGAAGGAAAAGTCATATTTGCATTACGATACCATCGCACATAATTTTATTCCATACGCTAATAGACTACCTAGGTGTTGTTGGATTGAGACCGATGTGAAATTATGTGAACATTGTCTATATTGACGTGATAAGGAAATGATTAAAAACAACTACTCCGTTAATAAAAATAAAAGCATTAATATAACATAATAATATTAGGGCGAGCAGGAAACAACACTCGGGGGGGACGATTCAATTTAAACAACAGTCGGTTTTAATTAGGACGGCAATGTGAAAAAGTACAACCGAAAGTGAGAGAGAAAGAAGCGGCGACCGCACGAGTGACGCCTAAATAGGTGCTAACGCGATTCAGCGAATATTAGGGCATAGGTAGACGGTGTTAACTCGGTAAACAAAAGAAAAAACCGTAACATTTGCCGGCGATTGAAGTTAACGAATCAAACGCGACGGCGCCGCCACAGCCGTCTAGGTTAATAGCCGGCAAAGCGTCCAAAAACGAACGACACCCTGTACACGAGATGGATAGGTATTTGACCACTTACCCGTAAAAATCAAACGCGAACCGCGCGTAGTGCACCAACGACCGGTGTTTGTCAAAGTCTACGACTGTTGTCTGGCTTGTTTGGTTCTACCCGCGTTTGGTCGTGCGACGGCCGTATTACCTATCACACCCACGAAAAAAAAAACGATACGGTTGCGGTCACGTTGACATTATCGGTTTCGACGACGGGCTAACAGGGTTACGACGGCAACGGCGGCGGCAGACACTGTAGACTGTAGAGACGGGGGCCAAGCCAACAACGGCGACGGTCGAAACAGTATGGTACGCGGTCGAACACTAACACAAACGCACGTAAACACTAAACACAGTCACACACACACGCACACAATACACGTACATCACACGCACGCACATCCACTCGCGCACACACTACACACAAGCGCTGTGTTAATGACTCCGAATCACGAACCGAAAAAACAATATAATATGGAATTCAGCGGCGGCTAGGAGATACGCCCGTGTGTTGTACCGAGCTGCGGTGCCGTGCGCGGCGCGTGCAGTGTGACCGCACCGCACGGAACGTCGCGGCGAGGCGAGGCTACACTGCGCGTTCGAAGGCAACCCGACCGCGTGCACGGGGCCGCGGCTGCTAGATATACCGCCGCTTTTTGCCGCACGGTTAATTATTATAAATTATAATAATATGGCCTGCACTCGTCCGTTTGCGGTATTATGGCTGATAAGCCGGCCCCGGCGATATCAACGACAATAACAATGTTGTTTTGTTATTATTTGAATTCATAATAAATACCTACCAATGTCCAAAACAATAATTTATTACAGTCAACACCGATTGCCTTTTTGACTCGAATCACGATATCGATATTATCACTTGTAATAATAATTATTATTGTGCGGATTTAGCTGAGTTCACGATTTTCAAACAAAATGACGTTATCTGACGTCGAGGTCGGTCCGAAGGCTATTCGGGACCTGTACTGTGCCCTTGAAATTCGAATAAACTATAGAGCCTCCCCTACCCCGTCCTAGAGTGGTTCAATTGTATAATATTATTATTATTACTTGGGTGAAAACAATACTGCTGTACTTGTAATTTCGAGAAAAAAATGATATTTAAAAAGCGGAAGAGATAAAATTTTTTTTTCTATAAGTACAACAAAATTATTACTTAAAAAAAATTGTTGCTAAATTGATGAAAATTATTTTTTTTTTAAACCGCTATTCATTACAGTAATACATATCTACAAAATTAAAGGCATTGAAAGCGGACGGGTTTTAAGGAGTTTTACATAGGCACAACTTAAGAACACCGGTTTTAATAAATTTCAGCCATGTAAATTTATTTACAGATTAATTTCTGTAAGCTTCGAGGTATTATTTTTAACTTATATAAAATTGTTTCAACGAGTGAACGCTATTTCGGTGCTATTTTAGTCTATACAAAATTACGCCTACTTAGGATGTCCGATTTTAATTCTGTAAAAAAATTCTAGTTCTTTCAATATTAAAAAACAATTTGGTCACATAAAAAAAGCAATAAATCAAAAATCTGTTTCCTATAAAACGTAGGAAAGTAGCTGAAGAACTCGTATCTCTTGACAGAATTTAAATCGAACCATCCTAAGTAGTCAACATTTTGTCAGGCTTTTTCGTCTATGACGCCAAAAAAACTCACCGCTTTTAATCCCCTCAAATGGATTCCTGTGATAACGAAGAATATTTTAGCTAAGGGAAAGAGCTAGAGCCCCCTCCTTAGTTAAACAATCTAATTACGCTAATAGGTTACCTGATGTACTTACTACAACCTGTAATCTATAAAGGTAATAACTAACAGTATTTTATGTTTCGTATGATATGGGTTATATAAATGAAAAGTAGAATATATAACTATAAGATAAGTAAGAAAAACTTGGATATAATAGTGTATGCAAATATGTATGCATAGTGTAGGTATAATTTACAAATTTCCAACTTGATTTGATAAAAACTAAGTTATAAATCTTTTAATAATAAATTTATACTACAGACGATCAATTAGAACTAAGAAGTAATGATAAATATCAATTATTAGTATACACTATACATATTTACTTAAAAATATAGTACAATATTACCTATTATGGACAAGTATTATAGAGGCCGCTTTGTATACCTACTTAATAACATGTATTATTAAAATGTGGCGTGGGCGATTATAATGATATCCTTGTCCCTGATTTTAGCTGCTGATTGTAGTAGTTGGTCGAGTTATCGTTAAAATGTATAAATTGGTTTGTCGCATAAGATCAGATAAAGATTGGGCAATTATTGTAAAAAAACGAGGCAATGTGTAAATACCTATTTTTTTATATCATTTTTTTAAGTGAAGCACAAAGCTTTTTTAAAAAACTTAAAATCATAGTTTTTTTAAATATAAAAAAAAAAATGTTTAATTTTCCCTACCCAATTTAGTTATTGGTTTAATCTATTTGTGATAGCTGCAAAGTATACGTACTGTGAATAAGACAATGATAATTGTCACTTAACAATTTTTTATTTCTTAAGAATAGTTTATATACTAATTAGTTAGATCTTGTGTAAACTGTAGTTAAAGTTATATATTTTGTGAAGTACCTATATAAAAATCAATTGTACCTACCTACGTAGAAAAAAAAATGTTTGATAAGATTAATTAACACAATCATTACTTTAAAGTAGGCGGTTGTCAACCAATCAACCAATACATTTATTTCATAATTAGAGATCAAAATTTTCCCTATTCCAATATTACATAACGATTGACTAGCTTACACAATCAGTAATTGTTCTTATAAATAAGATAATTATTTTAAAATTAAAATCGAGAAATAACTTACTGCGGTAAAACACTTAACAGGGGATTTTTTAATGATTAAATATTTTAGTAATTTGTTGTAAATCAATTTAATAACAATATTGTAGCCGTAGAAAAACATTCTATGTGGTTACCTCTCCTTCTCCCCCTTTTATAAAATTCTCTGGAACGTCCACTGTACCAAATAAAATAACAAATTAACAAAACTAATTTTTCAAAAACTATAAATTCAGCTCGTCTACGTTTAATGTATTTTATTAATATTATGCGGCGTTGTTTTACTTATAAGCATACGAGAATAGACAAATGGCTGTTGTAAATTCAATAATGGAATTGAATGTTTAGCCAACTGCCAAATAGGTGTACGGAGTGTGCATAATAAAAATGTTTTATGACCGTTTAACGCGGGATATCCGTTCTAATGATTAATCACAATACTATAGTTTTGCTCGGTGGTGTTCACGAAATGCAATAATAGCATTTAAATTCCTAAACGCAATTATTACTATACAGCGTTTTTAATTTTTAATGAACGACGATATCTCAGCTATTAATATATAGAGGCGTTTTTAACAATATCACTATTGTAGGTACTTAATAGTCTAGTTTACTGTTTACACCGAACACAAACTAGGACAGTACAACATGTTACCTAACCATAATTAGAAGAGTTGATATTATGTAGGTACGTATTAGGTTATATTATTATCTCACATAATGTTATGCTATTAAGTCAGGTCTAATTTGTTTTTGTTTCCTCGCAAAATATATTAAACGAGGAATTAGGCATTCGCAAAATAATTATGGTTTTAATTCAGTGTTACCCCAAACAGCGAAAACATTGAAATGTCTCAAAATGTGGCTAAAAAGCTGATTAACTCTTTAAAAATAGTTTTTGCCTAGGAATTCAATGTTTTTAAAATGTTATTTACAGTATGTTGTCAAAATATGGTCGTGTGGTTGCAAATATTTCCACTATATTTTTTTTTTATTATTGTATTTATTTATATTTACAAATGAAGCAAAGAAAAAAATAATACATAAAACTATATAAATATTCTACTCATTTAAGCTAAGGCTTGTGTTAAGTAGAAGAGTTAGCACTTCGCAATCAATATGAAATCATTCATAAATAAAAGACAAAATAATAAATATACTAATATACTGTTAAACTATGAGTGACAACATTCAATGCGAAAATAATTATCATCGTGAGCTCAATAATTCAGAAAAAAACCACCTATAAACTATTTTTTTTTTTTACATTTAACCACCCAAAGTTAATGTATTTTTTATAACCATTTGGGATTAGATTAAAATATGTTGGACCTAGATAGTCAACAATACTCTTTCCAAACGATTTTTTGGTTTATTTGATGGGATAGTCATAACCCATAGGATCTAAATTCTCTTACCTGAGGAAATTCAGTTTGGTTCGTTTTCATTTTACTGTATTTAATTAAATTATTAATTTCGCTATCCGGGATACTTGATGGATAATAACATACGTTTTTTATATACGAAAAAATCTATGAACATAATACTGCAGTATGTCATAATGCAGGTAATTTAGTTTGAAGGTATATTATAAAATAATAAAATTAAATGCCTAATCTAACGCGACGAACGCTTCCATAGAAAAATAGGTATATGGTATGCAATTACAGAATACTTATTTATTACCTCAATGAGTGTTTATTATTTAACCTAACCTATTTATAGATACTTATTAGATATGTACCTATGTTAGTGTAAAACCTGGTTGAACCTACAAATAAATTTTCTTCGTGAAACATCACATTCAATAAGGTAGTGAAAACCGATTTTGAATGAGCGGTGCATCTGCATATAACAATATATTAAGTGAATGGGCAGAGCTACTAATCGAATAATTTTGTTGTTCCTCGTGACGTACCATTGTACACGATGACATCAACTTGCTTGGCAACTCGCCATTTGTTATTTTTATTATGGTTTATAGCCTCTAAAATGTGATATTAAATGTATATAAATACAATACATATATATATACTGCATTGCACTTACAGGGTCTTCCAAAGTGTACATTGCCATAGTCTCCAAAGGTATCTTATTAAACAAGTTTGTTTTTAATCATTCAAAGCGATGTTTCTCTTTACGGCTATTAACCTGTTTTAGAGCTTATAAAGTCATAAACAGCTATCAAAAAGTTTTGTAATTGCACTTGACCCATAAGTCGCAGTTACTCGACTTGACACTTACTTTTTTAATTTAAAATTCGAAAACGAATAACGGTGAATACAAATATTAAAAATTGGCATTATATAAACTACCTATAAAAGTGTATTGTGATAGATTATGTCCTTTTTGCTGCACACACATTATCTGATTTGCATCCACTTATCACATATACAAAATGTGGAAGTTGCAAAACTAAACACAATCAATATTTGAGTTATATTGAAAAATATTAATCAACAATAATTGCAAAAATACAATATGATTTTGCATTTAAAATAATGTAAACATGTAGTTAACATTAAAAAATTGTAATTCAGATAAGTATTTTAAAATTAGTTTACTGGACTTTTTTAGTTGTTCGGTTTTGATTATTCAAAATTAAATTAAATACTAATCGATATTATAGTCAATGATTTTAGCTTCTCACGTTAGTCGACCACAACTCATAATATGTTTTGGTACACTAGCCCTGAGGTTATCTGTACAGTATGTTATTAATTATTATAATATCGACGAATCTGTTTAGACCGTTTTTAGAGCAAGCCGGTAATTATATCAGCAACTCAAAAAAAAAAAAAAAAATGTTGACCATACGTAGCTTTAGGCTTAAGCTATCATTGATCAGATAGAATTTTTAAAAAATATACCTATCCAGTTATAATAGGCGGAATGCGGGCCACTGTATTGTTGACCTCACTGGCTCACGTGAGTGTAACCAGCCGGGTGATAATACAAACAATAATTAATCTTTTATTCATTTTTATACGGTTCAGTTTTGAATAATAAACTATAAAGAATGACGTGGTTAGCTTCTCATAATTTTTAACAATATATTATTATTATCAAGATAATTGTGTACAATCGTAGTGAGCAAATTAATCCCCAATTATATAAGTACATGTATAACTAGGACAAAACTCTTATTCCTACTCATAAATCTATTTCATAAGCCTGTGATCATAACAAATGGATGAATATACAGATTAACTACTATATTTTTAATTCCGAACATTACATATAACATAATTTATCTATATTAATAATAATGAGTGTTCCTATATGATTGTTCTTTATAGGTGTCCAAACGGCTGCATTTATATTAACCGAATTTGGCACAAATATTATTTTGATTGGCATACATTGTATATGAATGTGAGAGAGGGAAAGGATGAAGAAGGGAGGGATGGGGGTGGGATGGTAAAAAAAAAATTAGTATTATTCAACTGCGATTTGTTGCAATTGTATTTATTGACTCGGGCAAAGTCAAGTACGGTCACTGGAAATTCACTCACATTTTTTTGTACGTTAAGTTGTTCGTGGTAATTATAACATTATGTTAATTTGTGATATAATAACAGGAAAGGGAGAGGGTGATGCAGTATTTATCCCACGGACACCACTCATTCTAAAGGGTCTCCATTTTAGCTTAAGGAAACTGGATACCGCATATTCCTGTCAAATCAAACGTTTAAAAAAAGTAAAAACAACTATCTCGAGTAAACTTTATGACGAACTCAAATCAGTTTTCAGATTCCTCATCGCATCAGTGGATCGATCAGTACGATGAACAAAATAATATACTGATAATATATGTATGTTTCCCACGGACAACTTTATGTGGCTTTCTAAAAAATGGGTTCACCCAATAATTTATTTACTCTTGCTCTTGGAGGTGAAACTAAAAATAAATGTTAAGTGGGTAGGTTTTTATTTTGGGTATCTATACTTTGTTGTGTATAATATTATATTCTTACAAATGTCACAGGTCTTGGCCTGCGTTTAGAGCTTTAACGATTGAAACATGATTAATTATCGTTTTCCATTACCGCTTGGGACTTACACATTAGTAAGTATAATATGCTAGGCTGGCATCCTGCCGTGACTATTCAACAAGTTCAAAAATAAGCATAATATATAAGTTAGAAATAAAATACAAATTAACTACCATTTATTATTTTCTTTTATTATTTACGCGAGAGTCCTTCTTATTTTCAGTGGAATTCTGAGGAAAATTCTATTCTTCGGTAGGTTTTTATTTTTAAGATCTCTAGCCTACCAATGAGCCGGAGTAGCATAGACATCTAATACTACGACACTGTTTGTATGTAAACAATAATTAATATAGATGCTTCTATAAAATAAATTAAAATTAAAAATATACCAATATTAAATCACTGTATGTAATTTATATTATAATATATTAATACATACAGTTTTATGTGTAATAAAATTGTAAAGTTTATGAACAGGAACCATAGAGTTTTACATTATGTATACAATTGTATTTTACACTTAAAGATAAAGACATATTAATTTAATTACCTACGCTTTTAAAAATTATTACTTATATATGAGGCGCATAGCACCAGAAAAAGCTCAACCCACAATCCATTATTTCAATTATTGATTTTGAAATATTATATTGTTCTAAATTGTAAGCTGATTTGACACTACGCGCCTCTTATATAAGGTAATTTTTTTAAAAGATTAATAGTTTACGGTTTAAATATTTGTTTATACATTTAATCTGACCTCAAAAAGCTTATGCGTTGTTGAATGGTTTTCAACTGCTTTTATTAGGTATTTAGTAGAAAACAAAACGATTATAATTACCAAGTATAACACTAAGTATTGTATATCTTTTCATTTTTAACAGATATTTGAAATTCTAGAGCTAATATATATGATTTTACCAAGCAAGGCCATTTGTTAGGTGCAATTAACAATTTTAATAGATGTTTAAGTAGATTATGTGCATTAAGGTCTGGTAACGGTAGTAATTTTAACAATGTATTAGAAGAATACTGATAATTTTATAGAAAATGTAAATAACAAATTAAAAGACAACTTTATTAAAATTATTTAAAAACTTTTTCTCCCTTAAGTGAAACTAGAATAAGATTCGTCAAAAGGAAATATGAGGTTACACAAACATGTTGTAGACGTTGTGTGCAGATTGCAGTTAATTGTTATTTTATGGGTTACACTGAAGTGATTTGTATCCGGGAATGGACACATAACCAGTGTTGAAAACAGTTTGGTCGGGCATAGTGTTGGCAGCTAACATCAGCAGCTTTTCGGCAGCTAATGGATGCCAAATTCCAAAAGTGCATGTCGGATCTACCTTTTCGTGATAATAGTGACATCTGTGTGTAAGTCTCTCCGATGGTATGAATTCGAACATATTAACAACGGCACATTGGGGTAACAACATGGCCAACCCTAAATAAAAAATAAAAAATAAATTAAACCAAATCAACGCCAAAAGAAATAGCAAACTCTGTTATCCTTTCCTTTGCCACATCTTCATATTTCTTTCCATTCCCTCGCAAAACTGAACCCAAATACTTGCATTTTTCTTCTCTATTGATCTCTGAGCATAACTGATTTCATATTTCCTACCATACAAATTTCACCACTAAACTTGATTACTTAACTAACCATTACTTATTTTACTCCTTAACATTTATATTCTCACTCAAACACTAACTATTAAAAAATTGATAACATTATGTTTTTTTGGTGTCTCGTCCAGTTTGTCACTTGTAGGCTCATTTATCACTTTCAATTATAATAATTCCTGTACACATGTCACCTCTGCCCCCCCCCCCCAATATGATTCGTACCCACCATGTCGTGATCCCACTGTACTAGCTGTTTTTTTTTTAATACAATTTCCTTCGGCTCTACTACAATGTTATCTTCAACTACATACTATATTCAACTATTTCAACTATATTGTTACTCTGTCGTACGCTTTTTCCGAATTCATAACAACGCTTGTATTTTATTTTCTCCCTATATCTGTTCCATTATCATTTCAAATACTCTTCGCAAAGCTTGGTACTATTCAATTGTAGAACGACGAGTTTTCCTACCCAAAAAGCCCGAAGTCGGAGGGTTCTTGCTTATGCGAGCTGCAGTATGGGATTGCAAAAATTCCCAGAGGTACCATAAGTACTGCGGATGTATAATGTGGAAATTCGATTCCGGGTTCAATTTCCTAAACGCCACGTAGTTGTTCACAAATTTGTGCTCTGGGCTTTGGATCCACTGAAAACCGCAAAATCAATCGTTACAATAATAAGTAAATGTCCCACCGAAACCTTGTGGTGTTCACCTCGTTGACCGTCGACGAGTAATTCGATGGATCCCACATCAAGAGTTTGAGACGTTTGTACAACGGAGACGTTACGAATTCAAACTGTGGCTTGGTCACGACTTGAGAATTCAAAATCCGAACCGTTGTTTTGGAACCGACATCCCTTTCATAGCCTACGGTCGGAGCGTTGTTGAAGCGAAGCACCAAATCATGTGAATCTAAAAACAATATAATATGTTTAATAACATCATTATTCAATAGGTGTCTATGTACATAATTTCCCGCATAATGTCATTGCCATTTTTCGTATACATAGGATTACCTATAGGTTAGGTTCAGCAAAAATTGCTTTAACACTACTCTATAAAGAACTTTCGTCAAGAAAAAGAGGCCAATTCACAGGTCTTTTACGGTCACCATTATTTTTTTTTTGCAAATGACCTAAGCAACGTTAGGTCAAAAATCGGCATTTGGTTATTTTTTGTGTGTTTTATTTTTTTAGCAATCGTGTTACATTTTACTCTAACTTATTACTTATCAGTTAAATACATCAGGCTATTATTGGGACTACAAACAATATTTTATCACTAATTTAACTGTTATAAATATAATATTAATTGCAGGGTAGTTAGTGAAAACCAAGGATTTTACCTATGAAATATCCCAAGTTTGAATTCCTTAGTGTAGCTGCGTTCGACACAATTGCACAAGTGTTAAACGATTGGTCATCGTCAAACAATGGCTCATCCGGGAGATAGTCCATTATTGGATGATCAAGATCATCCTGTCTGTCTAACGTTCTAAAAGTATCAAATCCAGTGGCCATATCGCAAACCCAATTCTTCTGTACACCATTTGTCGCCTGTGGTTTATTAGGAACATTGTAAGGATTCGCGTCTTTAAGATATCCACTGCTTTCTTTCATTACCACCTGCCTGAGGCGTGAAGTAATTTTGTTCTTAAAGTTGAATAGTCTATAAAAAAAAGTACACATCTATAATAGTATAAATAATTATAATCTCTGGAAAAATTTAAATGTATACCAACGAATATGAATTAGGTATCTACAAAAGTATAACTTTTATATTGTAAAATATAAATATACAATTAGGTATTCATGCCGAGCCCAGAGTAATATAAGCGCTTTTTATTAAGGGGCAAAGGATAGATAATATTTGACAAAAATTGCTGTAGTAACCATTTTAAGTATGCCGACTAATTTTAATGGAAAAAGTTTTTCTAGTTATAAAACTTTTAAAGTTTGTTTTCTCCGAGTTATAGCGAAAGTTTTTATAAAAAATGGCTTGAGTAGAAGTAATTTTATGGCGTATCTATTGGACGGATTTCAATTTGTATTTTGTTTAGTCTACTATTTTCTCTATGGAGGCTAAAAGAACGATTTTTTATTTAGCTATTAGAAAATTAGTTAGATTTATTAGGGAAAAGAACATAGAAAGTAAAATAAAATACAATTTTAAAAAAAGAGCCCCCATAGAAAAGATGCTAACATTTTTGAAATCGGGTAAGTAAACACTTCAGAGAGTGACTTCTCGTTTTAGTCTTAATTTGTACAAAATGTGACGCTTTCCGTTCCTCTTAATTTGATTGACCTATAAACATTGTTTTAACTTTAAAGGTACCTGCCTAATTTGCTTGGCTTTTTCTAGTATGTCATCTTCGATATTATTGGAAAGAAATATTTTGCTCTTGTACATAGGATCCTCAGTCGTCACGTCGCCTTGGTCATAATATTCGACGTTTGGCTGTCTCGTGTAAGTTATTTCATTCATTTGACGATTTTTAATGGCAACCCGGCGCCAATGCTGAATCCAAATTAATACCATGTAACCAACCGTGCCCAACAACAGCACGTTTAAGAAGAACCATACTGTTATAGCGATAGAACGCATTTTTGAAATAAAAACAAATTTCAAAATACAAGTAGCCCTTATAGCTGTAAAAAACAAAACAAATTGTATTTACTATTATTATATTCAGTCATTAAGGTAGATATAACATACCAATATGTATTAAGTAATATAATATTTTGTACAATAATACCTAACCACAAGCTAGGTGTACGCAATTTATAATAAACTATAAATACTTCTGTTTAAATTATCTTCAGACTACAAAAGGAACTTACGACATTTTTCTCGTTGAATTAGAATTTTGCTTTAATTTTTTTATGTACTATGTCTAGATTTTCTTTAGACACAAATTGTGAAATGACAACTTTTTTTGGGATTATATTTAGTTATATAAGCGTTGAGTACTTTTCTAAACCTGTTTTAATTTTTGTTTTCTACTGTGTTCCGAATTGATTCTCAATTCGGGCACAAGCAACTGATCGTAAACTAAAATGTTTAGTAAGCACTAAACTTATTAAATCAATTATTAGTGTTATATTTGTGCTTTGTTTTATCTAGTTTCGAGAACTAAGAATACTTTTACAAATATAACTCCAGAATAATTAATTACTTTTAACAAAAATACTGGATGTGATTTCTCAAGGTAACATTAGTAATAAAACAAGAATATAGATTTACAGTTAACCTTAAATACTTTTATCAAGTCATGCACTGTTTGTAATTTTTTTTAAGCATATTTAGCCAAAACAAAGATTTCTTTATAAAGTACATTTAGTTTGAGATTGTTAAAAGGGATACAATAGCGACGTAATTATATGTTATAAAGGATACAAACAATTATTTATGAATGATAAAATATTTGAATTTTATTGTATGTTATACAGATAAATATTTTTTACTCAAACGATTACAAACTACGTTTTACCTACAATTTTGCCTGTCATTATTACACAAAATTACAACAAATAAATGATAATTACAGCTTATATTAAGAAATTTACAGAAACAGAAGTAGAAAGGATAGTGATAGGTATCAATACACTGAAATAATAATAAATAGATTTCTGCTGTAATTCAATAAATGTAAAGTAAATGTAAATGTCGGGTATTAGTCGAGCACTATTTAAGGATAGTAGTTTTTAGGATAAAATAATTTTGGTATTTTTTTGATCATCTACACGCCTTAAGTTTTCATTGACAACAATTCGTGACAAAGAAAAGGCTCACCGTATTAATTATCTTTAATATAGAAGATACATGTAGGTATTAGTAGATGATAACAATACCTAGGTGTCTAAAAAATTATTTTCATGAAAAATACTGGAAGTTAGACGAAAACTCGTTACAAAACTGAGGTAGGTATCTTAAAATCGATAACATGATAAGTAATAATGATTTAATATTTTGTTGTATAATTGTTATACTTATTTATTGTACAGTCATAAAACTATAGTTTAAGAAAGACAGTCTAAATTATACAACATTAATAATAATAAATGACAATAGTTGTAGATTAGGTATCTAATAATTTGTGTACGACAAACATCTTTATATATTATCTCATTATGATTATTTTACTGTTTACATAACATATCTACGATAAGGATATGATAATAATAATATTGAAACGCTTTACCTGTACTTTTCGTTGTATTACGACGGCATTTCTTTAGAAGCTATTGGCGTTAACACGGTTATAGTGTACATTTGAAAAAAAGCGATTTATATAACTGTAAAAAACATTCAGCCGAATAGTGTTATTCAAGTTAGGAGTACGTTGGTTGTATGTAATGTATTTTTTTCATGCAACTAAATGACGTTACTGCTACGCACTGTAAACACAGACCGAACAGCATCCCTTCGGCGGCCAGATCAATATTTTTGGGTTCACAACAGCGCTGTCGCAAAAACGCGGCTTACTCGAGTTGCATCCAAAATGTGTTATGAATAAATCAAAATGTTCTCTTTCTTGGCGCATTTTAAACGCAGTAACTCATAATGTCTTATTATTAATCCCATTGTCCATTGAAAAAAAAATATTTTTACATATCTCAAATGATTTAAAAAAATATATACATCCAATATACCTACTTGGGCAATAACATTTCAAAAGCATTGTTTGGTTTTTATTGAAATCATTTTTTTTTAAAAACTCCATAACATAATATTATATTAATAATTTTAGTCATCTCGTTGGAAATATTTGAAAAATATATTTTAATTTTTTAAACGAGATGTTCAAATAATGAGAAAACATATTTTGGCCGTTTTGGTTATTAATTATGTTGAACAGTAATCAGTGCTAAACACTTACGAGTACTAAGTTCTATTAGATATTTGTGTTGTATTATTTAGTCTTTGCACATTGTAAATTGAAATATTAAATAATAAATATTTACGAGTAAAGTATAAATTATTTTCGTTAAAATGTTTTTTATTTTTGCGAATTACGTCCGTTTGTTTTATTGTTAGGTACATGAGTTGTTGAACGCTATAGGAAATAAATGTGTAATTTTTATATTTAGTCACAAAGTACAGTATAATCATAGTTTTTGAATGGTATATCCAGTTATAATTGTTTGTGAAAACAAAATAAATAAATAGTTCTAGTAGTTATTTTTAACAATTTTCAATATTATTAGGTTAATCATCAGAATACTTAAGATTGTTTTTGAAAAATGAGTTGTTATAGGTAGTACGGTCAGGGCTTAAAATTATTTTTATTTAAATGCATCAGTCACCCAAGGAAAAAGAAAATAGATAACCCATCGCTTTCATACATTTTTACATACAACCAAACATTTTAAAAACCTAAAAATGTGTACTTCAAAATTCACTTTTTATGTATTTATTTACTTCATATATTATAAATCCAAAATTTACAATTACACACAAATTTTAATCCATTCTTCGCAATGACATCGAAGTACAAGTTCCAAAATAATTATTGTATTTCATAATATTGTTAATTTTTAAATATGTTAATAACAAAACTAAGTAAAATGAACTTTTTAATGGAATGGGAATATAAAATGGAATATGAAATATAAAATTAAATGCTAAAAGTATTAATTAGATAGAGGACAACTTATTTTTAGATTAATTTGTATTAGCTTAAGGGTTAAATGTTTAAAACTACATCGACAATAACGAAGACGGCTGTATAGTAGTAAAAATATTTTTATTTTGTTAAAAAGGACTTGTTGTTAAAGTAAGGATGTTGCAGTTTTGACATAAGTAAAAGTAACAACCACAGATACCACTTAAATCTGCTAAAATTAACTAGTTTTTTTGGTAAAATGCATGCAAGTAAAAAAAAAAACAGTCATTTATTGAAACAATTTCCTCATCATAATTTGTTCTTTGGTTTTAAGTAAAAGTAAAATAATTTTTATGACACGTTAGTCTAAAAAATTAATTAATTATTGTCTATTGCATTAATAGATGTTATGAATTTATAACTACTGACTAGCTTGATTAAGACACGAGAAATAAACTTAAATTTTACATTCTATTTTCTACACAATTTTTGTAAAGATTAATCTATAAAAAACAAGGAAATGGATAAAATTGTTGGTAATGAGTAATGACGTTACTATAATCTAATAGAATAGAAATAGTGCCTTATCTAAGTAGCGGTTTTACTCAATATTAAACGTTAAATGCATCTAAAATTTACTTCAGACAATCCTAAGTTATGGGAATATAAGGTATTGCGAAATATTTACATCACATACCTACGACCAGGAATCTAGTTACAGCATGTTCTCTGTGTATAATTTGGTGCAAAATATTATTCTCAAATAAAATTGAATTTAATGTCATTTTAACGGAGTTCCATTATTATATGGTTTCTTTAATCAAGATCCTCGCCTTCTTAAAATTAATACAGTTTATGCAATTATTGTAAAAATGTAATAATTATGTCCAGCATTGCTACAATCGATTAGTAATTGAAATCGTAGTTAAGACTGTAAAAAAAACCCGTTAAAAACACTTTATTTTCTTTAGAATAAGGCTTAGATTATTATTAGAATATCAAAATCAATTTAAAATTTGTATCTTCCGTTAAAAACGTATAAAAGTTTTATAATATTACCAAGTAAGCAAGAGAGTAGTTTCTAATTAGAACAAAGGCATAAAGAAGGCATCCAACTTATGCATTATTAATTTTGATATTCTAATAGTAGGTATTTATTTTTCAAAAAGAAATTAGGTTTGTACACAAGTTTTATTTATTTTAAATATTTGGAGAAGGGGGGGGGGGTTAATTCAATTATATTTTTTTATAAATCGTTGCAAAGGTTTGAGCTTTTGAATTTTGCCGGGCAACAGTGGGCATGATTACACTCGGTATTTGACATCTCGGATAGATAGCATCACAGTTATCTTATTTGAATTTATTATACCAATGACCTTTAATAATGACAAAATGTGAGTACATGGAAATCATATGCGACATAGATGTTAATTTATTGTAATAGATATTATCAAAAGTGTTCAAAGATCATTACAAATTTATTGTAATTGATATTATTAAAAATAATAATAATAACAATATACAAAATAATACAAAATAACATAATACCAATTACATACTAATAATAACACAATAATAATATTATAATACAAGCAGAGATAATTTTCTCTATCTTTGAACAATGCTTGTAGTGAGAGGGGGACCGTTCGATTCTATTATTTTTTTATCTATGGCAACACTAGTTTTAATACTGGATATGATAATAATTGCATTTTATTTTCTTTGTATGTGTTTTGTTTGGTCTTTAGACCATTTTTGTCTACCATGACAACTACTAGTAAATATATTTTATAAAAGAAGCAGGGCCTTTTAATTTAAAGGTCTCTTTTCTTTTGATTCCGAGGAATAAATTTACTATTGAGTGTTAAACAAACTGTAATACCTAAAATGAAGTATAGTAGAACACACAGCGGTTTTAACCGTATGCTAAGCTTTCTACATAAGATTATAGAAAACCAAATGAATAAAAAATTCTGTGCAGCAGCATAACACTATATAGTACTTTGGGATTTCTAAAATTTTGACAAACAAATTTGAAAAAAATACCGCACAGAAAATTACACAAAACAGTGAAAGGTTCCATAATAAAATCTTTTGAAAACTCCACTTGATGTGTACCCTAAACTTAATTAGAGTAATACAATTATTTTTTAGATTTGATGCGGATCTGAGATGGTATTGTTATTACAATGATGTGTGCTGTTTTTAATTTGTCTTTACCTACTGTAAAGTTTTTAATACTGGACCAATTGTTTCGAGTAGCAACTCTATAAATCACAAATTTTATCTAGTTGATACTTTAAAGGAAGTAAAAGCTCATGTCTTTGCTCTTAAAATCAGGAAAAACTAAGAAACAAGATACCAATTCAATTTTCTACGTTGGCTTGCTATAGTTACGATGGAAATGGTTGGATCAAATTGAAATTTTTAAGGAATATTTATGTAATGTGCTTCTATACGGTAATAGTCTCAAATTTAAATTATATTTATTTCCCACACTTTCCTCCCACGTGGAAGTGAAAAGGTTATTTGTTTTTTGTGTTTTTAGCCGTAATTTGGGGACTTTTAGTCAAAAGTTAGTCAGAAAGTATAACTCATAATACATTTTGTAGAGGTAAAATATCGGGCCTATTGTTTTTTTTAATTGCCTTAACAGATTTTTGCAGATTTTAGTAAATTTAAATTTAAACATAATTCAAGTTAGTACTTCAGGGGGTAAAACTCCTTCACCCTTGAAATCTGGAAAACCTATAAAAAGCCTGTACAGTGGGGTCAGGGCAGTAATAAGGTTTCAACAGCAAAGGTGATTGTCATAGAATATTTAAATAGATTGTTTTTAGAATTTATTTCTATTATATTAGATTAATACGTTTAAGAAAATTAGTTAAGGTGTCCGTTTTGTTTTCATTGATTCTTTTATTGGTAGTGGTAATTTTAGTTCTAGAATTTTGAAATTCTGGGCATTTCATGACTATATGTGTGATTGATAGTAATGGAGGTGCTGCAGTGTATGCTTATTGGACTACGTTTTTTTTTTATGAAATACAGATGTGTAAGTGGAGTGTCATATTCTTGTGTTCCATCGGTTTTATGTTACCCATTTGATTTTTTTATAAGTTTTATTTTAGTTGGTTAGTTTCGGGTATACTATCTCAATAAGTCTGCCACGTTTTTACATGTTTTTTTATATACTGTTTTGTGTAATTTAATTTTTGGAGTATTTTGAAGAGCTAAATGATGGCTAAGTGAGTCGCTGGGTATTGAGATGTCGTTGTGTGGAAGTGATTTTGTTAGTCAACTGTCGAATGACCCCAACGGTAGAGTTGATACTGGTGCAAATATTTTTTATTATAAATAAAGAGAAATACTTTTTAACGAGGTTTCAAAAATTTGATATTATTTTCACCAATTTTTACTTGTATATTATATACACATATTCGAACGGTTCACATATAACATACGTGAGAAATCACAAACGAGCTACCAAATTGTGAAACGTGCAGTAAGGAGAAAAATTCAAAGACCAGTAACAAGTTGCGTTTTAGACTATAACGATAGAAATAATGACTTGAGGGTGTGTTCGATTTATGGCAACGCAAACGACTGGGGATTTTGGCACAATCATCTCTATGTAATTTGACATAAAAATGATGTATCAGGGAAAACGTTTTTCAATTTTGGGATTGCTGATGAAATAGGTCGTAAAAGGATATCATTAGGTCGAAAAGCTCAGTTTCTCAGAAACGTGCACATCTCCCTGTTATACACGTTGTACATCTTTTGCGTTTCGACGCCTTCCAGAAAACAACCAAGCCATTAGATATATCATTAAAAACTGACGATACAACGCAGTGTATACTGTTATTTTGAAATAATAGGATAAGAAAATAATATGTTTTACTTGTTTTCGACAAATTATTTCCGCGTACGAAAAACTGTCTTGCTATCGCCAATGTTGATTTTTCACTAAAATCCATTTTTAAGATCATTAACAGTGTTTTAAAGAGAATATTTTAGATATTTAATTTTCAACTTCAAAGGAAAATAGCATAAAGTGGAAACTTCAAGCTAAAGTATTGCATACATATTATTATGGTAACAAGCATAATAATATTATATTTTTGGTAACAGTTATAAAGTTTTAAAGGGGGTAAAGGTAGGCATCAATAATTACATTACGGCATCCGTGTACCGCTACACAATATCATCAACGCCTTGTGTTAAGATGACGTTATACCCCCATTTATTCGGTATAGTAAATTTTGTTCAAAATCTTAATTTAAAGCCTAAATTTTCAGTAATTACAATTCTTTGTTGGTAGTTAATTTATTTTTCGGACTATCACAGCACCCAAGACGCCGTTTTAAATATATTTTCCATCGTTCATTTAAACAAGTTTAAATTTTATACGTCTAAATTTTATAATAATTTCTATATTGCATTCAATTTGTTCTAATAATTTTCACAATTAGCTAGTTTTACATTTTACAAAAAACTGATATTTTTAGACTCGTTAATGATTAAAAAAAGTAAGCATAAAATCAATTGTCATAATTTGAATGCATAACTATAAGCTTAATTTAAAACCAACTAAACGCAAAAGTAATTATTTATACAAGAGATATTTTTTTGTGGATTTATTATTGTCATAGTGCATCATTGTAAAAGCACTTACTACCCTTTATGAATAGTAAACTAAACCCTGCATAATACAAATATTTCATAAAGTTTTATGCAAATGTGCCAACTGATTTCAAAACTAAAACTTTATATATTATTATCAGTATTTACATAATTTTGTATGTACTTTTTTTTATTATTAATAAGGCCTTTTGGGGAAACGAAAACGTCTCGCAAAGTTATCGGATTTTGATGATTTGTTTTTAATAAGGTTGGTCACTAATTATTGGTATTCATTATATTACTTATGTATAATGTGTTGTCAGTTATATTAAACATTTTTAAGATGACGTTATACCCTGAATTTTTTCAAAATATTTCTTAAAAACAAGTTATCACTGTTATCAAAAGGTAGAAAATACATTTTTTAGTATCAAGCTGAATAATGAACTTAAATAAATTGATAACGTGCTAAGTGCTAAAAATTTGAGTGAGTTTTTAAAGCTAGAAGCCCTGGTTGATATCACACAAGGTATTTATCTGCATTTTTTTTTAACTAATAGAATTGATTGTGCGTTTTTCATATTATCGGGCTTTGCAGGTTGGTTTAATATTCCGAGCTTAAGTCATTTTGTTTTTAACACAGCAATTACATATAAATTTAGTCTTTATATAAAAAAAAAATTAAAAAATGTCATTGTTTCTAAAATATTAGCATAAATGACTTGTCACACAAATGTGATAAATGTTTTTCCAGCGGCTTTATTATTAGTTTAAAAAATATGATAATATTTTGGTTGGAAATAAACGATTTTCAAAAAGGTATGACACTGTTCTGTGCACTGAAGTTTTTATCATATTTATTAAAAAAATATTTGTCGCGGTACATTTTAAAGTCATTCTTTCTTTTCAACTTGGCTAATAAATAAAATTGTCAAATTTAAGAAACAATAAAACTATGATATTATATTTTTAAATGAAGATTGGAGATATACACCCTGTACAATACTAGCGAAAACGAAACGTAGTTTATAATAATTGATTAATAAGGCATACACATTAATTTGAGAACGCATATTAATTGAAAAACGTAAAGATCTTTTCTTAACTTCGAGGGTTTTTAAAAAGCATTAAAAAAAACACTTCTATAATTATAAATCGAACCGTGTCAAAGTATTTGGTAATGGTTGAATTATTTGCCGAATATGGTTGTTTCTTCCTAATTATTAACTGCCTGCACTATCTTATTTATGTATTGACGTTTTAAATCATAATTTAAAAACGATAATTGTAAATTTTCCTACCACTGATTGAACTGCATACTGTAATACATTTATTGATCGTTTTAATACAGTTTTTATATTATGTCAGTCCATGTTTGTACCGTTGTATCTTTAAAACTTTTTCAAATATTATTAACAAAAGATCAATATCGCGAGAAATAGATGACATGTTGCTCACACTTCTGACCAATTAATTCAGAACTATTTAATTTGTTTGCAAAATTATATTGCTAAAGAGGTCGTTCGATACTTTTTCGTTTAAAATAAAAATATGTGTTGTATTTTAAACTAAAAAAAAATTGTATTTATTTTGTTTATGGTATTTCCATTAGAGTTCAGTTATATTCTAAACCGAATATACTTAACAATGTCACTATTACTAGGGCTGATGAAAAAAGCGAGATAAGTATTACATTCCATTCAAAATTTTCATTTTATCCTCATGTTGATAATATTACCAATTAAGCATATCTAAAGCTAGATAAGGTTCCATTAAATTTTAAACGTACTTGTAGGGATTTCCACGATAATTATGCTGTTGTTTTATTTTACTTAAGTACGCTCTAAACTTGAGTTAGTTTAATATGGCAAAATAGCTCTCTAAATCAATCACAGTCACTCGAAAATTCAAAATAATTTTTTTTTGCGATTTTTATGCTTCTAATGTAATGCACATAGAACCCCTCATTCTGTTTATACCTAAAAATGTACATATTTGTTTTTTGCAATTATGCCGTTAGTTAAGAGGTATATGTTAATAACATTGAAATGTTTACATTATTTTTTAAATAATGTCGTGGATTGTCCAGAATTAAGAGGGCGTCGCACCGCCCAATTTGAAGGAGTAAAGTATAGGCAATTTTTTACAAAATCTTAATTTAAATGTAAAACTGTGATGTGTAATTATTAGTTCAATAACTTGCTTAATTTTGGTTTTAGAGTAAAAGCACCCATTAAAAAATTAAAAGAAAACAATATTCCGGAAGGCAACACGGTACGTTTTTTTCATTAATCCAAGTTTAACGCTCAATACATAGTTTAGAAATAACGACTATTTTAACATTTTTAAATGACTGTAACTTTTCAAAAAATGATTTTTTTTTTTAAAAACGCACTGTCTTGCCCTCCGGAATATTGTTTTCTATTAATTTTATAATAGGTACTTTTTCTCTAAAGCCAAAATTAAGTGAGTTATTTTCAGTCTACTTAAACATGTTTTTACCACTGAAAATCACCGGTGCGACACCCTCTTAAGCTTTTAAATTTGTAGCATTATTCTACTCAACGCTAGAAATAAACCTTTATTTTACTTACCCAATATTTCAAAATATTATTGTTATGTAATTCTCTCTTGTATGATAACTAGATATTGACATACAAGAGCTAATATTTCTAATAATGTAGTTTTTTACCTCTCGTCGCTCTCAGAACTAACAAAGATAGTTTATTGTTTTAGTATCGTCTAATAGTTTTTTTCTATAGTTAGAGTATATCATTTTTTACATTTTTGGTGATATTATATTTACCTACTGTTAGTATTTTTATTTTATGTAAATTGGATTTTATTCCATAATAAAGATTATTATTTTTATTATATAATATATTGCCACTTGTAGATAACCAAATTATAGTATATTTGTTCAGAACATTGTTTATGTGTGGCCAAATCTATCGCGTCGATGAGAACCGAAAACGGTACAAAAGATGCTTGAAATTATTTTGGTAGGTCACATTTGGACTTGTATTTGCTCATTGTTTGTAAAGTTATTTTTTTATTTAACTTTTAAATAAAATGTCAATAAAAAAAAGGTCTAAATAAATATCCTATAAAATAACCAATATACTCAAATAATAACTGGAAATAACCCCATATTTTATGGTTCTTACCGCTCTATTAAAAAAAAAAAAGACAACTAACCGCAAGCGTTTTGGTCTGACACTTTATTATATAAAGAAAACATGATTAATATGTATAATAGTAATTACTAATTAATATATAATATAATATAAGTATATAAATATTTATTTTTATAAAACAGTCTTAATCAACAAAATGTCCTGATGCTCAATGATGGTTTCGAATATGAGCAATAAAATACGTATGTATATAATAATAATAATATTGTATAATAAGAAAATATTTTGGTTTAAAATATTTTACTTAAACCACGTTTTTATATAATAATAATATCGCAATAATGATTGTTTAATATTTCGTCGTTAACAATATAACATAATAATAATAATAATATTTGTCTAAACAACAAATGCACGGGATATAATAGTTGTATTGCATAGTAATATGTTGTATATAATGTAATATAATATAATAATAATACAAAGTAACTCTTGTATATTAAGTAGCTCGTATAATATGTGGTATTATAATTATTATTATCTGTTTAAGCGCATGGAGTATTATCATATACTTATATTACCAAAACCTGTTTACACGGTTAAGTTGTTATGAGTTAAACTTTATCCTGATAAACACGTGCATCATTTTGGATGTCGTTTTAAATAGGCGTACAAACAATTTTTAGACCACCGGTATGTTTAATTTTTCGAATTATTGATTGTGGCACTTTTGAATCAGTACTCGTTCTCTTCACGTCCATAGTAGGCAACTATAAATAATGATGTATTGGGTATTATATATATATATATTTTTTAGATGATGTTCAATAGATCATCTTTGATTGAATGAAATTAAGCGTGGTAGTTTTGTTCAAGCGTTAATTTAATCTCGAAGCTGTTGATTATTTATTCGTCGTCGTTCTCGCTTTGATAGGATATGTAGCGGACAGATGATTTTTCACCCGTAACCAACGACTGAAATCAAAATCAAACCATTTAATGTATATACATATAATTTAAACTCAATGATCTATAATCAATGGACAATACGAATCGGCTACACTTTTGCAAACAGAAGAAGAGAAATAAGAAGGTAACAACACTACGGTTCTGAGTTCTGACCCCTCTAAAGAAGTCGCGTGCTATTGAGGATTGTAAAGCGCCAACGATTGTAAAATAAATGCTGAAAAAATAATTAGAAACAATAAGGGTTTACTTTTTTTTCCTCCTTTGTCGGCGGACTGCGGAGTATGTACAGCAAAGGCGCGTACATGAAGTTGATTATGGCGATACCGAACAACATCCATTCAAATCCGATTGTGTTCACCAATGTTCCACTCAGTGCCGGGCCTATTTCGGAAGAAAAGAATATTTTAAATCAGCAATCCGTCTATATGTTAATGATTGCCAACAGTTATATACCTATGGCAAATCCAAGACAGAAAGCGACGTCGCCAATGGCATAAACGCTGCCGTACACTGCCGAGTGACGTATATCAACCAAGTATCCAAGTTCAGGCATCATCGACGAATCCACCATTCCAATAGCAAAGCCAAGTCCAGCGTTCGGTACAATCAAGTCGTTAAGCGCTCTCGCAGTCGGTATCTGGGTAACACAAATTACACGATTTACAATTAACTCAACAACTATTGAACATTCGTAGATCATATTATTGTGTCCATCGTCGACTTACTATCATCAAGCATATGCCAATTACAACCAATCCAATCATCGCGGCCAGCCATCTAGATAAACAACAATAAACGTGACATTTCTCGTGTGACGACTGTCGAGTTTCGAGATTGAAAATTATACCTTCCCATGCGGTGTCCAAGAGGTCCAAACAAGTTCGTGCCGATCAAATAAGAGATGCTGGCTGGTAAAAACGTTACTCCTTGCTTCAATCTACCAGCTCCCATGGTGTCCATCATCCATATGGGCAGGGACGGTTCGAGCATAGAAATTCCAGTGTTGGCGAATGTTATGGCACCTTCGGACAAAAGCCACTGTTTATTTATTCGTCCCTAAACTACCATTACTGGTTAAATGAATTTGTATTGGGTTACCGGCCGCTATGATTATGTAAGGATCCATCACCAGCGATTTCAATGATGGAGGATCTCCCTCAGTTTTCACCACCCCGGGTTGAAGAAGCAAAAGTTGTAACACTAGAACAATTCATCGAGAGCAACTGGTTAGTGTAAAAATAACAATAATGAAAATATTATACGGGTTTCCACAGACGATATCGATAATCCGTACGAAAACTTGCACGTTTCATTTTTTCAACAAAATTCAACACTTCAGTTTGGACAAATAGAGAGCTGAAATTTTGTTTTTCGTTTGGCAAATGAAACGTGCAGGTTTTTGCGAGGAGCGACCATCAGCTGTAGATGTATATTCCTGCTATTGAAAATGCCTGTAAGCATTACCTATTGACATCAGAGTTTATATAATATAATAAAACATAGTATTCGTACTTCCATCGCCTAGTGCCAGAGCCGAGAGTATTAAAAATGGAGCGGTTTTGCCCACATATTCGTACATAAAACCTCCAAACGGCGGACCGATCAACACGCCAAGAGCCAAACCACCCAATGCGATCCCCATTGCGTTTCCACGTTCCTGGTCGTCTGGGTAACGTTCGGCTAGCATGCCCATTCCTGTAATGAAAAACCATATTACAGAGTTGTTTACCCAATGCACAAACGGTCGATTATTGTGATCTATATTGTAATCACCAGAGACTGACGAACAAGATGATCCAACCCCTTGAAGGGCTCTAGCCAAAAACAACACCGAATAGCTCCGCCCGAAAGCAAATACTGAAACAACAATAAATATTATTATTCGAAAATTCAGGGTGTTGGTATAAGTTCGTCGTTTGTGGCTACACTGTTTGTCGTTACATACTTAATGTGGATATAAACATAATGAAAAATCCAGCGAACATCGGGATGCTGTAGCCAATCCTGTGCGTAAGAGGTCCGACGATAGGGTTTACCATAAGCTGCACTACGGCCTTGGAAGCAAACATGATTCCCACAGCAACCGTCTCGTGAACCAAATCGTCGTGTCTTTCCTTTTTGAGAGTAGCTTCATTTTCCTTCCATTGCGTTTCGTTACCTGGACAAATGTCAGCAATATACCCTCACGAATCGTTGTAAATCAGTTTGGTAATTCCGAAAGTTACCTGTGGGGCCGGACATGTCACCGTGTGGAACGGGTAACTCATTGGTGGGGGCGGGCGGTATAGTCACACTGAGAGGATGATCGGGGTGTTGAATGTCATAAAGGAATTCCGGCATGATCGGCACTAGAATAAAACATTTAATGATAGTCTATCCGTTAAGATGGTCAATGAAACGTCTGATTGAAGTTCAACTTGTACACTTGTCTGTATACTGTTTGTATAGATGCTGTTATTCAATAAAATCGACACAAAAAGATCTTACCTACCACAGTGAGGAGCATATTATCCAGGAGCAATGCAATTGCCACTATAACTAAAACGAGTTGGCGGGATTGGCGGCATCGGCTCAGCCATTCTTCAAACATTCCTTTAGCTGCAAGTTCTAGTTAATTATGCGATTTTTAAAATGTATTCAGATGAAACAAAACAATACAAAACATATTTAACACCATTCGAACAGAAATAATGCAAACATACCAAATTTTCCAGTCGAATACGGTTCTTATTGCCTTATCGAAGAAAGTTGTTTTGCTCTTCACATAATCTTATAGCTTTCTTTTAACCAAGCTCGTAACGCTATAAAAACAATTCGAAAAAGTGTTTTTAAGCTTGCACGTTTATCATGTAGAAACTAGTATAATATAGGATAGGTTAAGTTCAAAAGATCTGTTCTACAAATGCTAAAAGATTTGGGTCTATGTGAAAGGAATCCTATTACTTCACCATGACCGATGAGTGCTGAATAAAAATAAGAAAACCAGGCACTCTTTTTAATAACATTTGATAATATATTGCATTATACTTGACTGTACAACTGGCATCTTATAAGATATGCGCATTTTTTCCTCGAAAGAGAAAAAAGGTTTATTTATGCTCTGCCACACCAACAACATATGGGTAAGCTACCCTTTTAAGTATCTATAGGGTGATTCATCTGATGTAAGACACTCATTTTTACGGAAAATAATAAATATAAATATTTTGTACATCATGTTTAGCTTCAATGCGATAGCTGAGAAGGTATTGGTTTTATAATGATGTTTTTTTCCCTATACTTTTAGATACATATTTTACTATATTTTTCAATACTAAAAACATTTTTATCTTCATCCCTTATACGTAAAATAAGTATGGACTTGGTGTTTTTAAATAACGACATTTGTTTTTAATTCCATAAATATGTAGACGAGAATTTGTAAAAATGTAATAAGTTTTAATTTTTATTAATCTGTTCGTTTGCTATGACTTAGTAAAAGTTTTCATTTTTCTTCTAATTGTTGTCAATAATCTTTTGACATTACTAAGACTAGTAGGCATTACTTTATTTAAATGGGTAGACAAGAACCGCTTGTCTATTATTATCTCAAGTAGGTAATGAATCGCTTATCCATATAATATAAACAAAAAATATGTGTAAAGGGTGTTATTTATGTCTGATTAGCGGTGGCAGTGTTATCGACGAATATTTATTTAATAGGATCTCGCTGAGCTACTGTCATTAAAAATCGAACGAATATTGATTGATCTTAAATTCGAATCTTTACAAAGTCATAAGTGATGAACCGATTATTAAAAATTAAAAATTCAAACGACAATTTTAAAATCAAATTTTTTACTACCCAGTTATAGACTTAAAAATATGTTTTTGCATATGAAAAAACAAATTTGATAGTCCTTATACATATAAAAGATGATGTTGACAATTTTCCAAGTTTTGAAAAATATAGCAAAATATGTATATACAAGTACAGGAAAAAAATAATTTAAATATATTCATATTTTCCGAGAAAATATGTGTCTTACATCAGATGGAAATTTTAATGCATAATGCAGTCATTAATGCAAATATAAATACCCAACAAATTATATAATAGCAATAAAAAATACAAAAATTGGGTTCCCGCGATTAGCATTATTACTTAGCAGTTAGCAACATAAGAAAACAGTGGTATATGTACCAAAATTGTCAATATAATACCGAATATAAATATTAAAAAAAAATAACAACAAAAACTAATCTTATAATTGTCGATAAACATATTAATATGTGAAAAATAATAATTCTCTGTGAATCAACAACTTAGTCGTTATAAATTATAGTACTTATACAATACTCAATAGCCAATATGTACAAATAAAAATATCACAATTTAGTCTCATTATCGTTAAGTACATTCTATTTTTTATTTTACATATTAAGTAATCAACTCTTGGTTGTCTTTTAGGAACATTAGTTGTTCAAATACTTCATCGGATAATTTAGATCTGGTAGCGGACAATGTACAATGCATTTTGTATCTTAAAGTTAAGATACAAAAAATAAGATACATGTATCTTGAAAACCGAAATACAAAGTACAAAATTTATTTTGAATACGTATTTTATGTATTTTAGTTACTGACCATCGCTGACTGTACCTACACAAATAAAATCATTCAAATCTCATTGCAGTATCTTGACGGTCTTGTTGTGAATGGAAAATTTGTAATGTTTTATTAATTTAATGAAATTCTATTACCACGGATTAAATAGAAATAACCTAAAAATGAGCGAATTGCTATAATTTTTCTTAACTATGGTTTAAGCATAAGTGCAACTAGGGGGTGATAAGAAGACTTGAGCACCCCCAGACTGAAAATTAGCACCCCAAAAAATTCAAACCCCAATTCTCGATTTGTACACGTAACAATTTAATAATGTACATACTCTGTTCAACATTTTTATGTTAGAATATTTTTGTTTTCAAATATGTTATTTTGTATTTAATGGTTTGAAGATAAGAATTATATTTAGTCAAGTATACATAATTTTAGTCTTGTTGCGTCTATGGTTTTAAGGGTTTTTTTTTTTGTAAACAAAGATAATGCAAAAACAATTAACAAATTGAATGTGTAATGACAGAATTATGTGCTAAATAATTTTAATTAATATTTTCAAAAAAAAAAAAATGAATTTTATTCTTAAGTTTAAACAAAATTTTCTGGATTAGACAAATTGTTGTATGATTTTTTAAGTTAACAATATTTTTTAAATTGAGAAAAATTATTATTTGTTTGGAAAAATCCCAACAATTTTTACGTTTTTATAATAAGTAAATTTGTACCGTCAATGAAGTATTCAGTTAAAATTAAATATTCTCTTTTCAGTCCATAAAAATATGTAAAAAGCTTTATTCTAACTTCAATATTTTCATTTACCTATTTTACACATACTTGCTTACAAATATTTTCTCTCTTTATTAATTACGACTATTAATAGTGATCCATTTTGGTGAATTAAAATTTAATTTACCGAAATATAATACAACTATAGTTATCATTGCGAAAACGTTTTTTGAATGAATGTTATTGTTTCGTGCTTTTTATGTTTAAATAAGTTATTCATTTTTTTTTTTAAGTAAGACTTCCTTTTTATGAAATTTTGTTTAGTTTTTTATTACGCTATTTTGCTTTTTGGGTTTTTTTTTTAACGGTTTCCATCGGCGATATTATAATAATATGGATATAAAAAAAATATATATATATATATTGAAACTAAAACATAGATATTTAATAATCAGGTTATTGTGGTCTGATAGAATTTGTAAAAAAAAAAAATAATAAAATCATAACGTAATAAGTTATAATAATAAAATACAAGCAATGCATGCGATAAGATGGTGACAAATCGTGATGCAAAACCATCAGTTTTTATTCCACGTTAAGTCCAACCACAATTAATATTATTATAGTTAAAAAATGTCAATTTTCGTGCGCGCTCGCTCTGTACACGAACGACCGCGTTGTACGAACATGTGTACTTGTGTGTGCACACGTTTCAAACGACAACGGCCGCGCAACAGGTACTTCCTATACAATACAAACGACGGTTCCGTACACAAATGTATATACTTACGCATACACTCGTGTCTACGTAATACGTATATATATATATATATATATATATATATATATTGGTACTTTAATTCGGCAAACAATCCGGCGGTAAGCTCGAGGGTCGGATTACCTGTTACGAGTGGCGGCGGCGGCTGCAGTGGCGGTGACGGTGGTGATGGTGGTGGTGGCGGCGTGCCGCGCGATGCTGCCCGTCGGGTCCCGGTCGAGTCGGACGGTCAACCGCCGGGTGCAAAGCCCGGGGACTGTGTGTGCGTCTGGTGCTTAAACGTTAAATGCCGAACAATCACCGACGACGGCACCGGTGACTTACGTTGAGCACTTTGCCGCCATCCCCCAACACGACCGTGGCGCTTCGGTACGGCTGCGCCGCGCCGCGCCGGCACGTCCATCCCGGACGACGGGACGTTTGATCGCGCGCCCACCCAGCCAGCACCGCCCACGCACCGCGCGGCGTCAGATATTATGCATTTAACATTTACCGTGCCGCCGCCGCCGCAGGCCCACTTTTGCCGGTCCGCCCCGTCGCCCTATCGCGTTTCTCGAGTGCTGCGGTCGGCGTTCCATTAACATTCGGGCCCTTCTAACTTGTTGAATAGACAATTAATTGAAAACTTCCGTTAAAAAGGGCAGCTGCTGTATTATATTATACTCGACAGTCACTCCATTATATATATATATACTTCACTCGGGTCGACCCTCGCTACCCTTTGTTCGCTTTTGAAGAGTGGCCACTTGATGTTTATCCCGCTTTTTCCTTTCTGCTTTTATTTTCCTTTTTCCGTTCCGTTTCCTTTTTTTTTCTTCCCCAAAATCATCCGAGCACGACTGTACGACCAACTATTATTGCCTATTATTATTATTATTTTTTTTTTCATATAATAACTGGATGACGGATTTGCGTGTAGAAATATAAACGTTTTTGAATAACGTCAAGACATTGAAAGGCTACGAGTGATCATATATAAATATATATTTTTTTTGATGCGACGATTAAAGATACAGGTATTACAAACGTTATTAATTTTATTTTTTACCATTGTGACAACTGAAAAATATTGTTTTTTTTTATTATTATTTTAATTATCGTTTAAATATTGTAATAAATTTAAACTGATTTTTAATAATACTTAACAACGTTTAGTCAGATACAGTCAAACAATTTGTCAGATATTTAGTTTTTGGCCAAATAAATTATTGTAAAATATGGAAATTGTTTTGCCTCGTGGTTATAATATTTATATATTTTTTTTATAAATTCTCAACAAAAAAAAAACCTTAGGAAATATTAATAATCGTACATTTTTGTATGGAAATGAATATTATATTTTTTTCCGTTTAGTATGTATTTTTTTATAATTGTTTTGTAGAATATTGTTAATTTTTTTTTTTTTTTGTAGAACTTTTCTCTGTATTTTTACAGTTTACATCGTTTTTAAAATAATTGTAAATTCACTTTTCATATTGATATTTCTCATTTATATCCACTATGAAATTTTATAACAACAAATTACTCAACATTTTGTACACTCCTTATGTTTATTTTTAGAAAATATTTAATTTGAAAAGTCAAAATTATATTAGTTAAATTATATTATAATACTTAGTTTAATAATATTGTAAGATTTATATTTAATCACTGTCAATATTAGTAGTTACTTAAATCATCATCATTTAGCGGGGTTGATCAGTTATATTTTAATAAATAACTAAGTTTATCTATTTTTTGTACAAACCGGCATCATTGTATTGTTTTTCAATTACCAAACGTAAACTTTTAATTTTTACAGGCACATAATTATTTAAGCAAACTCGAGAGGTGGTCACCTAATTTTAGACATAAGAATCAGAAAACTACCGTACTTATAAGCCACCCTTATTGCTTTTTTTTTAAATAGATAAATATTTAATTTTTGCAAACATTAAAAAACAATTTCAAACGTTTTTCAGCCGAGTCTGCAACCACGAAAGAGCATTTTCATGTCTCGTTGAAGTGCCGAATAAATTTAGAGTAGTGGTGGAATTATAGATAATGATATAGTATATAAAGAAGCAGTAACAAAATTAGTATAGTGGATAACTATAACTAGTGTAGTGTTTAATATTTGGCTTGAAACAATTCATAGTGAATTTGGGCCCTTAAACTATTTTGAATTTATCATTTAGTTCTAATTTGAAAGTACAACATATCTCTTATCTCTTATCTCCTATACCTTACCCCTATCTTCTACCCTATCTCTCACCCCTATCTCCCCCCTATCACTCACCCCTATCTCCTACCCTTATCTACAACCTCCTATCTCCCACCCCAACCCCATCGCCGGGTGTTAACGCTTTTTTCGGTTATGTGCCAGAGCTAAGACTTGAAAATGTCAAACTTATATTTTAAAGAACTTATGTATAATAATAATTAGAAACATACACGGATAGTTTAACAAGTAATAGTATTGAAACATAAATTACATTGACAAGCAATAATATTTAATAAAATAATAATAACTAGAAGAGCAAGAACAACAGTGAGAACTCAGAGTCTTCATACTTCTTATTAAAGTTTCATTCATTCAAAAGATTGTCGGTCGGGTATGTATAGAAAAGATTATTTAACTTGATAGTTGCACTATTAACTTTTAAATGTATTCTTTCGAAAACCCGAAGGTTATCAGTTGTACCTTGAATTAATTTTAATAAAAACCCAATTCCTAGCTGTTTATCTTGTCAGCATTTAAGTGATGGTAAGGTTAGCTGCTAAGAAATGGAGGTCATAACTGTGTTTGGAGTGTTTAATATTAACAAAAAAAAACCACCAAAAGATAGAAATCTGTTCTGAATCCGATCTAACCGTCTAATATCTCTTTTAATATACGAAGACCACAATATAATGGAACTATATACATTTCTTATAATCGCAATTTTTTTTTAAACATTACAAACCTAAGCTTAGCAAAAGCACATAGGTTGATTACACAAAACCCAAATAACCCTAACCCAAATAATTAATTCCGGTTCAAATACCTGTATTGTTTAGTATTAAGTTAGTAATAAGAAATATAAAAAAGGTAATTTTAAAATTTCTAAAAGGTACAAAAATCTATTGTGAATTCATGGTAAAACAATTTACACGAAGAAAACTCTGACGTCACACGTCTTATAATGTGATTTCAATCGTAAAATGCTTTCCTTGAAAATATGGAAAAATAAGACACCCACGACTTAAATTCGTTGTACCTACTCAAAAGTCTTTTACGTCACACCTCGAGGACAGAATTGCACAATTCACGAAATGTGTACTTTAAATAAATTTTGTTTAATGTATTCAGTCCCAACCTGACCTAATCGATTATTTATTTCAGAACCTCTTAACGACACTATAAGCATTATTCAGAGTAGGATAATATATTATAGCAACTTAACAAAAAGTATTTTATCCCATCATTATAATATAACATATAAAATTTATTTTACTATATTTTAATAACACTAGTTGAATTTTGCAGTTAACTGAAAGTGTATCTAAACTAATTATTACCGTTTATTTAAAACCATTCGCTGAAAATCGTATTAAAAATATTAAATATACAATATAAAATTGTTCGTGTGGCTTTTAAGGATTTACTTATTTCCATTCTTTAATTTTTGTGTTTTGTGATAGTGTTTTTTTTAGTATCTTCTTCGCCACTATACATTTAACCAATAAGATTATAGGTTTTCAACTGTCTTGTTTATCTAACCGAGTCCATATAATTTTTTGTGTATGTGTGTACAGTGCACTTTATATAATTGAAAATTTCACGATTGAGTGCACATATACATTACATTATACACTATATTATGTTTGCTGAATAATACATTTAAGTTAGCATTTTTCAATGCTTCAAATGTAGGTACCTAAAACATATGATTATCTTATTTTATGGAGTTGGTGAATTATTGTTATTGCTTTTTTACCGAATAAGGGTTTAAAAAAAAATACTTGGATTGGACATTTAATCAGAGGCCCAATAGTGTTTGGTACTTTTATAATTTTATCCATCGCTATAAATATGTTCCTAGGTTAGGTTAACTTTTCACTTATAAATATTTTTCGAACTTAATCAAACGCAAGCATGTTTTAGTTTTTAAGTATCTTACCAAAAATATTGGGATCAGCGCCACTAATATAGATATTTTACATCATAATGAAAGCTGTTGTAAATCGCAATTTAAATTAAAATGTCGCCTCAACAAAAATGTGTTATCTTTGTGTGTATTATTTTTTATAATACGAGTATATACTCTTTACATAAGCTATACTTCAGTGGAATTTTATTGCAATAAACGGTACTCTTATTAATTCATATATTATGTCATTCTACTTTTTACAGACAAAAACAATACATTTTACAGCTTCTTAAATAATTTTTTTAATGTTTAAAGGAAGGCAAACCTCAGTAGTCCAAAAAAAAAAGGTGTCCAAAAATAAAACAATTGTAAACGTTGGAAAATTAATTTTTTTTTTTTTAGTTTGTTATAATACTAATCTGGAAATAAAAAAAAAAGAAATAAAAATATTGTTTTGAAAATTTACTTTCGAGTAGTTGAACTTAAACACAGTTTGGTTGCTAATTTTTATTTTTTAATTTTGCTTCGATGCGGAGCTGAGGTTTAACTATGATGTGAGGTTATTTTTGTCTGTAGTCGCTGTAATTTTTTTAAACTGGACCAGCTATAATTTCGAGAAAAATGGTCGGATTGACTTGAAGTTTATAAGGATTATTTATATGGTGTGCCCTTAAACAGCATGGGGGGGGAAGTTGTTTGTGTTTTTTAACCATTGTTTTAGGAATTTTAGTTGAACATTTGTAAGAAGGTAGGACTCATATGTAACCATAACATAGTGAGCAGAGAAAAAAATTTGGACTATAGTTTTTTTTATTTGTATAGGCTTAAAATAATTACAATGTACAAATAATACCAACAACAACATTTGGTCTATGTACACGACTAATAATTTGCTGCGCAACGTCAATAAACAATAGCCATAACTTTTAAGTCAATTCAAACAGTTTTTTTTCTTAATAAAGTTCAGCAATTTCTTCAGAAATTAATTTTTATTTTATGTTTGAAGTAACTTTTTAAATAAATAAAAATTATCCACAGCATTTTCGCAAACGGCTGCTGTGGAAAAATTCCATTTGTCGACCAATTTGAATGTATGTTTATATTATTATTATTAGTATTTATTTAATACCAAAAAGGAAAATTCAAACATAAGT